TTTCTTCTTTTTATCTCTCTTTTTTTTTGGGGGGGGGGGCGACCGCCCCCACCGCTCCCCTGGCTACGCGCCTGAGAAAGCAAGGGTTGTATCACAGCCTTATAAACGTCATCCGTTTGTCTCTGATAAAAATGAAGATATAATCCTTTCAAAAGGAGTGTTGAGTACTAATAGGCTTAAAGAGATAAATTGGGCGCTTTTTTATTCGTTAGGTGTTAGTGTGGAAAAGTAGGTAAGGCGTACCCGGAAAAAAGATAGCTCTTCAAATGTCCTCATATTCAAAACATGACAAGAAACAGCTCATGGTTATCCAAAAAACAAATTCACGTTAAAATCACGTCAATATCAAGGTATCAACTTGTAAGAGAAGATATACGTTCTTCAAACACTTGACATTTACGTGATTATGAACACGTTTATTGCACTAGGTCAGGCGCGTACACGGGGGGGGGGGGGGGGGGGGGGGGGGTTAAACCCCCCCCCCCCTTTAGTTTTTGTTATGTGTATGTTTTTTGTGAACCCCCCCCCCTTTTGAGTGTTTTTTTTTAATAATAAAAAAATCAACAAAAAAAAAATCCTTATAGATGACCTAAAAAGATGACCTTACCCCCCCCCCCCCCAACGGAACGGAATGTCGATGGGTCAAAATTTTAAATTTCGGGACCCCCCCCCCCCCAAAAAAGTGTCCTCTTACCCCCTCCCCCCCCCCCCCCCCCCCCCCGCTTATTCCGGCTGGCTGAGTCGTTGCGAAATTTTTGGCCCGATTTTACCCCCCCCCCCCCCTTGAAAAAATCATGCGTACGCCATTGCACTAGGTCACTTAAAAACACGTACACTAAATCACGCAATTGTCACTGTAATATCACCATTACCTTGGAGACCATGGTTTGTTAACCTAATACCCCCGTTTTTGTTTGGTTACTTAATTACATCTTCATAAACGAAATTATCACATTCTTTAGAAATTTTAGAATCGCGTCACAGAAACACGTGAAGCGTTAGTGATAGTTTTAGTCAAAATATCTGCGTGAAATTCACGTATTAAGAGGCGGACTTGGGATGATTGAAATGGGCTGACTGATCCAGTTGAATTAGACCAGTTGACCCAGACCAGATGAATTCTAACTGTACCAGTTAGAATTCATCTGGTCAAGCACAACTAGACCGGTTATACCAGTTGGATTTCACTGGACTAGCTGGGCCAGTTAAACCATTTAGTAAAAATTCCAATCAATTGAAACCTCCATTTGAAAAACTTAGCACTTGTACTAATTAATTTTGCCAATGACAACGACAAAGCAACACTGGTTCGTCTGTAATTTCCAAAGTAAAGGCATTGATAATAAGTAGACGTGGACATTTGTTAATTGCATATAACTTAAAGAGGCATGTTCCCCGTATTCCAGAGGGCGTTCAAAATACGTACCCGCTGGCGGACGGTGCTAGCTGCCTATTGACACCAACAGAATACGGCTCTTACGCAGATGGCATGTTCCGAATGCCCGGACAATACCGATTATCGCATACATGTGCCGAAGTAATGCCAATCGCAGTTCGGCTCTAAGATTCGGCTGCTGTTTCCGCCCACTTTCGTGACGTCGCGATCGTCAGCGATCAGCTGGCTTGGCGAAGGCAGGCCAGGCCGCGCGTACTTTGATTGACAGCTGTATGCAAATTTGAAGTCGATCTTCGGAACCAAGATGGCGATGACTAGAGCAGCGATAACTACACTGGCGGGAACGTGCCACTTTAAGAATCTGTAATAAATAAATATGCTGTAAATTCAAATAAATTGTTAAAAAACATAGATCTGCACGCACCCCATATTCATTATGCAAATTAACTGGTGTCAACTGGTTCAACTGGAAATATGCCCACGGACCAGTTTTCAAGTGGTGCAACTGCAAATATGCCAACAATCAGTTATCAACTGGTGCAACTGGAAATATGCCCACAGTCGCGGGATTATTAAAAACGGAACTTAAATGGTAACTTTGACTACCATTTAAAAAGGTGTTTTAAAGCTTATCTGTACTAGTTTATAGGAGGGATTATACCACACTGCAAGGTCACTGGACAGGTGGTTATCTCATCAACTCAGCTCTCAATAAACATAAGAAAAAGAGGATCATGGGGGACCAATGGTCACCGATTAGGCATTGTTTTCTATATAGAGGGAGCAAGTAGCTACCAGTAGGACAGTGTGGCTTTAAGACGCGTAATAATTACTAATTTTTCACACCTAAAAATCACGAATGCCAGCTTTGATTAATAATCAGTTTGAGCCACGCGATCATCACCAAGAAAGTTATTGTATCTTTGAAACCATTTTAAAAGGTATTCGAAGACACTTATTTTTATTTTATTTATTCATGATTTCTTTCAACAGGGTGGTTTCATTCAGTTCCAATGGAAGCCAGTGGATCTGCTTTTCAAGAAAGCCCTGCGTAATACAATTACAGTATAAAAACATAAGTACAATAATACAACATTTAAACATTGTACATACATGTGAAATATCAAATTAAACATATATCTTTTAAAAGTAAGACTATTTTAATCATACAATATTTATTATCAACATAATTATTACAATAACAAAAGCACATCTAAAACAAAACACCTAAACAAACAGAAAACAAAAAACTCCAAACCCACAATAAATTAAATAGAAATACTAAGATAATTACAGAAAAAATAGAGTGCAGAAAGCCTATAATACTTTTGAGAATTTACAAAGAAGGTAAAAGAATTACAGTAGATGCATAGAAAGACGGCATTGCTTTTTGAACAAACGTAATGATGTGCATGACTGAACAGAAAGTGGGAGTTTGTTATACAACAGCGGACCACAGTAGGCAAAGCTACGTTTCCTATATTCAGTGAGTGCCTGTGAGACAAAAGTTAACTGCATACCGTGTAATATAAAAGACTGGTCGTCGGATAACGAGACGGTTTAAATAATCAGGAGCTTGTTTATGCACATTTTTTAAAACAAGAACACAAAATTGATATTTTACCCTTACTTCTAGAGTTTGCCATTTAAGAATGTTGTAAAATTGAGAGACAGAAGTATATGAGTCTACATTAAAAATCATTCGAATGTATTTGATTTTTTTTTGTAATCTAATGAGATTAGTTTTTGAGTAAATTCCCCAAACAGTACTACGATAATCAATGTGTGGCAAAATAAGTGAAAAATAAAGACTGATAATTGTTTTACGAGTTAAAAAAGACTTAATTCTACGGATAACCCCAATTGCACGAGATATTTTACAAAATACACTTTTGACATGTTTACCCAAATTATAAACCTGGATCCAAAAATAACTCTCAAATGTTTAAATTCTTCAACAAAATCAATTTCTATGCCATTAAATTTAATTTCAAGTTTTTTTTTCTTCGTATTCTTTTCTTTGGACCAAACATCTTTACCCTTGTCTTGTCTACATTCAGTATGAGCTTATTGGTAGTTTGGTACTCAACCATTTACAAACTATGTCAAATTGATATTGCATTTTAATTCTAAGATCATTAACATTTCTACTTTTACAGAATAATACGGTATCATCAGCATACAATGACATTTTAACATTATCAAACATTTCAATACTGCACAAATCATAAATGTATATACAGAATAACAAAGGCCCTAAAATTGAACCTTGAGGTACTCCGCACTTAACTCTTAATAAATCACTGATACAATTATTTATTAATACACATTGTTGTCTATTAAGCAAATATTCTATAAACCATTTAAATTCTACTGAAGAAACCCCGTAATATTTTAGTTTTGTAACAATCAATTTATGAGGAATAAGATCAAAGGCCTTGCGTAGGTCTACAGATATACTTCCAGTACAAAATCCAGAGCTTCTATTTTCCAATAAATATTCATCTATGTCACATAAAAAAGTAGATGTTGAATGAAATTTTCTGAATCCACACTGGTATTGATCTAATAATGAAAACTGGGTAAAATATGAATATAATTGAGTATGAACAGCTTTTTCAAATATTTTAATAAAATAGGCAAAACTGATATAGGTCTGCAATTATTTAGGTCATTCCTTCCATTACTTTTATAGATTGGTGTAATCTTAGCAAGTTTAAAGTCACAAGGTATTTCAGATGTATGAAGTGATTTATTATACAGTTTAGTCAATGGTTCAGAAATGACATCTGCAGCTAATTTTAAAAGTTTAGGATGCATGTTCATGATACCAGTAGATTTATTACAATCGATATTCCTTAATTCTTTTTTTCACATAATCAATTTCTATATAAATTTAAACACATGAGGAACTACCTTTGTAGTCGTATTATTCATTGTATCGGTCGTATTCAGTTGTCATTATTTATCACATACTTCATTAAATGATTTATTAAAAGCGTTCGCTAAATCTTTGTCCTTTTTATATATAACACCATCAAATAAAACACCATAATTATCACACTTTCTACCATCTGGAAGTAGTTCATTCATTGTCTTCCATATTTTTTTTTCATATCATTATTCGATTTATTAAAAGTATCATTGTAAAGTTTTTTCTTCGACTTTTTATTCAAGTTATTTGCTCTGCTTCGATAATTTGTATACTTATCCCAATATTCTAATCTTCGGGCTTCCTCAAAAAATGTTAATTCTTTTACTTTTCGTGTAATATTAATCTTATCAAACTGTTTTTTTAATTAAAATCTCGTTCCCTAGCCAGAGTAAGATATTCATCTGTTATCCATAGAGCACCATTAACTTTTTTTCCTAACGTTTACAAAGGGAGCATGTTTGTCACAAATACTGAGAAATAAATTTTTTAATTTGGTCCACATTTGCTCAACGCCGTAATCATAAAGCTGATTCCATTAAATATTACACAAATCATCAATAAATTTATCATGTTCAAATGACTTAAAAGACCAATAAGTACTTATCCTTGGGGAAGCTTTAGCAACACTCATTTTTAAAATAACACATATCAAAGAATGATCATTAAGTCCTACAGAATGTACTCCGGAGGGTAACTCTCCGAATCCTCTAGAAACAAAGATCAAATCAATTAAAGTACTACTGTGAGGGGTTACACGTGTAGGATATGAATTACTAACTTTTTCACACCTAAAAAGCACGGATGCCCAGCTTAGATTAGTAATCAGTTTGAGCCAGTGGCGGATCCAGGGGGGGGGGGGGGTGGGGGCCGGGGGGTGTTGCATCAACACAATTTCTTTCACAATGCAATCGCATGACCAGAAATCAACTTTATTTTTTAGGTAAAGCATTTTCTGTATGACCTTTGTCATTTGCTTTATCTTTTTTCCAGTTGTTAATTTTATCATTTTATGACTAGGTGGAAAAACGTCATATTAAGATTAGGACCGTATCGTTTAACAATGTTAAATTTGAGATCATGGCCCTACGTTTTATCAGTGTCTGTGATATGGTGTAATATTGAAGCCCTAAAAAAATTGCACTTCAAAATGATCATGAAATGTCTCAAAAAGTAAAAATCTTTGAGAGACCGGTTTTTACCATACTCATTTTCCCCAATAGACTGTAGTGTTATAAAAACCGTTAGGAAAACGCAAAATTTGATTTGGATTTCCAATCATAAATATGATAATCAGACAGGCGAGTAACTTGTAAAAGTCAGGGGATTCCTGGCTGACCTAAAGGTTTATAATTGTGATTGCAGCATGAGCTAAATCCAGGATTTTGTTTGAAAATCTGAGGCAATGTTACCGAGTCACTTTAAGAATGATTCGAAATGTGATCCTCTAGGCAGGCTTATAAGTCAAGGCCCTTTTTAGTATAACAAAATGTTTGTGTGGTTTCATAAAGTTTGGAACCTATGTCTCTGATGATTCCAAAACTGTATAGGGCCCAATTATATGATCATTTATTCATGTATTCAAGACCGATGCTTGCCAATTTTATTAGGGCCTATAGGCGATTTCAGCCTTTCTAACTATCCTCACCAAAATCATTTATGTTATTTCATATACATTGTATTATTAAATCAAACGTTTATGCATGAGTGAACAGGAATTGCATTTTTTATTTTTAGCATTGTAACTTTCCCTGGTAGACTCAGTGGTGTGTTCATGTGAGTCAGGATGGGGTGATGGTACATGTTGTAATTTTCATGTTACAAACTGTTATTTTTGTTACATATGTGACTTTCACCCTTCACCCCACATTTCAATTAGTGTAAGATTAGTTGAACATCTCATTGATTTACTTAATACCTAGGTAGGGATTATGTAAATTGAATATTCAAATACGTTTTTTTGAAGAAAAAAAAAGGAATGTCCAAGATGTCGGCTACTTACTCTTCAGGTAAATGGTAACTGAAATGTGGGGTGAAGGTTTTTATTCAAGTCACAGATGTAAAAAATAACAGTTTGTAACGTGGAAATTACAACATGTACCATCACCCCATCCTGACTCCCATGAACACACCACTGAGTCTACTAGGGAAAGTTACAATGCTACAATAAAAAATGCAATTCCTGTTCACTCATGCATAAAAGTTTTCTTTAATAAACCATGTATCATATCACCCTTAATTTTGTAAACTCCAAAGGATTTACCTCTCTCAAATTGGAAGCCTAAATCCTGTGCAACCTAATTTTCATACCCTTTACAAAAGTGAGCAGTGCTCACCCAAGCATGAATTATTTTCGGACGTTTTGGTGTCATATGAAAGTTGAGTTTATGAGCTTCCCATACATATATAACTTTTTCCCCAGAATCATATATTTTTTATTCGGCAGCCATTTCAAAAGTGTATAATTTGTTTTGGGACGCACGGTAATGTACTGCATATACATGTACTGCAAGGTTCTGGAATCATCAAAATGATAAGAAATTTGGCCCAGTCTTGGTAAAAGTAACAAGCACTGTACACAGAAAGATGTTTATGGGACTACACAAACATGAGGAATAAAAAGGAGGCCCACATTTTTAAGCTGTTACATGTTATATTTAAAATATGAAGGCGATTGAAGAGCCATACTTTCCAGGGCACAATTTTTTCTCTGATGTTCTTCCACACTTGCATAATGACAAAGAAAACGCTCACAATCTTTGTTACCTCTCACCAGAACTCGATCCTCTCTTTAAAGGGGAGGTCTACCCTGTTGGTTTTCATTGAAGCAGTAAACGGAGACAAACAAGTCAGTGAAAGTTTGAGCAAAAAATGTTGGTTTTTTTTTTTTTTTTTTTTTTTTTACATTTAAAAAAAAAAAAAATTCTTTTAAAGTTATGAATTTTTGAAGGTGTCATCAATCAAACACACATTGGCAACTCTGTGACGTATCTTGCGAGCTCCCCTCACATTTACCCTGTACTTAATTAAAACTTCTAAAATATATTTTCAGTCAATTACGAATTCCTACATTCACCCTAGATATAATTATTGCAAATATGTCTTTATACAACCCCTGTATGTAAAAAAAAAAAAAAAAAGCTATTCTATTCACCAATAACTAAGAAAATGAAAATATATGACATTTTCTGTACAGATAAAATTGGATTGAAGTTTGCATGGATAAAAAAGGTCACGTACCTTGAGAACTGGCGTCCGTGAAAGATTCATCTTCGTCGAAGTGTGCGTCGCCGCCAATTGCATCTGAGAAGGGGTAATACGCATGCGCGAGTGTTCCACCGCTTCCGTCAAATGGACCGTCGTCCCCGTGGCTGCCTGCAGCAAAGCTGATCAGGATATCTGCGTCTCCTGACGTTACCAGCGTGAATGTAAGACGAGATACGTCAGCCCATTTCTGCAGAGTAAAATAAAGGAAGAAGAAAAAAGGAGTAAATCATCATGACTACTGTGTCGAACTGGTAGTGAGGTGATGCCTCTTGTCTGAAAATCAACAGCCGTCAACATGTATTCAGTCTCTAAACCCTTGCGACGAGTGAATTGATAAAACCATAAATATTAATAAATAGAACTGTACAATTAATAAACTAAAAAGCAGAAGGAGGCGAAAATCTGGAAAGCAACTTGAATACTTGTATTGGGAACGCCCATTACACATTAGGACAGGTTACTGTTTAAAAAAAAACTGAGAAGAGAGTTAGGCATTGACGGATAAGGTCGAAATCGCATGCTAATAAGTACTACGTTTTGAGCCTTATATACCAAAAGACGTTAACAATGACTAACAAGACTAAAAAAAACTAGAATATCAACAACAAACAGCAGCTTTACATCTCATTTGAAAAACCGACTGACAATAATAATCTGGTTATAAATTTTTTAATTTGCCACGAAATGTACAAGTTAAAGGTACTATGTCCCATTTGCAGGCCAAACAAATTAAAAGTGAAATTCCAACTGCATTTGAAAGATAATACTAATCTAAAACTTCCCTAAAAAAGGTGGGGCTTGAAAATGTCTTCAAGTGGGAAAATAACGACTATTAGTTGTCAAATCGACTTTAGGGCTATAGAGCCCAAAAGTAATAGTCTTGATTTTCAGACAATTGTACCGAATGGTCATACGTTTTATGCTGCGCAAAGATTCAATCAGTTTAATCTTGGCCATCACAAGAAGTGGGTTATTGATGTAGACAAATGCTCATGTACCCTTTACAACCCTTTTCATGTATGTTATTACCAAAGAAGAAAAAAGCCAGTCAGTCACTCAATAGTGTCTGACAGTGAAGTCTAGCAAGTAAACAGGTTTCCTTGCATAATTTGAATATGAGGACACTGCTAACGTTTAAATTTCACAGATAGGACATACATGACATATTCATAATTCCTGCAAAGTTCTACAGAATTTGAGGTTGGCTGCAAAAGGGACATAGTACCTTTAAGATATAACAACTAAAATAGACCAACGCACTCCCCGAATAGCCCAATATGGAGACGGTTGCCCAAATATCGGTCATTAACCCCCCCCCCCCCCTGCTTCTAACGCGAATGAAGAACATGAACTAATGAATTAAAAAAAAACAATTGATTATTGCAAACATGTCACTAATGGATAAGGATATTATTCAGATATTTTTTTCAACGTATAAAAAGGCGCCCTCATAGACCTGATTTACAAGGCAATGAGCGATTCCATGACATTTGCTCCGGCGACAATTGCTCCGCTGTAAATTTCATACACTAAACGAATGGCTAACTTCAACCCTGGATTCAACACTATACCCTACCCTAAACCTAACCCTAAACCTAACATAAAACCCTATTGAAACCCTAACCCTAACCCTACATCTTAGACGAAATAAAGCCCGGAGCAATTGTCGCAGGAGCAAATGTCGTGTCACCCAATGAGCGCATTCCAGTAGAACGACAGCCCGCGAAACCAAGAATTTCGGTCACTTTAACCTGCAGACAGGCTGATAGACCAAAAACGTTGGTCACAAGGACTGTCGGGCGTGTAAGCTGTCGGTTGAGCCGACCCTCCACAAATTTATTTATAGCCTGAGATTACTTGAAAAATAGAAAAATCCTGTTTTGCATTCATTTTCTTTATTGTTGTCCCTCGCTAATTTTTTTATAATCAAGAACAAGATGTTTTTGTCGTTTGTTCCCAGGTCGAAATTCCAATAGGATCCAAAAGCCTATTGAACCATCAGAAACCATTAGAGCTATTTGTGTCTATTGGTTTCAATAGGGAAAGGGAAATATTTGACCGACAGAAACCAACAGAAAATATCTATTGCAATTGAACCAACACGCCCACCCACAGAAAAATGCTGATGGACCATCAGAAAGCTTCTATTAGACCAACATCCACCCACATCTTCTATGGGTTTCTGTTGATTCATTAGATATTTCTTCTATGATGGTTTTCTGTTGGTCCATTAGATACTTGCTATGGGTTCTTGTTGGTCCATTAGAGATTTTCCAGTCTATGGGTTTCTAATGGTCCCACATTCCATATTCCCTATTATAGGCCATCGACATCGATTATGAATTATCAGTTTAACCAGTGATAAACTGATAATCCATAATCGATGTTGGCAACTGTCCACCAATAGGCATATTCTTATCTCCATTGCATTATAACTCCATGACAAAGATCATTTGAAGTGAATTCACGATTGACATTTTAAGTGATGCTGGCTCGCGTATACACATATATAACTAGAAATATCGTAGTCTGTATTGCCGCGCAATGCGAATGTATCCCCCGGCAGTGGCAGCGATTTTGTGTCATCCTTATGTTTGAAGGAGGGACAAAGATCCCCTCTTCCCCTCCCTGAAACAAAAGGATGACGTAGAGATCGCCACTAGGGGCTCGGACTATTGTCACGACGAGGAGCAGCATCACCAAAACAAAATGTGTGTAGATTAGAGTAATACATCTCTGTAGAAAATTTGAAAGAAATCTGTCAAGAAAGTAGCAGTTAGAGCGCACAAAAGACAGCTACCAAAATATGGCTTTGACCCCATAACAGACGGAAAACAAGTGGCAGCATCACCAAACACTAACAGGCGCGGATCCAGGATTTCTTAGGGGGGGGGGGGCCCAAATTTGAAATTATGCGAGCCAAATATTGGTACGTAATGGTGACCAACAGTGACGTGATGCGGGGGGGGGGGGTCGGTGCAGGGAGGGGCGAATTTCCCCCTCCCTCCTCCGCGAAACGCGGAAGCTTTGACGTTTCATTTAATTATTAGAAAAAGAAGACGGTTCGTTGTACCGTTCTCGAAAATAAATCTCGTTTGAATTTAGTTTTCCCCCCCCCCCCTACCGCGCGAAGCGCGGAAGCTTTTAAGTTTCCTTAAATCATTAGAGAAAAAAGACGATTCGTTGTACCGTTTTCGAAAATAATCCTCGTCTGAATTTAGATTCTCCCCCCCCCCCTCCCGTGCGAAGCGCGGAAGCTTTTACGTTTCATTAAATCATTAGAGAAACAAAACGAGTCGTTGTACAGTTCTCGAAAATGATTCTCGTCTGAATTTAGTTTTTCCCCTCTCGCGCGAAGCGCGGAAAATTTTAGGATTTATTAAATTATTAGAGAAAGAAGACGATTCGTTGTAGAGTTCTCGACTCTAAATTCTCGTCTGAATTCAGGTTCCCCCCCCCCCTACCGCGCGAAGCGCGGAAGCTTTTAAGTTTCCTTAAATCATTAGAGAAAGAAGACGATTCGTTGTACCGCTCTCGAAAATAATCCTTGTCGGAATTAAGTTTCCCCCCCCCCCCTCCATCCCGCGCGAAGTGCGGAAGCTGTTACGTTTTATTAAATCATAAAAGATTGGTATTACCGTTCTCGCCTTTGAATCTTTGTCTGAATTCAGGTTCCCCCTCCCGCGCAATGCGCGGAAGCTTCACGTTTCATAAGATTATGAGAGAAAGAAGACGATTCGCTGTACCGTTCTCGATTGTTAATCCTTGTCTGGGGCGGCGGCGAAGCCGGCCCCGTAAGCTCAGAGGTTTTAGGCGTTTAATTAAGGTCATATGAGCATATTTTTTATTGTATACCTTATTATTTCGTGACACTGGCAGGTAACTATTTGGCGTTGGGTCCAAGGGGCGGAGCCCCCCAAAATCAGGGGTTTTAGGCATTAAATTACCGTCAGATGAGCATCTAAGGGCCCGCCGTAGGGCCTTCGGTGGGATCCAGGGGGCAGAGCCCACGGAAGCTTAGGGGTTTTAGGCATTTAATCACGGTGAGATGAGCATATTTTGATGCCTCATTATTTGTTAACACTGGCAGTTAACTATTCTTTCTTTCTTGCTCTCATTCTATTTTATTTCTCTTTAATATACTTTTTCAAAAAAAGTGGGGGGGGGGGGGGGGGGGGGAGCTCGGGGCTCCCGATCCCCGCCGTACCTCGGGCCCTGACATGTAGGAATCTCAAGAATCATATTTCTTGCCTGGCTGCAAATTTAGGAATTTGTCATTTTCCAATAAACACATACAAACGTATAATTTACTAAAAAGTGAGGAAAAATCTCGGAAATGATGTCATTTCAGCATTATTTGTAATCCACCGTTATGGAATTAGAAATAAACCACATTTGAATTTGATTTCCACTTAGCCCCCCCCCCCCCATCAGTACGCCAGTATCTCCTCTTTTCCTTTCCCTTTCCTTCCTTCTCTCTTATTTGTTATATGGGGGGGGGGGGGGGGGGTCAACAGCCTGGGAGGCAAAGCCCTTTCGGCCCCCCGATCTCCTTCTTCCCCCTTTTCTTTTCTTCTTCCTCTTCTTTCTTTCCCTTTCTCTCCTCTTTCCCTTTCGCTTCTTTTCCTTTTTTCTCTTTTTTTTTTTTTTTTTTTTTGCGGGAGGGGGGGGGGGGGGCCAAGGCCCGCTCGGCCCCCCCTGGATCCGCGCCTGAACACTAAAGATGACTTTGTGTAGACAGGGGCGTCGCCAAAGGGGGGTGGGGGTGCGACATCCCCCCCCCCCCCACCTGTCAGGATATTGTCGGTAAAATTGCCCTGCCGTCGGGAAAAAAGAGAAAAGGGGGAGGGGGGAAGAGAGGGAAAGGGAAAGAAAAGAAAAAAGAAAAGAAAAAGAAAAGAAAGAAAGGAAAAGAAAGGAAAGAAAGGAAAAAAAGAAAGGAAAGAAAAGAGAAGAAAGAAAGAGAGAAAAGAAAAAGAGGGAGGAGAGGAAAGAAAGGACAAGAAAGAAAAGAAAGAAACGAAAAAAAGAAGAAAAAAGAGTAAAAAGGAAACAAAAGAAACGGGGGATGAAAGAGAGGAGAGAGAGGGGAGGTAAGATCCTGAGAGAGGAGGAGTGGGAGTAAAAGAGAGAGGGGGGTTGTTGGGTGGAGTCGTCTCGTCGAGGGAGCAAGAAAGACACGGGTAAATATGTTGCTGTGTCGGGTCAGCTGTGTCGGTATTCTTGCTCGATCCTCGTGTACTATATCAATGCAGAAGTTTGAAGTCGTAGATGTATATTGTCGGTCGGCCGACAAGTTTTTTTCCCTACGGACTGTGACTTTTTGTCGGCTGTGACGACTTCGAGAGTGACTACAACTACAATACTTGTATTTTCTCGAAGTTTCACTTTCCTATAATATCAGCTAAAGAAATCAGAGTTTTAAAATTTTAGGGGAAACTAAATTCAAACAAGGTTTAAGAGTCAACAACGGTACGACGAATCGTATTCCTTTCTCTATATTGTGATGAAACGCCCAAAATTCCGCGGAAGGGGAAGACTTCATTTAGACGAGTCGAGAACGGTACAACGAATCGTCTTCTTTCTCTAATTATTTAAGGAAACATCAAAGCTTCCGCGCTTCGCGCGAGAGGGGAAAACTGAATTCAGACAAATAGGGCTTATTAAGAGTCGAAAACGGTACAACAAATCGTCTTCTTTCTCTAATAATTTAAGGAAACGTCAAATCTTCCGCGCTTTGCGCGAAAGGGGAAAACTGAATTCAGACAAATAGGGCTTATTAAGAGTCGAAAACGGTACAACAAATCGTCTTCTTTCTCTAATGTTTTAAGGAAACGTCAGAAGTTCCGCGCTTTGCGCGAAAGGGGGAAACTGAATTCAGACAAAAAGGGCTTATTAAGAGTGGAAAACGGTACAACAAATCGTCTTCTTTCTCTAATAATTTAAGGAAACGCCAAAGCTTCCGCGCTTCGCGCGAGAGGGGGAAAACTGAATTCAGATGAATAGGCTTCCAGTCAATAAGAGTCGAAAACGGTACGACCAATCGGCTTCCTTTCTCTATATTGTGATGAAACGCCAAAGCTTCCGCGCTTCGCGCGAGAGGGGGAAACTGAATTCAGATGAATAGGGCTTAATAAGAGTCGAAAACTGTACGACCAATCGTCTTCCTTTCTCTATATTGTGATGAAACGCCAAAAAATCCGAGCTTCGCGCGGATTTGGAAGACTTCAATTAGACGAGTCGAGAACGATACAACGAATCGTCCTCTTTCTCTAATATTTTAAGGAAACGTCAAAGGTTCCGCGCTTTGCGCGAAAGGGGGAAACTTAATTCAGACAAAAAGGGCTTATTAAGAGTGGAAAACGGTACAACAAATCGTCTTCTTTCTCTAATAATTTAAGGAAACGTCAAAGCTTCCGCGCTTCGCGCGAAAGGGGGAAACTGAATTCAGACAAAAAGGGCTTATTAGGAGTGGAAAACGGTACAACGAATCGTCTTCTTTCTCTAATAATTTAAGGAAACGTCAAAGCTTCTGCGCTTCGTGCGAGAGGGGAAAACTTCATTTAGACGAGTCGAGAACGCTACAACGAATCGTCTTCTGACTCTAATAATTTAATGAAACGTAAAAACTTCCGCGCTTCGCGCGGGAGGGGGAAGCTTCATTCAGATAAGGATTAAGAGTCGAGAACAGTTCACCGAATCGTCTGCTTTTTCTCATAATTTAATGAAACGTCAAAGCTTCCGCGCTTCACGCGGGAGGGGGGGGGAGACTTCATTTAGACAAGGTTTAACAGTCGAATACGGTACAATAAATCGTCTTCTTTTCCTAATAATTTAAGGAAACGTCTAAGCTTCCGCGCTGGGCTTCGCGCGGGAGGCCTATCACCCACCCCCTAATGAGCGGGCTTCGCTCGCTTTTTAAGTGATTTGCTTGCTCACTACCGCCCCTCCCTAAAATAAGATCCTAGCTCCGCGCCTGCATTAAAATATATAGCTATGAATGCTGACTAAGTTGACGAAATAATTCGTATATTTGTGTCGTCGTGGAAAATTACCATTTGCACATACGCTAGTACTATTGATAGTCCATAGGAAATACAATTTAGCCTTCGGCCCCGGGTTTATAGGGTTAAATTTGTAGATATTGGACATTTATTTGTGTCGGTAATTGGTGGCTAGTTTTGTCGGTAATCGTTGGCCTCTAAACCCCCCCCCCCCCCCCCCCCCACCCCCCCCACGGAAAGGTCTAGCGACGCCCCTGTGTGTAGATTGTACTAAGACACATCTCCATACAACTTTTGAAAGAAATCTGTCAAGAAATGTAGCAGTTAGAGCGCATAAAAGACATATGACCTTTTACCATATAAAAGACGGAACAATGAGGGCAGCATCGCCTAAAAGTGTAGATGTGTAGATTGTACAAAGATACATCTCCATTCAAAATTTAAAGAAATCCGTCATGAAATATGTCCTGCAGAGCGCACACTAGACACCCACCAAAATATGACCTTTTGACCCTATAAAAGACGGAACACTGGGGGCAGCATCATATATATACAGGCTTGTAGATTATACCAAGATACACCTTCATTCAAAATTTGAACAAAATCCCTTGAGAAATGTGGCATATAGAGCACACACAAACCATCCAAAGAAAAGAAAACAAAGGAAAAAAGTGAAAGGCGTAAATATTCTAAAAAAGAATGAAACGCCGATAATACCAAACAACAACAACATCCATAAAAATGTGGCCTTTCACCCTATAAAAGACGGAACACTGGGGGCAGCATCACCAACAGTTATAGGTGTGTAGATATACCAAGATACACCTCCATACAAAGTTTGAAAGAAATCCGTCAAGGAATGATGCACTGAGTTAGACCGCACGTGCACACAAGCAATCTATCAAAATATGACCTTTGACTCTATAAAAGACGGAACACTGAAGGTAGCATCACCAAAATCACCAAGGGTTACACCTCCATACAAAATTTGAAAGAAATTCGTCAAGGAATGTGACAGTTACAGCGCACACAAGAATATGACGCGGCGGCGTAACGCTGCTGAATCCAAAGTACCCCACCGGCATGATACTGCCGGGGGATACAACAAACATGCATGTTGTTTCTTGGTTAGTAATCATATAATCAATATTATCTATTGCTAAAACGTGAATGTAATTGTAACATGATCAGGCAAATATTCTTTTGGTCAATAATTGCCGAAGAAAAAATACAAATCACAAAATTGATGTTGATTGTCATAATTTGCTTAACAAATAATGATAAATGTATTTTTCTGTGAAAATGTGTAAAGTATCATGAATATGCATGAGATACATAGATCTGTTGGTTTTTATTGGTTTCTATTGGACATATTGGTTTCTATTATATTGGTCCAATTGGTTTCTATTGAGTATTGGTCCTATTGGTTTATATTGGTCCCATTGGTCGTATTGGTTTGTATTGGTCCTATCGGTACTATTGGTTTCTATTGGTCTTATTGGTCCTATAGTATTGGTTTCTATTGGTTTCTATTGGTTTCTGATGGTTTGAATGGTCTCTATGGGATTCAATTCTATGGGTCCTACAGAAACCAATAGACTTCAACAGAAACCATTAGAGACCAATATATTTTTTCTAATGGTCTCTATTGCTCTCTATGGAATTTTCGACCTGGGTGTGGGGAGGGGGGGGGGGGTGTATTCTTGATCCCCAAAGCCCCCCCCCCCCCCCCCCTCGTCTAGAACCGCTTCTGGTGCAGATCCTACCTTGAAAGACTCGGCTATGATACGGTCAACCACGTTAGCAGGCAGGTCTGGGGTCCTGTTGATGATCTTGTAAGTGAGTTCTGTCTTGGACCACTTGCTGCCTAAGGCATATCGCTTCTTCCTCATCATGTCGGCAGGGGAATCCATGTCTGCCATTTCACAACGAGGTGTGTTCATCATCACCATAGTCTCATTGTCTCGGACTCCTGAGGAAAAAAAAAATCAACAGAGAACGATCGAGTAAGGTGATCTCTAGTTCTGCATGGCACTATGATAATACTGTGTGGTCGTTGACTACTGTGCCTATAAATAGTGATGGCACAAGGAAAAGTGAAAATGTGGAAAGATTGTGTTTAGAACTGTAATGTTAAGGGGGGTCAGTTCATGGTGAAAATACTGAATTTATGCTACAAAAATTTCGGAGTGGTGTGGGCTATCCTGTAAGCAGTGGCGGATCCAGAGGGGACGGGCCCCAACCCCTGGGGCTCAAAAGAGGGTGCGATTTTCAAATTCTCGAGGGTGCCCCCCCCCCCAAAAAAAAAGAAAAAAAAGAAAAAAAAATTGCTCACTACCCCCCCCCCCCTCCCCACCCCACTGACCGGATTATCGGCCGGCTGTTTCGCAGCTAAATATTTTTTTTCACGAATTGGGCCCCCTCCCCTGCCGCCGGCTGGACCCGCCCCTGCCTGAAAGCCCCTTCCATTTCGTTACCAGGAATTGCAAACGAGGGACTTTTCACATACCTGTCACTGTTATATTTGCAAATCTTTGGAAATACTCGAGGGCTCTCGTCATCTTTTCAGAATTCGGCATGCCACCTGTCATGTCCAGATATCCATACTTATTGAGATACGCCTGTAGATCAACAAAGGTCAAACAAGAAGATTAAACCAGAAGATAAACAAAGATACAATAATTCAAATTCGATTTCACATTTATTGAATATATTCCAAACATGTAGCATATAGGATCGTTTCTCCATTTTTGTTCGATAAAGAATAACAAATTCAAAATTGTAGTGTAAAGGCCCGGTCCCACTGCACTTACGGTTGCAAAGAGGATGTAAAACGTAAAAAAATCTTGCCATCCGTTGGAAAATGCTATGCATCCGTTGTGTACTCATTGCATACGTGTTTCATACGCTCTATCCATCGAGCATCCGTCCACTGTGATTTCATCCGCGCAAAAAGTTTTGAGCGGCACAAAACTTTTAGAACGGATGAACTTCCGCCGTGTACGATGTAAATCCGCGACCCGATCCGCGACAAATACGAGCAACAAACGTTCTATGTCCGTTATCATCCGTTAAACGTCCGCTGTATCCTCTCTGCATCCTCTGGGCATCTTCGCAACTCACATCCGCTGCAGCTGAAAACGGAAAGAGGGAGGAAAGATAAGGTACATGGAACGTCTATACATCGTTAGTAGCACGGAAATAGACAGGATATAAGCGTATGCATCTCGTATATAAAGTATTCAAAGCTGTCATCCACTTCCATCCGCGTTCATCCGCTAGGCTTCCGATGAACATCCGTTTAACATCCCCGCTACACACTACCCACGTCCGTTATTTTCCGTTCTGTTTTCGCAAATTTTCGCAAATTTTGTCCATTTCTGGAGCAGATGAAAACGGATGGAGCCACACCCGAAATTTTGCTCGTCCGCTGTGTCCTTTATGCATGCGTTTTGTGTCCGTCGGCCAGTGGGACCGGGCCATAAAAATGCGACGTGACCTTTTAAAATGGGGCTTATTCAACGCAGTATATGTGATTATGACTCTAGTACACTCCAATGGAGTAAACTAAAGTTGAATCATGTTTACGTAATACCCTCTTATTCTGTTGGGGTTATTCCAGTTGCCATGTAATCTGTTCTTTCTGTCTGCCCAATTTCAAACTTTGTATTTTACCCCTTATTCACAAGAATTAAAGCCTTTCTCTATTTCGCCCTTGTGTTTTTTCAAGCGAGCAATCAAACTCTATTCGAGGTTGATTCAGCCCTTATAAAACGTGAACGCCCTCCTTCCATTCGCAATAGGGACTTTTAGATTTGCACGTCGAAAACTTTGACTGCAACGTGTGACGTCATTTTAAGGCAAGGCGCATGCGTTACGTCGTCTCAGTCGGCGATCGAGAATGCGTCAACCTTGATTTTCCTAAATCTAGTACATACATACATATTGGTATTTATATAGCTCCTCGGGTGGACAAAGGAACATCCCTTCCCTGCTATTATGTAAAAATGTGTAGAACAGGTGTCACATGCATATTCACCTGTTCTACACATTTTTACATAATAGCAGTGAAGGGATGTTCTTTTGTTGAGGGTAGAATGAGGAACTGTATATTTTGTCCTCTTTCTTTGTCCGTGATGTTCATAGTGTTACTTCCTGCATGCATGTATATCTTCGAGTGCAATCTAAAAGATTTCTAATTGTAGTCAACATGGGCAGGTAAGTACGTTGACACGCATGATCAGTCGGCGTTCGTCGTGTTCTCGTCCACTCAATCTAAAAGTCCATAATGTATTATGCTACGTTCACATGTAGGCGAGTTCCGAGTTTGTGCGAATAATAGCGAGTTGGCTTTTTTTTTTTTTTTGGGGGGGGGGGGGGGTACTCGCGATATATTAACTAGGAATGACTCTCCGTGACCACTGCAACTCGGCACAACTCTTCACAACTCTTCGCAACTCGACGCAATTTGCGTGAGGTCGCAGTAGCTCTCAAATTGTTGAAACAGTTAAAAAAAAATTGTCCAGCTCTCGAGAACTCATGAACACCTCGGTCAAACTTGGAACAACTCGTAGTAAACTCGCGATACTAGTGAAAATCTCGTCAAGGACTCTTTTCAACTCGTAGTATCCGGAGTAAATTTCCATAAATTGCCATAAATTACCATAAATTTCCATAAATTACCTTAAATTTGCATACACGAGTTCCCGCGAGTCTAATATGAGCATTTGATAGTTTTGCGCGAGCGCATCGACTCTCTGGTGAGCTAATCACGAGGTTTGCACGAGTTTGCACGATGTTTGGCGAGTTATGTAACCATGGTTTCCATTTGGCGGTAAAATAAACACGTTTTACATCTACATTGAACAAGTGCCACATGATAAAGAGTAAGATGATAATAATAATATTTAATTTTTATATAGCGCTTTAATACAAATGTCTCTAAGCGCTTTACAAATATACTATTACCCCGGTCATTGGACATCAACAAAAAAGGGCACCTTATAAAAGCGAAATCTCAATCTTTTAGACATTGGTATATACCCCTACATTGTGATAACATTGTGAGGGATGATACGAGATATTGCTCAAGCATCACACTTTGCCGTTGGGTTTGATGGTCCGAATATTCATTTGTGAGCGAGCGAAGCGAGTGAGGAATAATTTAAAGATTTTTGAGGTCGCAGTGCGAAAAATTAAATCTTACAAAGAGGTAAAAACCAAATCCTGAGTGGTCACATAAGCACATTCTCACTGATCAGTGTATTACTTGAGGTGAAAGGGGTGAGCTTTTATGGGAGAAGGGAGAAGTGGCTCTTATTGGAAAGAAAAAGAGGCACATGTTATCATAAACGGGACAATATTATCAGAAATGTAAAGTGAAAAATGATTATGAGAAGGGGAAGGGGCACTTATAAGAAGCAAAAACAGCATTTATTAAAAAAAGAAAAACGGGGCACGTTTCAAAATAAAAGAGGCAATTATTAAAGTTGAAAGGGGGCACTCATCGGAGATGAAAAAAAAGCACTTTTCAGGAAGGAAAGGGGCACCTGTTACAGTAGAACAAGCATCTCTCAGATTAGAATAGGGCAATTACCGGAGGTGAAGGGGTTAATTTACCAAATATGAAAAGAGGCAATTATGAGAATGAAAAAGGGGCATTTCTGAGAAGGTGAAAGAGCTCTTTTTTCATGGGGGCACTTATCAAAAGGAAAAGGGGCACTTATTAGAAAAGCAAACAGGCACATGTGAAAATGAAAGATCTGCTTATCTGAATTAAACACGGGTAGATATTAAACGGGAATGGACACTTCTTACAAAGGAAAAGGGCGATTATCAGAGGTGAATGGGGCACTTATCTAAAGTGAAAATGGGCACTTCTCGTACCTGAAAAGGTGCGCTTAGTAGATATTAAAACGGGCACTTATGAGAATGGAAATTGACAGTTATTGCAAATGAAAATAGGAACTTTCGAAGGAAAAAGGGCACGTGTAAAAAGGGCACGTGTAAGAAGAATTAGCTCTTTTCAGAGGTGAAAAGGGGAAGGTTTTTTAAAACAAAATAATAGGGGCAGTTGTCAAAGTAAAAGGGGCGCTTTTACTATGTAAAATAGGGCACTTTTTCATATGTAAAAAGAGGTCCTTGAACAAGTAAGAGGGGGCACTGTGCCGCCGCCTGCCCCCTCCCCCACCCCCGGAGCGCTGCCGCTGATCTAAAGAGTTCAGAGGAAGTGGTCGAGTCGCTGGTAGAAGTATAGGGTCCGAAGCAAGGCCAGAAACCGGGCCTGAAACTGGGCTCTTCTTCAAGAAGTTCATTGAAGATTGCATTTGGTCACCCATCTTGGAAAAAAGAAAATGGCTCAAGAACTCCCGCTCGTTTTGAGTCGTAAGGTCGGAATTACTCGTATGAAGATCGTGACAACTCGTATTAATACACTCTGTAAATCAGGGCCATCTGCCATCTTTTCCACGAGTTGCCATGAGTTAGAGGACGCGAAAACTCGCAGCAACTAGTACTTCCAAAGTTCCAACTCGCATGCATATTCCCAAAGTCCGTTAAAGACCGTCAACACTACTGGGCCAGAAGGGATTAGACCACACAGCGAGGTCACTGACAGGTGGCTATCTCATTAACTCAGCTCTCAACTAACATAAGAAAAAGAGGATCATAGGGGACCAACAGGCACCGATTGGGGAAGTTTTCTATATAGAGGGAGCAAGTAGCTACAGGTAGGACAGTGGGGCTTTAAATAAAAAGGGAAACCAGCGTCACAAGTCAACTGACTACACTCTCAAAATGAAAAGGTACTTTGCAACTGATGTAAGTTGCGAAATTAAGCTCGTAATCCTTTTATGCGTATTCCCAAGGTATGTTTCAAAGGTAGGACACCAATCCTTTTGGGATGCGATATAATCCATCGTATTAAGTGATAAATCATTCGCGTTATAATAGTTTGCAATGGGTCCAATAACATGTTTTGTAGTCTGGAAAAAGTCGGATAAATGCATTAGCGATCATCTCACCACAGTATTTTACATTTTTCGACATCTTTATGTCGAAACTTTCGTGATCTAGACAAGGATTCCTTCATCGCCAGCATAACTGAGGCTTTTCACAACTTTCCTTTTGATGGGAATGTTGATGACCAGGTGACCTTTTACAATGAAACTGTTTTGGAAGTACTTGACCAGCATTGCCCTGCGACTAAGCGTGTCCATCGTTTTCGCTCTCGTCCTCCGTGGTATACAGATGAAATTCATCAGGCAAGACGTCTTCGGCGTAAAGTTGAAAGGCGCTGGAGAAAGTCGCATACAGTCGAGAGCCGCCAGCAATATCTCTCCAGGTTCATGCGGTCTGCAAGCTCATTGAAAGAGAGAAATCAAAGTACTATACAGAACAGTTAAGCAGTGCAGACGTAAAGAATGTGTTCCATGTTCTGAATACGCTTTTGAACAGGTCACCGATGGCTCTACCGGTTGATAGCTCTACTACATCACTACCAGAGAGGTTTGCTACTTTCTTTGAACAGAAGGTAGAGAAGATTAGAGCAAGTCTTATGACAGGTAATGCAGGAGTTACGGACACCTGTAATGATGATGGGATGATCACGGATGCCTCTGTTCCTATCACCGAACTGTCAGATTTCGACACTGTGACTCTTGAGACGGTCTGCAAATTAATACGTTCTTCACCAAATAAGACATGCTCGCTAGATGCACTACCAACGTGGCTTTTGAAAGAGAACATTAACACTTTTCTTCCATATATTGCATCAATTGTACACACATCATTGAGTAGCGGTGTCTTCCCCTCAGCACTGAAGGAAGCCGTGGTAGTTCCACTGATCAAGAAGAGCAATCTTGACAGGGAAGATCTGAAGAACTACAGGCCTGTCTCAAACGTCCCTTTTCTATCAAAAATCATTGAAAAGGCTGCATTGTCTCAACTCTCGGACCACATGGACGAACATGATTTGAACGTTGAGAACCAGTCAGCTTACCGCCGTTGGCACAGTACAGAGACTGCTCTTCTAAAAGTACAAAATGACATTCTGGGAGCATTGGACAACAGGTTGGTTACCTTTGTCGTATTCCTGGACCTGTCTGCTGCGTTTGACTGTGTTGACCACACAATACTTCTACAGCGTATGGACAAGCTTTTTGGCATCTCAGGAATGGTGAGATCGTGGTTTGACTCGTACCTGTCAGACAGAAGCTTCAGGATGAAGGTTGTGAATGAGCTATCAGAACAAAAACCTCTGAGATTCGGAGTTCCACAAGGCTCAGTGGTTGGTCCTCAACTTTTCAGTTTATACACTCATCCTGTAGCTGATATCATCAAGCATCATGCAGGGATACAACACCACATCTATGCAGATGACGTGCAACTGTACATCTCTGTCGATCCAAAGGACAGGCATGCAATGACAGCTGCTCTTGAGTCATTATCTGCGTGTATCATCAATCTGCAACAATGGATGAAGAGCAACATGTTGAAACTGAACTCTGAAAAAACGGATTTCCTTATTGTTGCTAGTCCACGCTATCGACATCTCATATCAGGGATTGTTCTGACCATTGGTGGTACAGTTATTGAGCCTTCAACCTCTATCCGAAGTTTGGGTGTTGAGATTGACGCTAATCTGAAGTTGAATCGCCACGTGTCATCTCTATCCAGTTCGCTTCACTTTCATTTGTCCAACATAGCACGCATCAGGCCCTTCCTGGACCAGTCTGCATGTGAGCATGCTGTGAGAGCGCTCGTCTCGTCTAGGATCGACTACGCAAACTCCCTTCTCTGGGCACTTCTGCATTAAATGTGAAGCGTCTGCAGCGAGCTCAGAACCGTGCTGCAAAGTTGGTTTTTCGGGCCAAGAAGTACGACCATGTACACAACCTTTCCTACAACAACTTCATTGGCTCCCCGTTGAAAAGCGCATAACATACAAAATTCTGACTATTACATACAAATGTCTTAATAATTCTGCTCCCAACTACCTCACGAAACTCTTACGTAAGCATCAAACAGCAAGACCAGGGCTCCGATCAAGCAATGACCCAGCACTACTCGCAGTTCCAAGGACCAATACATGTACAGGTGACAAATCCTTCTCTTCTGCTGCACCACGCCTATGGAACAACCTCCCCCAGAACGTGCGGACGTCGTCATCCCTTTCTCAGTTCCAGAAGTCCCTTAAGACATTTCTATTTAATACTTAATCTGTACCTGTAATATTACATGTAGTTTATAAGTTATTTTGTAAGACAATTTTTTTAATTTTTTTATGCGTAATCAGGAAATGTAATCAGTTCATAAGTTATTTTGTTATTGATATTCTTATATATGTATATGATATGTAAAGCGCTGTGATACATTTACTGTAATGAGCGCTATATAAATGCAAATATTATTATTATTAATATAAAAGAACATGTGATGAAAGGAAAACCTTGAAATGAGACTTTAAAAAAAAAAGTTAATTGCAGTTAATTCATAGAAAGTCAACGCAATGTAGGATCATCATGGAAAGCTGATGAAAGTTGCAACCTTTTGTGAATATAAACGACCAAAAATGTCGATCTCAGACAACGAACGAACGGACATTATGTAAATGTTAAATCAAAAGCTAAAAACAACAACAACAAAAGCATATTATCTTTAGATCACGAAAGATTTGACAGACCATTTTTCAGTGGCATTTGACATGAAAGGTTACAGAGAAGAATGGGGGTAAGAAATTTAAAGAGAGAGAGAGAGAGAGAGAGAGAGGCAGACAGAGTTGGAGACGGAGACATGCAGAGAGAGAGAGAGAGAGAGAGGAGGGGCAGAGAGACATCACTTAGCCCCGGAGAATCAGAGAATCCTGAATCCGTATGGCAAGCCGTTCTGCTATATTTAAAACGATTTTTTTGAAATCACTAACTTCATTTCGTGATATCACAAATTCGAATTTGTGATATCACTAATCCATATTGGCTTATCCCATAAAACCCAATTTTTGATATCATGTTTTCAAATTTGTGATATCAAGAATTCAAATTGTGATATCACAAATTGGGTTTATGTGATAAACCTATGAGAATTTGTGATATCACAAATTCGATTTCGTGATACCACCAATTAGAATTTGTGATATCACAAATTTGAATTTGGGGTATCACTAATTTCCATTGGTTTATCCCATGAAACCCATTTTTTTATATCAAGTTTTTGAATTTATGATATCAAGAATTCAATTTGTGATATCACAAATTCGATTTCGTGATACCTACCAATTAGAATTCGGGATATCACAAATTCGATTTTGTGTGTTGAGCAGGCACGTAGCCAGAGTTCGACGTTTTTTTTTTTTTGGGGGGGGGGGGGGCACATACATGTAATCGATCGAGGTAAAAAAAAAAAGGGGTTTAAAAAAATTCAACCGATCTTGGAAATTTGATAAATAGTGAGGACATGACGTCACAGACTCAAGAGTGAGTTGCAAATTTGTCTTGTGATTTTTATTGTTCCATAGTTTTACACACTTGTTCAAAAATTCATAACTTTTTTATTAGTTATCCGATTTTGCTCAAACTTTTTGTTATCGGTTTGTTTGATTTTTCTGCGTCTATTGAAAGTGAGTTAGTTTTAGAGTGGACTTGCCCTTTAAGAATACGGCCCGTGAATTTGAGCACACAACTAACACTCGAGTACCCAGCTGCATTATGAGCTGAATTTGTGCACAAAAATAATGCTCGAATGCCTGTAAATTTTATCGCAAAAGAGCGCTTGAATTCAGCGTTGAATTTCTGCACAAAACTAATGCTCGAATGCCTGTGCATTTCATCGTAAAAAGAGCGCATGAATTCAGAGTTGATTTTCTGCACAAAACTGAATTTCTCAGTGCGACAAAATATTGCTCGAAATCCTCGTCCAATTTCTGCACAAATTAAAGTAATGTTCGGGCTCGAATAGCCTACCCAGCTGAATTTCTTCGCAAAAAAGTGTTGAAAATCATCTTCGAATACCAAGCTGAATTTCTGCGCAAAACTAGTGCGTGAAATCAGCGTCGAATTTCTGCACAAAACTAATGTTCGAAATCCCAGTGATTTTTTGCACAAGATGAGTGCTAGAATTCCTTTTCCTTTTTGTGATATCACAAATTCCATTTTGTGATATCAATAATTGAGTTTAAGTGATAAACCAATGGGAATTCGTGATAATACTAATTCCGTTTTATAATATCACAAATTCGAATTCCTAATATCACGAAATGGAATTAGTGATATCAAAAAAATCATTTTAAATAGCAAAACGGTTCGCCATAAATCCGTCCCTGATTATTATAAGATTGAAAACCTTATAAGAATTACAAATTACGTACCATGGCTTGTTCTTCTGTTTCGACTGTGCTGTTCGATCAGTGCAAGGCAACAAGTCACCATCAAAGAACTCCAGAGAGCTAGCAGGAGGAACCTCGAAGACATTTTGCCTTCTCCAACGATGATCTTGGTGGTTAGAAAGTCCAGCAAACAGGTTCTTTTCCCAACGAAAGACTGCAAATGCTTCCTGATGAGTTGAAGTTGTAACCGGTAGCACGGACCCTATATGCTTTGGCTGAGGGTTTGTCTGCCTTTGTCTCGTTCTCATAGTTTTCTTTACCTTTTAAAGACTGCTGTGCATAAACCTTGTAACTTGAAGAAGTCTATATAAGGAAGAAATTGCACACGGCACTATAGTTTTTATGCCATGCCCCATTGCGCAAGTGCAGTTTGACAGATCAAAGTGAAGATTGAAGTCTTCCTGTAGCACCTGTATCGTAGCACCCCCTTTTTTTCTAGCGCGCGCTAGACCGCGCTCTCTCTCGTGGACCACCCCCAAGAGGTGCTCCAGTGGCACGCCGTTTTGGCTCGCCGTGGCTCGCTGTTAGGCGGACCGAAACGACGTTGTACCTTCCAGACCGCAGAGATCGCGCGGTCTAGCCAAAACGGCGTGCCACTGGAGCACCTCTTGGGGGTGGTCCACGAGAGAGAGAGCGCGGTCTAGCGCGCGCTAGAAAAAAGGGGGTGCTACGATAGACCGCGCTATCTTATTGCGTGTGTGAACAAGCCTCTAAGTCAGGCCTTCTCAACTGGCGGCGAGCGCGCCACTTGTGGCGCTTGGGGTCGGTCGGAGTGGCGCGCGACTGTTGCAACAAAAACAAAAAAAAACAGAAAGAAATATGTATTTTAGAATTAAATACTCAGCAAAATCAAGAAGTTGCTATCGAATTCGAACTCAAATGCCTGCTTAATAAACAGGACAGAAGTGAAATTTACCGTTTTTTACCATTTTATACGACTCTAAACCTAATCTCTTTAAGAAACAGTTAGTTTACGATGGGCTACCAATTTTAACATTGCCAATCTCTGGAAACGTCTTGTTTTTGTTTGTTTGATTTTGACTTTATTTTGACATTTCCCGTGTTTATTGCACCCAAAAAACTACATATAAATTTACCTCCAGTGTAATTGTACCCAGGAATTGTACAATATGAAATTAGGATTGATTATATTGTGGAATGAAATGGTGTTAAAAATGCCCCATTTGGGCCTTTAGATCGAAAGCCCTAAAATCCACCAGCTTCAGAGGGCTCCGCCCCCTGCTACCCCCCGTTGGGGCTTAGCCCCTCGACCCCATCCGTTTTCGGCTCGGTAGCTACGCTCCCTCCCAGCACAGTCAAACATACAGGGTGGCACTTCAACTACAAATTCTTTACGTTTTGGCACTTCTAATAAACTAGTTGAGAAGGCCTGCTCTAAGTCTATATAAGGAAGAAATGGCGTGATTGGGCGATCATCTGTCGGACTTACACAGTGGCGGATCCAGCCGGCGGCAAGAGGGGGGGGGGGCTAATTCGTGAGAAAATATTTAGCGGCGACTCAGCCGCCGGTGGATAAGCAACAAAAAAAAAAAAAAAAAAATTATTATTATTATTATTATTATTATTATTATTATTATTATTATTATTATTATTATTGCCAGTGGGTGGGGGGGGGGGGCGGGCGGGCGGGCCTGTCGAACACTCTTGTTCACGTCATGTGATTCCTGACTGAACTAAAGGTTTATAATTATGATTGCAGCATGAGCTAAGTCCAGCATTTTGTGTGCCAATATCTTAAAAAGAGAGTGCAATCGCCGAAATTGATTGTAATGGTATGTTAATTGATAACGTAGACATTAAGTTTCTCTTCGAATTCTGCGATTTTGTAAGAGCTATAAATATGGTACTTTTGTTTTTAGCGTTCCTAAATAAGCGATAATATGAGCAGTCGTAAGAGTAGCGTTTCAAAATTCAATCAAAATTGTCTAGGTTAGTGCAAATACCAAAATACTTCTTTGTTAATCAATGATTATTTTTAATGATTCTTAATGATTAATTTAATGTAATAGAGTTTTAAATGGGACCAAACTTGACTAGTTACATAACAATGTAAAAGAGATTGTTTTTAAGGATAATAAAGTTTAAGCTGTCCGGTTTTTAAAGATAATGCTTCAAAACAAATCGACCAAGCTGTTTATTTCTTTATTCATGGTCTGTTTCTTCTGTTCATTTATTTTCCTTGTATATACTATATACAAACTATTTATTGGGCTTATTTTGCTTTCTAATGGATCCGTACAATATGGCACAGATTAAGGGACCTGGAAGAGCCCCTGCCGGGGGTTCCGGGGCAGAGCCCCAGGATGCTCTCGAGTTTATTTGACTTTCAAGAGAAAGTGTCTCTAAGATATAAAGAGAGGTTATTTCTTAAATGAAGTGAAAGGACTCTTGAAATAAATTAGCCCTTTCATTTCATTTTAGAAATAAACTCTAATCCATCCCTTGATATTTAAATTGCACTGCTCCTACTTTGTGCTTTTATCACACTCTCCCTGATCTATAAAGGGTGCTTTCTTAATTTGATCATCAACAGAAGCAAAATGCTAGGCCACGAACTTTTCGGAGCGTGACCAGATTCAAAGTATGCTTAAATGTGGGCATTGATGTACCGGTATGTAGAAAAAACAGGATTAAGATCCCATGCAACACTTCGAAATGTAAAGAAGAATGAGAAAAATAAAGTTGAGATTCGACCTTTATGTCTAAATGTTGCTTAATGCATTTCGTATTGGTATTATCTCCTATCTGAGAGTGATTATAGACGTTATTTATATGTCCGGGTCTTTGAACATAATGCTTCAAAACAAATCGAACAAGCTGTTTATTTCTTTATCCATGGTCTGTTTCTACTGTTTATCTATTTTCCTTGGCAACCCTCGAAAACGAATTTATTATGCATTTCACAGAGAAAAGTTTGCATATTGATGAACCATATACGGGCGCAGGCCCACTCAAGTGTGAATTTGGCGCATCTTCCATCATCTTCTTCAACCAGGAAATGGACTTCATTGTAGCCTTTGGACAGGATGGTGACATAAAATTGATAAAAAACATCATAATCAGATTATCCGACCCCGGAAACCCCATGAATTTATCAACTTTTATCATACTGGTCTTTTTCCTTTTGGAACTACGCTTGACCTTTAACTCGGATGGCGGCCATTTTTTTATTAGGCCAATATGGCCAGCATGACAACCCCAAGGAGACCTGTAATTGATACAAGCAACATCATAATCAGATTCGCTGACCCCGAAAACCCCCTTACTATATAAACTTTTATCACACTAGCCCTTTTCCTTTTGGAACTACTATTGACCTGTAACTATCAGATGGCGGCCATTTTGGATTTGACCAATATGACCAGTATATATGGCAGCCCCAACTGAGACCTCAAATCGATGACAGAACATCATGATCAGTTTCACTGACCCCAAAAAACCCATAAATATATAAACTGTTATTATACTAGCCCGTTTCCTTCGTGACTTGACCTGCCAGATGGCGGCTATTCTGGATTTGACCAATATTACCAGTATGACTCGAGGAGATCTCAAATCGATGAAAGAACATCATAATCAGATTCTCTGACCCCGAAAACCCCATAAATATATAAACTTTTATCATACTAGCCCATTTCCTTTCGTAACTACACTTGACCTGTAACTATCAGATGGCGGCCATTTTGGATTTGACCAATTTGACCAGTATGGCAGCCCCAAGGAAACCTCAAATCGACGAAAGAACATCATAATCAGATTATCTGACCCCAAAAACCCCTACAATCGCTTTTTCTTTTGGAACTACGCTTGACCTTTAACTCAGATGGTGGCCATTTTGGATTTGCCCAATATGGCATACCCAGAGCCAGAGGGTGCCCTTCTTGGCGTCCGGCAGAAATCGTAAAAGTATGGTATAATCTACCTCTGGGCCAAATTTGGTGCTTTTAGAAGAATCTGCACCAAACAAACCCTATTTAGCCCTAACAGCCCCCACTACAGTGTGAAATATCAAAGTTAAGATTGAAGTTTTCCTGTTGTTCTTGTTGTGTGGTGTCTATTCACAGACATTGCTAACTTTAGCTTGACTTGTAAATATTAGCTAAGTTCAAACATCAGATATAAAGGAATGGTCAAGAAATGTATTTATACTTTCACTACCAACTTTCTTCCCAAAATGTAATCTTAGGAGCTACGACCCTGACGATCTTCAGAAGGTAGCTTCTGGGAACATCCAGAATGATTAGAAAAACATTTGGATATTAATGAAAATATGCAACATTTGGTGATGGTTAAACAGTCAAAAGCCTTTCGAGAAATACAGAATAAATCCCGTTTAATTTGCAGAATAATGATCAAGTTAATTGCTAATACTATCGAAATAGCAACAACAAACATGTAATGCATGTAGAACCTTAAATTTGCATTCCTAAACCATGGAAAACCCTTCTTATTCTCCTTCTCATGCGAAAAAAATCCAGGGTTTGGAACCGCCATCTTTGTGAAGAGATCATTGTGAGACTGAGATTATTGCATAAGGATTATGGAAATCTGCATTTAAACGAAAAGTTTCTCGAGTTACAGGAAGTATAGCGAATTACAATTTTTAAACTGTTTATATGTGAAAGGAAATCATACACATTGTTAGCTTGACTTGTACAAATTAACTAAGTGTAAACATCGGATACTGTACCTACTCTCACTAACAACATCTTCCCAAAATATTAGGATTTACGATCATGACGATCTTCAGGAGGTATATAGCTCAATCCTTGGTACAATCAGAATGATTAGGAAAAAACGCTTTGATATTCATGGTATACATTTGAAAAGTTGCAGGACCTGGTGATGATGATTAAACGAAAGTCTTTCGATAAATACAGACTACTTCCTCTTTAATTTTGCAAAAGAATGATAAAGATGCTTATCAATAAAGATGGTGATTGTGATGACTGTGACTGTGACGATAACACTGCTACTCGATACTGTATGCAGGTGCGTACGCAGGGCGGGGGGTACCCCCTACATTTGTTTCAATGTGTGTGTTTTGGAGGAAACTCCCCCCCCCCCCTCCTTTTTTTCTTCTTAATAAAACAAAAAATAATGCTAATGGGTGACCTAAAAAAAGGTAACCTTACCCACCCCCCCCCCATACAAAACGAAATATCGATCAGTCAAATCTTCAAATTTCGGGACAAAAAAAAAGTCCTCTTACTCACCCCCCCCCCCCCCCCCCCCTCTTATTCAGCGGTTGGCTGATCGTTGCGAAATTTTCGGTCCGATTTAAAAATGTTAACCCCCCCCCCCCCTTGAAAAAAAATCCTGCGTACGCCTCTAGCTCTGATTGTATGTCATTGCAAATCTATATTGCAATCCTACATCCTACGAATTAGTCACACATAGGTGCATTACTGTCCTGGCTGTGTATTAAAAGCTGTGCTATTGATTCTCAACATTTCAAACACTACTGTACAAAACTCAACAAATTTCACTAAAAATCGGTACTTAAGTGACAATTGATGACACCTACATAACAGTAAAATACAATTTTTTTCAACTTTTCGATGTTAAAAAAAAATTTAAAAATTCAAATTGTGAGTCCACCGCAGACTTGCCGATCAACCACATCGGAATAATTGTGTGCATTTATGTATTATCAGTGTATTGACTATTCATGTATTCAACTGCTGCCTATTAACACGTAGTGCAGTGCTAAAGGTCAATACGCATTATGTTAGTATTGACTGTCTATGCTTTGCTGGAGTGCGAATTTAATCCGGAGACTGGAAGAGTAAGTGTGTGTTATTTTTCAGATTCTCTGTGCCGTCAAGTAAAATCAACATATTTGAACATTCAGTAACGTTTTCCTATCCAGGGGGGCATATGATTTGTGATTTCCCCTTTGTGTGCTATTTTTGGTGTCATTTTAAAAGCGTCAATACCGAATCAAAAAGGCGAATGTAGTCCCATGTGTTAATATCTGCGTCAGTACCTTGCTCAGTTGCTGTTTACAAGTTTGTTAAATATCGCTTTCTTTCTCTTCTCTCTGTTTAAAAGAACTCGTAGCTAGCTTTAGGCATATATCATTATGTTTTCATTAGACTATATAATATATAGACCTATATATACTCTATATATATATATAAAGAATTGATGTGTTTTTTAACCTAGGCTAGCCTCTAAGTTAGAGTCTAGATCTAGACCTAGGGTCTAGACTAGATCTAATTAATGTTTGTTCAAAATCTGTCTCAAAAATGCTGAAAATGAGAAACTCCCTCTTCATCTTGTCTGTCTTTAAGATGTTACAACTAGTCTATTTATTTGTTTAGTATCATAACAAGCATAATGTCATTTGTACATTTTATGTTTGTGTTTGAGGGCTTTAATTTTAAAGTCTTATGTGTTATGAATAGACCTACTACTAGACTAGGTCTAGTACTAGATTCTAATGGGAAATGGAAAACTGACACTATTGCCTTTGGTCTCATTCATTGTGCAGATCGGAGTGATACCCCAAAAAAACTTTTGTCCTGCCGCTGGCCGAGGACGAGGCGAAGGTCATTAAAATTGGATTCAAATAGATCTATGCACATATTTTAATGCTAATGACGCTACTACTAATAATAATAATAATAATAGCCTAATAGACTCTAGGTCTAGTTCACTCCAAATTTTATTAAACCGAAACGGAAATTCTTTTTGCCCAATTGATCGTGAGCCCGGCAGCCACTGAGCAGCGCCAGATCGACGTTGCTCTATCTCACACACCCTCTACTGCCAGCCAAATGACTAATTACCATAATACCAATACCATGTTGAATACTATTTCCATGTCGTAGAGCCTTATTACATAAATGTGAACTGATGTACTATCATAGGTGCAGTTTGAGCATGAAAATGAAATAGAGAACAGTTTCATGAGCCCGTTGAAAATGCTGGATTTAATGTGTCACTAGAAATGGTCTGAATTGCAATGCCACTAGACCCTACTCAGCATTTTCTTTTTTGAATAGGTACATGTACAGTGTACCTCCATGTACTTAATACTTGATGGAGTAATCCCTTTGGCAGCTCACTCAGGAAGCTATACTAGGATGGTAGGTGAGGCAAGTAACTGCAAGGAGTGCCATGAATGATGAAGTGCAGAAATAGTGTGTGGACAAAGCACTTATCAATTTACAGTAAAGTCCAGTGCTAATTTTCAAACTTGCATAGGAATCCACCTCTTCAGCACGTTTATGTCAAGGTTTAGTGTTGGTATCGCTCTTTGGCACTTTGATACTTTCTTCTATACTAGACTCCTGTACCCAGTCCTTTGATCCAGCCAAGTGGCAAGGAGAAGATGGCTGGTGAAGGTGGTTCCCTAGACCATGAAGTTCTCATGCAAATGGCTAGCCTGGTGGAGAGCCTAACCACATCTGGTCAACCTGCCTTGGACCAGGACACAATGAAACAGCTGAAGAAAATATGCAAGTATGTTCAACAACAAAGCTGAGTTAATCAAAGAATCTCTATGTTGAATATTGAATATTGAATTTGTGTTCAAATTGCAAAGTTTTGATAAATTGTTGATATATTTGGATTCCCCTGTGGATGTATTATAAGCACTTAACAATTTAGCCCCTAAAACACTTCTGCTTTCGGGCATATTGAATAATGAAAATTTACCAGTGCCCCCGGTAAATTTCAAATATTTCAAATAGCGCCTAATGCCATTCCGTGGAAGCTGCGACCATGAAAATCTCAGGATATGCAGTTCTGATATATAATTTCCAAACAGGAATAGCAAATCGGTCGATTGAAGTCAAGAAGCATTGTTTTAAAGCTAAAGTAATATCAGTCCTGAGAGGGCGCTATACAACATAAAGAGTTTATTATTTACAATTCCATCACTTTAGACTCGATTTTAACAGTGACAACGATCATTGAATATTGTAAAATCGCATGTGCTTCCAATATGTTCATTTGAACCAAATTCATGACCCCATACCAAAACTTTGTAATACATGTACCTTTAATACAGCGCTCAAAATACACGGGGCCGGTGGGCGATTCGCCCCCGTGTAATAATACATAATCGCCCCCGTCAGGTTGCTCACAGGGGCGATTGCCAAATTAAAAATCGCCCCCGTGGAATTATAAAATAAAGATTATCTTTTCTGTTATAACTTTAACACAATATTGAGTTTCAATTTTCAAACCTTACACCAATGAAATGCAACTTAAATTAGCGTGCAAGATTTCTCGTTTTATGAGTAGGCCTATTATTACCGATTCAGCTCGCAGTGCAGTGTCGCCGTCAGCAGTGGTTATAGGCCTACTGCGCCGTTAGTAACGGTACGTGTGCACGCTGCCACGCCATGTCTGCTGGAACTGGAGGCGATCGCGCAAGGGCAGAAACATGGTCATGGAGACGTTTTTCGTTGTGAAAGCGTTAACCGCTGAAATCTGGTGATTTCAAATGACCAGCAAATAATGAACTTCGACCAGTAAATCAATATTAGGGACATTTAGATTTGCACGATGAGAACGTGGACTGCAACGTGTGACCTCCTTTTAAGGCAGTGCCAGTGCTTAAAAGGACGTCACATGTGACTGCCAGTGCCTTAAAAGGACGTAACACGTCCACGTCCACGCAAATCTAAAAGTCCTTATTGAGAAGAAGAGGAAGACCAAGATGTCGTGGAATGATATGGTAACATGGGCAGATCTATGGGGGGGGGGGGGTTTAACCCCCTCCTGCCAAGTGAAAATGTGATATTAAAGCGAGGGGGGATGCTGGAGAGGAGGACTACTAATCTATTTTATTTTTTTCAGGGGGGGGGGGGAAGTGAAGCGCCGTTTTAGCATGACTTTCTTTTTAACTCTTACTTTCACCTATCTCAGCTAACCCTAAGTTTTTGGTTGCTGCTTTTTAAGTAGTTGATAATGCATGATTAAAATAAAGAGAGAGAGAGAGAGAGAGAGAGAGAGAACCACCATCATTTTGCAATGGTTCAGGGTTCGTGTAATGTACATTTGAAACCATTTCTTAGCGTCTCAACCCTAAAAAATAACAAAACTATTTTTGTGGAAAAGCATTATACTGAATTAAATAAAGAATAATAGCTTTATATTGGATCATACTAATACTGATACGGGCTAAAGACAATGTGGTATTTGTGACATTCTGATAATTAACATTTGTTCTGGTGTCATATGTATATACGCATAATACAACTGATCTTTATGATTTCTTAACGTGACATAGCTTCTCCTCCCCCTGCAAACGAAAAAGAAAACAAGGTTATTTAATAAAAGAATCATGCGACAAATAATCATTGTGATTCAAATTGATGCAAGGATTTTTTTTTTAATAAGCAATGCTTTTCACCAGAATCTTCTTTGTAAAAACGACTTTTACAAATCTCAGCCATGCAGATCTGCTGCTGTGTTGTAAGATCACTTTCAGATTAGGAGAAGTGTATTCTTTAATGAGTATTTTACATTGAATGGAACGTCTCAACTCAGTAAGCATGGCTGAGATTTGTAAAAGTTGTTTTTACAAAGAAGATTTGGGTGAATAGCAGTGCTTATTCAAACAAATATTCGCATCAATTTGAATCACAATCATTATTTGTCGCTTAATCCCTTTTAATGACCTTGTTTTCTTTCTCGTTTGCAAGGGGAGAAGAAGATATGTCACATTAAAGACATCATAAAGATCAGTGTTATATGTGTATATATTATACACACAGGCCAGTAACAGCTACATGTATGTAGCTTGTAAATTTGTAAGAGGGAAAATGCTAATTGAAATGATAATGATGAAATAGCAAATAATTGAGGAGTATCATGAAACCAATTCAATGCATATTTGTATAAAAAAGAGCCCCTGTCAGTACTAAAAGAGCCCCAGTGAGCCTTCTCATGGGGGCTCTTTTTTTGGATGGAAGAGCCCCCGTGGACAAAAAATTAATTTGAGCCCTGCTTTAATACCTTTCTGTTGAATCTGACCCATATATAAGAAATACTACCCAAAATTGTAACTGTTATTATTGTATCATACAGTGTCTAGACTGTAGATAGTTGCTTTATTTATTTCCAAACCAGAGAACAAATACATGCTTTGTGAAGTTTTTGTTTCCATGGAAGACATACATGTAAGTAAATTACAATCATTACATTTTAAAAGCAACACCAAATGTGATTCACAGAAGTTGATTTTTAAAAAATAGATATGCACTTTTATTCTCTGTATTCCGATTGATGTTCCAGGGTATCTGATGCCTACGTCGAGCACTGCTTCCATCTCATCATGAACCAGCTTGAGGAAGAGCATTCAGAGATCAGACTGTCTGCGTTTCAGGTTTGCCAGTCTTTTTCTTTTTTTCTTCAGTCTATGTCATTTTCATTCCTTTTTGGTCCCACAACCCAATTTATTATCTGATTACAAACAGATCAGAGAAATGTACACTTTTGGTCAGTTCCTTAATAGTCAATATTAAGTTAAGGATATAGACATATTTTGACCACATATTTTCTGTCATTGGTATTTATTTTAGTTTTTCTATCAGTGATTTTGCATAGGAACTTGTCCACAAAAGTATTTTCTGAACCCCAGAGCAGATCATATAAAACATTCACAAAAGTAATACTTATATAATTTCTCTAATTTCAAACGCTCTTAGGTCATTAATGAGCTCTTTGGTCGATCCCATCGGTTTCGAGAGCTCCTGGTGGCTGACATGCAGGATTACATGGAGCTGACCATAGGGACCAGTGTGGATGTCCCTCTACCTCCTCCCAAACCTGCTGCTATACTTCTGAAGGAGCATGCTCTCAGGGCCATGCAGGAGTGGTTTAACAAGTTTGGAAAGGCATACAAGAAGCTGGGTCTGGGATACACGTACCTCAAGAACTGTAAGAAGGTATGTACTGATTTGATTTGACATGATTTAACTTGACTTGACAAGATTTGAGTTGGATATCCCTTACCTCCTCCCAAATCTGCTGCTATACTTCTGAAGGAGCATGCTCCCAGGGCCATTCAGGAGTGGTTTAACAAGTTTGGAAAGGCATACATACTGTAAGAAGGTATGTGCTGATTTGACTTGATGGGATCTCCCATATTCTCCCTCTGCCTCCTCCCAAACCTGCTGCTATACTCCTGAAGGAGCATGCTCCCAGGGCCATTCAGGAGTGGTTTAACAAGTTTGGAATACAAGAAGCTGGGTCTGGGACAGGCAGGGCTCAAATTAATTTTTTGTCCACGTGGGCTCTTCCCCCCCCCCCCAAAAAAAAAGAGCCCCTGTGAGCCTTCTCACGGGGGCTCTTTTAGTACTGACGGGGGCTCTTTTTTATACAAATATGCATTGAATTGGTACCTATGATACTCCTCAATTATTGTCATCATTATCATTTCAATCAGCATTTTCCCTCTTACAAATTTACAAGCTACATACATGTAGCTGTTACTGGCCTGTGTATATAATATATATGCATGCAACACTGATCTTTATGATGTCTTTAACGTGACATATCTTCTTCTCCCCTTGCAAACGAGAAAGAAAACAAGGTCATTAAAAGGGATTAAGCGACAAATAATGATTGTGATTCAAATTGATGCGAATATTTGTTTGAATAAGCACTGCTATTCACCCAAATCTTCTTTGTAAAAACAACTTTTACAAATCTCAGCCATGCTTACTGAGTTGAGACGTTCCATTCAATGTAAAATACTCATTAAAGAATACACTTCTCCTAATCTGAAAGTGATCTTACAACACAGCAGCAGATCTGCATGGCTGAGATTTGTAAAAGTCGTTTTTACAAAGAAGATTCTGGTGAAAAGCATTGCTTATTAAAAAAAAATCCTTGCATCAATTTGAATCACAATGATTATTTGTCGCATGATTCTTTTATTAAATAACCTTGTTTTCATTTTTGTTTGCAGGGGGAGAAGAAGCTATGTCACGTTAAGAAATCATAAAGATCAGTTGTATTATGCGTATATACATATGATACCAGAACAAATGTTGATTATCAGAATGTCATTTTGAAATACCTCTATACAAATACCACATTGTCTTTAGCCCGTATCAGTATTAGTATGATCCAATATAAAGCTATTATTCTTTATTTAATTCAGTATAATGCTTTTCCTCAAAAATAGTTTTGCAAATTTTTTTTTTTTTTGAGACGCTAAGAAAAAAAAATCATGCGTCCGGTAAAAAAATCATGTGTCCGGTAAAAAAAAATCTGTAAAAAAACAAAATGTTGTATTTTTGACAATTTTTGGGGCCCCATCTTATAAAAGGGATATGCACAGGTTTAATTCGTGGGTCAGTGGAATTGTGTGCATGCGGTACCTTTGAATTTGGTCTAAAACCAACTCGGCTGCGCCTCGTGGGTTCAAACCATTCAAAGGTAGGAGCATGCACTCAGGGTCACGCAGGAGTGTTAGATAACAAGTTTGGCAAGCCCAAGAACTGTAAGAACATATTAATTGTAATTTGACTTGAATGTACAATGTATTAATGGCTATATTTTATTCCCTATAGGTTCAAACATTCATTGAATGATACATAAAGTAGCCTGACCATTAAGAAAAATAAATACTTCTACTCTTTTGTAATAAGCAACCAGTGGAGGTTCAGCTTTAAGTATTACTGTATCAGAGGGACTGAGGGACTGTGGTAGATAGTTCAGGAGTAATGCCTTACCGAAGGGTGCAAGTGCATCGACTTGATTTCGAGGCTGGGACCTCTTGATTAAAAGAGCACTACGCTGTCACTGAACCATTCTGCATCCTCTAGCTTATTGTGCACTTGTGATCATTTTCAAGGTAATATTGATCTTTTATCTTGGCAGGTCGACTTTGTGAATATCCAAGCAAGATCCGATGCCGAGAGACGGAGAGCAGAAGAGAGGCAACGTCGCCTTGAGCAGGCTCAAGCACAAAAGCTAAATAAAGTCACAAAAGAAATGGATGGTTAGCAAGCTTTACTTTTCAAATATATATGCCATCAGACCTTCTCCTGTCTAAAGTAGATTTTCTCTTGCTTCATGCTTTATGAAGATGACTATAGATGTAGCTGTACGTTTTCTTATTCACCTCTTCCTTTTTCCTTTTACCTGTATGTTTAGTGCTTAATGTTTTTTTTATAACTAAGTTTGTTTGTATCTCATGTTTATGCTATGTTTATTTCTTTATGTATTAGGGGCCCATTAATCAAGCCTTGGCTTTTAGGGGCACCCTGACCATTTACACTGTATCAATAATGTTCACACACGCATGATTTGTATACTGTTTGTGATTTTAAATGGTTTAATAAAACAAATTGAATTGAATTGAAGAAGCACATTCATATGTTGGAAGTGAGTATAGAAATATCGATAAATACCTTTTGTAGAACACATACATGTGCTATATAAAACAATGGGACACAGAGAGATGAATTGGTCTATACCAGATCTATCTTTCTGTCTCACAGGCACTCAGGTAACAGTCTGATGAATCTTGATACACATATTCTCCTGCATCTGTTTGTCTTTACCTGAGGGGCGTTTCACAAAGCCTTTTTTCAATGAAAAATTACACAAATCAGTGACAAATCTACTGATAACCAATCAGGAACAAGGATTTCAGTAGCTTATAACAAAACTGTCATTTGTCACTGATGACAAGTTATGTGAAACGCCCCCCTGTTCTACTAATACAGTGGCTACAAACAAATTATGTTGCATGTATCTTATTTTTCATATTTTCATATTTTTGCTTTTGTATCAAAGAAATCATCCCAGAGATTCAGGAAAGTTTGACACAATGTGAAAACTGCTTCCAGCTCCTCCTACCAAAAATGACCTTCGATGACCTCGATGATGATGTCTCCATGGCAACAAGCTCCACTCAATTCCAAAGCAAGAAGACACCAAAGCCATTACCTCAACAAAAGCACGAAGAAAGGAAATTGGTGAATAAGAGACCACAATCAGAGGCAGAAAAAGATGCTGATAGGACTAAAGATGGATTGTCACATAATTCAAAGACCTCCCAAAATTTCAAGCATGATTCAGAAAGAAGCTCAGGGGAAAATTCTTCAGTGTTATCTTCAGGGAAAAGTATATTTGACATAGGGGATGAGGAGGATGACACTTTGGAAGGAGGTCAACCATCTTGTGTATCAGGAGAGATTAAGAGGGATCATAGAAGAACTAAGGAAGGGGAAGAAGATGTGGAATGCGGTAGCAATCTGAAAGTTGATGGAAAAAAATCTGAAGAGGAAAGAAGAAAGGGCGCTTCGAAGGCAGATGGAACTAGTGAGAGTGATGAGGGAGAGGATGACAGCGATAGCAACGAGATGGAGGATATCGTTGGGGAGGAAAGGAGAAGCCTTCTTCAGCAGCATGGGCTTCCATCATGGACAAGCATCAATATCAACATCGATTTGGGTACTGGTAAGCGGTATTCTACTTCACCTGAATATTGCCTCTCTTAATGAGATCTGTTGTAATCTAGACCGTTTAAACTTTTGATTTGATTTTTTAATTTTTTGGAAGTACATTTCACTATCAGATGTAGTGTACCGCAGTTTAACTCATTCACACGTAGCATATTATATCTGTCGTAAAAAGAATCTGTACAATTAATAAGTCCATCGAAAATCATATAATGAAACGTTCTTGACATAGGCCTCCTGCCGATGAGCACATTTCTGTCAAGGGTACCATGTGACACTAGTCCTGTTCTCACATAACAATTAGTGCGATTTGGATCGCGATGCAAAGATCAATTTTTTGTTTTGTATCGTGAGTAACCTTCCACGCATGTCAATTTAGTGCGAACTGGATTGCGATGCAAAGATTGATTTTTGGGGGGCAACCATTCACACACGGAGGATTCTCGCTCGATGGCAAGAACATCCTAACTGCGCATGCATGAATCTCGACGATGTATGCGCGCTTGGATTTTTGATTCTCAATACCATTCACACACACAGCGCCCGGCAAACAGTAGCGCTTATTCTGAAAAATCGCAAGACTTAGTGGGAATTGGATGACGATGCAAATTGCAAAGATTATTAAAATTATTCTGTCCGAACACAAAAAATAAAAAATAAATAAATCTCACTTTTCTGTAGGCGTGTGAGGAGTATTGATATTCATGCATAATATGCATGACAGTACGAGGCAAATGTGTAAATTTAAGATTTATATACATTTCTGATTACAGAAGGAGTGAACATTAAGGAAGACGAAGACAATACTGATGTCTTACAGATTCTTGAGGATCAGCAACGTCTCTTGACCACCAGGTACCTGACCAAGCTCAACAGCTGGACAGAGGTATGCGCAAAGATGTTCAATGACCGATGGAAAATCAACAATTTTAATGACTCACTTATATTTACAGCCGTTTACTACTGAAATCTCTTATTCCAATAGACATATTAACAGGCATTTAGTAGGGTAGCTTGCAATATTACAACAGATTGTAGAGGTTTTGCGACCAGTGGATAAGTCTCCGGAATGTGACTCAGAAGGTACAAGGTTTGAATTTGAAAACAATAGGTACCAATTAAGGGCTGCACAGTGCATTATAAAGGAGTTACGTAATATCTGATTTTAAATGGCTTAACCACTTGACTGCTCACCACGTACATGTAAGTGCTCTCGCTCTCACATGCCTGTGCATACCAGGTACATGTACGTGCGAAGGGCATTGCATTTCAAGACCGTAACACTGCATAATGCCTAGCCCTACTGTGTAATTGGCACTGCAATGACGTTATACAGGTCTTGAACCGTAGATGGCGCTCTTTCAAAAAAAAATCTGGCCTTTTTATGCCTCCGTTACGAAGTAGCCGGAGGCATTATGTTTTCGGGTTGTCCGTCCGTCCGTCCGTCCGTCCGTACGTCTGTACGTACGTCTGTACGTACGTCCCGTTCTCGTGATCACGTTATCTGAAGAACGGATCAATGGATTCCTACCAAACTTTGGTCATATATGTATCTAGCAAAGTCGATGAACTGATTAAATTTTGGGGTCACGAGGTCAAAGGTCAAAGGTCACAGGGCTCATTATGTATGCAAAAACAGCTCGTGATCGCGTTATCTGAAGAACCGATTGATGGATTCCTGCCAAACTTTGGTCATGTATGTATCTTGTAGAGTCGATGAACTGATTAGATTTTGGGGTCACGAGGTCAAAGGTCAAAGGTCACAGGGCTCATTATGTATGCAAAACGGCTCGTGATCGCGTTATCTGAAGAACCGATAGATGGATTCCTGCCAAACTTTGGTCATGTATGTATCTTGCAGAGCCAATGAACTGATTAGATTTTGGGGTCACGAGGTCAAAGGTCACAGGGCTCATTATGTATGCAAAAACAGCTTGTGATCGCGTTATCTCAAGAACCGATTGATGGATTCCTGCCAAACTTAGGTCATGTATGTTACTTGCAGAGCCGATGAACTTATTAGATTTTGGGTAACGAGGTCAAAGGTCAAAGGTCACAGCGCCCATTATGTATGCAAAAACAGCTTGTGATCGCGTTATCATTAGAACAGATTGATGGATTCCTGCCAAACTTAGATCATTTATGTATCTTGCAGAGCCAATGAACTGTGTAGATTCTTGGTTCATAAGGTCCAAGGTCATGGGCTCATTATGTATGCAAAAATAGCTTGTGAACGCATTCTCATTAGAACTGACAGATGGATTACTATTTAACTCTGGATATCTTGCAGAGCCAATGAGCTGAGTAGATATTAGGATCATGAGGTCAAAGTTCAAAGGGTCATATATGTATATGAGAAATTGTTTGTAATCACGATATTCTGAGAACCTGTTAATGGATTACAATTGAACTTGAATTTGAAAAATTTCTTCTGTTTTGGTTTGTAAAATTGCTCTATGACGGAGGCATCATTTTCGACTGCGCGCAGTCGAATTCCATCTAGTTGTGTATAGCGCACAGTGTATGTACCATTTTTTGTACAATACAAAAATGCTGTAGCACTGGGGGTATGAACGCGTTTTAAGCCAATAGCAGTCAAGTGGTGAATGGGAACCCTTTGTCGATATGTAGTAGCTGATATTTGGAAATTAGTAGAATGATCTTGGAAAAAATACACAATGTGGCGCTTGGGTGTATATGAGGGACACATACAATATTAAGCCATAAAGATAGTGACAAACTGATTTATTTACATATTATACAGATCCTGACAAAGTTGGGGAAATCCGACAAGGTCAAACACTTGATTGACCTCAAGAGAGAGATCCAGGCCAAGCAGGACAAGTACAAGGATCTCCAGGTCAACTGGACTCATCCCCACAAGAAGAAATCTTCGGGAAGCAGCAGAGGAAAAGACAGTCCCGGCTGCTCAGGTGTGAATGACTCCAGGGGTGGAGGTGGTGGCAAGGGGAAGGACATCCACAGCGATGAAGAGGATGATGATGATGGCTTCGATGCGGTTCCAGACAAGGAAGGGTACGAGTCGGACATCCCGGAGGAGCTCAGAGAAGAGTATGGTGAGTGACCTCTGCAAAGATGTCAAGGTCAAAGATCAGCTATGCGTGACATTTTCATGACTCTGTGCGAAAGCGTACATGTGCTGTTAACAAAGCCTGGTAGAATGCGAATGCTAATGTGCTCAGATTAGCAAGTGTGTGCTCGTAAAAATGACGCGGGTAAGCCTGAATCCGATGACCGGGGTAATAATATATATATATCTGTAAAGCGCTATATAAGAACTAGCTATTATTATTATTATTATTATTATTATACATTTGATTTCCAGGCTTAGATCGTCGTCCAAAGCCCTCGGCGCCAAGCCAAGAAACGCCGAGCGTTGATTGGCATCCTTTCAGGGATGCAGACAATGACATCCTAGACCCAGCATCTCAAGCTGGTAGCATTGTAGCCATGAAGGAGAAGCTTAAGAAGATACGGGAGGAAACTCGGCTACCACCAGGGTAAGTAAAAGGTATAGACCGGTTTTGGAAACGCCCCCCTCTCAAAAAATGAAATGGAAGCTCTTATTACCAATTTTGCCAGGAAACCGCCTACTAATTTATATATTTGGTAAATTATCATGTCGATCCTGCCTGGATAGATATCGCGAAGGCACTTCAACATTGAACATTTGGGCATATGTTTCTGCTTTTTTGCGAATTTAGGTTGAAGTATTGCCATCTAAACCTCTGAAGGCAATATTTAAACAATATATCAAATAAATCTTTTGCATCCAAAACCCTTGAACCACAATTTTACCACTACCGGTCTTTATCAATAAAACAGTCCCTTCTGTCCTACCAAGTTTGTGAAAAATTGTCACAAATGAACTCACTTGTTAATTTGTTAATTTACAATTGTTTTTTATTGATAAAGAGGGTATGAGTATATTAAGTATATGAAGAAGGAGGAAGAGTAGGAGGAGGGAGAAGAAGAGGAAGAGAAGGAGGATGTAGAAGAGGAGAAGGGGAGGAAAGGGAGGAGGAAGGGGAGGAGGAGGAGATAGAGGAGGAAGAGGAGAAAGAAGAAGAGGAAGAGAAGGAGGATGTAGACGAGAAGAAGGGGGAGGAAGGAGGAGATAGAGGAGAAGGAAAAGGAAGCAAAGAGGTTCAGTTGTTTTTATAGTGACTTGTGTTTCATTTATTTACCCAATCTCAATTTACACAGGTGATGTAAATGGGTAACTGGCAGGAATTAATTCCTTGAAATGCTAGAGCGCCGCAGTGGCTGCCTTGCTAAAGCCAGGGTAATAATCGGGGCAGCGCCAGGAGCGTCACAATGTGACGGACTTGTGCGCTATATAAGAAGCCATCATTATTATTATTATTATTATTATTTGTTGTTCATTTCATGTCAGCTGTAAGGCTAATATTTCTAAAACAATCTATGCACTGCCAGATACCATGTGATACCAGCCAAGAAAACCAAGATCCTCACAGAGGAGGAGCGCAAGAGACAGGAGATGCTGAAGAGGGCTCCGGTGGTGTCCTTTGGAACCGATCTGGCTTTCTGGAAGAACCCTGAAGACATAAAAGCTCCTGTCATCCTGAGGTAAAGTAACAAGTTTTCGCAACCGGCGACGCGGCCTTCTACAGCGCTAATCTTATCGGGGGTCGCACTCAGAGCAAAAATTTCTGCGTAGCGTCCAAACCTACGAAAGGTATTCAGTCGTATTAGCTTCGGGAGTCGAGCTAGTACAGGATGGCGAGCCCATTTAAATACCCCGTAGTCAGCACTTGCATCGCCGTGCGAGAACTCGCTATTGTATAATTAGGGAGGGGAATTAATTGAATGAGAAGTTGTCGTATAGCCGAGTGGTTTGAATACATGACTTGAGATGTGTAGGTCATTGGTTCTTTCTCCAGTACAACCCCTACGTCCTCATGCAGCCAGGCATTTTTATCAACATTGCCTTTCTCCACCCAGGGGTTTACTGGGTATCCAGTTTGATGCTACAGTGTGTAATATCATTTTGGTTTGATTAGCAGTGTGTGCATCACCAAAATAGTGCCTGCAATGTAGTAGCTGGAATGCTCACGAGGGAGTGGAGATTGTGCACACAATGTGTGCATACTAGCCTGATTCGACAACCAGAGTAATAGTAAATTTGTAAAGTGCTTTCATGTAGACTTGCCACTTTACAGGGTAGTATATGTAGGTCCAAAATATTATTATTAATCTTGTTCATTAAATTGCTAGCGCAAATTGATGTTAAAAGTGTAAGTGTGTATAAAAAGGGGTGGGGGAATCCATAGCTCTCTCTTCCTTTATTACCTTTTTTAACTCGCCCTTTCTCTGATCCTTGTCTATAATATTCTACTTTTAATCAATGTAATTTGTTATCATGATGGAATGTTTCCTCTGACTTAAGATTACATTCTTTGTTTTGTTTTAAGGCCTGACACAGATGCTAGGACCTGGATTGGAGCTGTACAAGATGAAGAAATAGTCCTTGAGGTTTGTTAACATCAGCTTCTATTGATTGATGTCAACCTCAATTTGATGTCAAACTCTACCTGGGGGGTGCTTTACAAAGGTTCTAAGTCGAATTTAACTTTAAGTTGGACTTAAATATTATGGAGAGCCATTTGTAGCCTTATAATGAAATATGTTCAAGAGCAAATATTCAAGTATTTCTTCTCTGCAAGTCACTCTTTTTTATTTTTATTTTTATGTTGTATCTAAGTTGAGAGCTGCGGGCACGTCAAGCTACTTTGCTTATTTCTGTAGCCCTCCTGCATCTAATGTATGTTAATTATGCATTCAATATATTTGTTTAATTTTGTTTATTATCCATATAAAATTATATGCACTTAAAATATTGTATCAAACCATATCAATGTATGATGAAAAAAATTAAAAAATGCAGAAACCAATAAATCAAATCAAATCAAACATGAAATCTCCCATGATAATAGAAAATATGAATGATTTGAATCAACATTTTATTCCTTTTAAAATAACTTTTACAAAATATTTTCAAGGATGCTAACAACTTTCCATAATTGTTTTGTCCAACTTAGAGATAAGTTCAACTTAGGATCTTTGTGTGAGAAACACCCACCTGAACTGACAAACATTTTGTTTTCCTGCTGGGGCTGGATATCCTATATGTGTACCCCATTGTGGTATAAGATGCTGATACGGCCTTGATTTTAATGTAGTAAAAGCAAGTGACATCTTATTTTTCAGCTTTTGTTGAAACTCTCACCATTATCGCTATATGTCTTCACCTATTGAATTTGACATGATTTTAGTTTAACATGCCTTTCCCATAGACTATATAGATGGAGCAAGTAGCTACAAGTAGTACAGTGGGGCTTTAAATATAAGGTAACTTGCAATGCTGGGGTCATATCAAGTATGTAGGTGTCGCGGTATAGCGGTTCATTCACTTGCTTCTCAATCCGAGGTTCGAGGGTTTGAATCCCAGCTTGGCACTCTCTTCTTTTTGCAAGATATTAATCCACATTCAAGGATGTTAAATCATAATGTGATACGTGCAATACAAGAACAGTTTATTATTATTATTATTATGAAGGCCATAAGGAAAAGCACTACCAATACTGATAAGGAATTTAAGATACTACCCTGGATAACAAAGGGGCAAGTTATTCTATCAAAACAAATGTCATATTTTTCTATTCTATCAATGTCCAGTCGGTCAAGGATAGCCTGAAGACCCGAGTGATGAGCTTCACAGGGTCATTCCAGGCGGTCAAATGGAAATGCAGAGCACCCCTTCGTAATGGAAAACTGTGTGAGAGAATGGATAGACAAAAGGTGAGTGATGATGATGATGATGATGATGATGATGATGATGATGATGATGATGATGATGATGATGATGATGATGGTGAAAGTATTGAGGAGGAGGGGAGGTTGATGCCACTTCTGCTGCTCTTGCTGATGGTGTTTGTGATAGTGGTAGAGACGGTAATGATGATGATGGTGGTGGTGGTAACGATGATGATGCTGATGATGATGCTGCTGCTGCTGCTGCTGATGATGATGATGATGATGATGATGATGATGATGATGATGATGATGATGATGATGATGATGGTGAAAGTATTGAGGAGGAGGGGAGGTTGATGCCACTTCTGCTGCTCTTGCTGATGGTGTTTGTGATAGTGGTAGAGACGGTAATGATGATGATGGTGGTGGTGGTAACGATGATGATGCTGATGATGATGCTGCTGCTGCTGCTGCTGATGATGATGATGATGATGATGATGATGATGATGATGATGATGATGATGGTGAAAGTATTGAGGAGGAGGGGAGGTTGATGCCACTTCTGCTGCTCTTGCTGATGGTGCTGGTGGTAACGATGATGATGCTGATGATGCTGATGATGATGCTGCTGCTGCTGCTGATGATGATGATGATGATGATGATGATGAAGGTGGTGACGATGATGATGATGATGAAGGTGGTGACGATGATGATGATGATGCTGATGATGATGATGATGAAGGTGGAGACGGTAATGATGATGATGGTGGTGGTGGTAACGATGATGATGCTGATGATGCTGATGATGCTGATGATGATGCTGCTGCTGCTGCTGCTGATGATGATGATGATGATGATGATGATGATGATGATGGTGAAAGTATTGAGGAGGAGGGGAGGTTGATGCCACTTCTGCTGCTCTTGCTGATGGTGCTGGTGGTAACGATGATGATGCTGATGATGCTGATGATGATGCTGCTGCTTCTGCTGCTGATGATGATGATGATGATGATGATGATGAAGGTGGTGACGATGATGATGATGATGAAGGTGGTGACGATGATGATGATGATGCTGATGATGATGATGATGAAGGTGGAGACGGTAATGATGATGATGGTGGTGGTGGTAACGATGATGATGCTGATGATGCTGATGATGCTGATGATGATGCTGCTGCTGCTGCTGCTGATGATGATGATGATGATGATGATGATGATGAAGGTGGTGACGATGATGATGATGATGAAGGTGGTGACGATGATGATGATGATGCTGATGATGATGATGATGAAGGTGGTGATGATGATGATGATGCTGATGATAATGATGATGGAGATGATGATGATGATGAGGATGCTGATGATGAAGGTGGTGATGATGATGATGATGCTGATGATAATGATGATGGAGATGATGATGATGATGAGGATGTCGACGATGATGATATTGTCAATGATCTTGTAAAAAGTGAATAATTTACAGATGGCAGTTATTGAGCCTATGTCATTCTACTTTCTGTTTAGTGCCCCTTCCATGGTAAAATCATGATGATGGTGAAAATACTGAGGAGGAGGGAGGAGGATGCCACTTCTGTTGCTGATGGTGTTTGTGACAATTGTAGTGATGGTACTGATGGTAATGGTGAAGATGATGATGGTGGTGGTGGAGATGATGATGGTGGTGGTGGTGATGATGATGATGGTGATGATGATAATGATGATGATGATAGTGATAATGATGATGGTGGTGATAGCGTTAATGATCGTAGTATCATGGTCTTTTAAAAAGTTAATAATTTACAGTTGGCAGTTATTCATCCTATTTCACTCCTTTCTGTTTAGTGCCCTTTCCATGGTAAAATCATTGCACGTGACGAGCTTGGTAATCCACAAGAAGGCAGCTTGAGTGTAAAGAAAGAAACCGAGGAACAAGCCAAAACAGGTAATAAGTGTAAAGTAATTGCACATGGTGTGGAGATTTGATAATTGTCAGAGAAATTGGTAAATGTCCTAATGAAGATTACACTTACAGAAAGTAACTTGAACAAAATTCAATTACGAAGCTTACCAATTTTATGAGGAAACAAAAGAAAATGGATAATTGTTAAGCAGTTTCCATAAATTCATCCCTAGGAAATTTCAAGAGCCATGCCCATCAATTATCATAATGGCCAACATTACATTGACAAATTATATAATCCAAACATTATTTCTATGGGCAATAAATAGAGTATTGAAAATACTCTTGAGTTGATTTCTGAATTTTTTTTTCTTTTTTGTAAATGAATCTGTATGACTTTTTTTTTCTTGTCAAAGACACTGCGGCTTGGCAAGACCCTGAGCTTCTCAGAGACATTGAGGGCGCTACAGGCCTTGACCTTGGCTCAACATCATCTGGAAGAACAGGCCAGAAAGGCAAAGGAGGGAAGGGGAAGGGCAGTGGGAAGAAAGGAAAAGGAAAAGCCAAGAAGTATCCTGGACTGACTGACATAAGGAAGATCAACAAGACATCTAGGAATAGGCTGGAGAAGATCGTCATGAACAGGTAAGCTTCCTTGTCAAATTTCTTTTTATTTTTCAATTATTTTATAACTATTTTTCTTTATATGTTTAATAGGGCCTCAGCGAAGACCACCATTATATGATAATGAGTCACCCTGTCTAAATATCAGAAATAGATAAATAAATAAATGTCTAACTGCACATATATGTGTTGCAAGCCAAAATATAGAATCTTATGAATAAAATGGTATTACAGAAGAAATTGTTTTTTTACATCTAAAGCCAAGTTTGAAAATAATTTAATACTTGTGAGGCTATGTCAAAATCTGTCGTGTGATTTTGTAACAAAACCTCATGAAAAATCATGAAATAATTGTGTGCCCATCCTTATCTCATTACCTTCTGAAAAATTTCAGTATAAATCTTAAAAGTATGTATTTTTAGTCATACATGTATATGTATGTGAACCATCAGTAAATATTTGATTATTTTCTCTCTCATTTTAGGGGAGCTGTGAAGAGAGTTGCTGCTGCCATGGGCAAGGTTGACCAGAAGAAATACATGGATAGGTTTGGCAACAACTTCAACTATGCACTTTAATTCCATCAAATTTATATATACTATGAAACTGAAATGAAGGAATAGATTTTCAACAATAGGCTGTTGGCCATCTAATCTACATGTTTTTGTTATGTGTAAATGCCTTGAACATTATGATTATTAAAATAGGAATGTTAAAAGTGAGGATATGTTTGCATTTCACTGTTATTTTGGATGAATAATCACTTAAAGCCTATCTACTAGTTTGGTTAGGATGGATTAGACCTCCCGGCATGGTTACTGATAGGTTATCTCATCAAATCAGCTCTCAATTAACATAAGAAAAAGGGGACCATGAGGGACCAACGGTCACTGATTACCCTGGTAGGCATTGTTTGCTATATAGAGGGCGCAAGTAGCTATAAGTAGTTACTTGGGGCTTAAACATGTTCAAAAGGATACTCAAGATATCTTAATGAGTTGCGTTTTATTAAAGGTGTTAAAAAAAGGGGGAGGGGGGATCGGACGGATGAATCATGTGATCTTACACTAAACATTCCTTTCCAACACACTCTTTTATTTCCTTCCAAATTAATGTTTCTCATTGTTCTGATAATGCATCTCGTATATTATTTTGAGGATATTAACAATTTACCTATCACATTAAAAATTGGAGAGTTCAGTATGGATACGTTGTATTATAAAAATTTCTCAGGAATACTGCCTCAATAAAACTGCCGGTAATTAGAATAATGCAGCATTGATGTTTGCCCCAGTTATGTATATGCAGAAATCATGGGATATAGAATATTAAGTAGTTGTCTGCTATATGACATATCAGAAACAAAGTATTTTGTTTTTGTTTTATCTTTAATTTGCATCTCATTCATTTTATAAAAATGTTAACTGGAAGATTTTTTTGAGTCTATCACCTAAAACAAAAAGATTGTCATGTCACCAACAGAGAACGTTTCCATTCATTAAAAAAAAAAAAAAATCATTGTTTTCAGAAGGTATATGGCTTCCCTTTGGTGAAGAGACTTTTTAATTATTTTTTCCAAAATGAAAAACAAAGCAAAAGAACATAATGAATTGCAAATGAATTTCAAAATGAGATTAATCTGTGAGAGCCAGAATTGAATTGAGACTTCTTTCTTTTTTAAATGTTGTTTCTTTACAAAGGATAGTGCAATTAATGGCAATAGCCACAGAATTTGAGTATATACTGTATATGTATTTTTGTATATTGATTGTTTGTGAAGTAGCTAGAAATGGTCAGTTATCTACAGTGAATGCTGAGTATTTTGTGATCTATGAATGTAATCTTTTTATTTATTAATTCATGTTATTTGTTGATCAAAGTATTTACTGTTTGATGATCTCACCATGCATTTGATATTTTCTGAATAAAATAATATGATATTCTGCCATGATATATCACATCTGTCTACAAGAAATCAACATTTCTCTCTTTCTCCCCTCGTTCAAATTGTTAATTGTTAAATCAGCTTTCCTTCCGTAACATTAAGTATGATGATAGTGCTCTAGAACTATGAAAGAAGGAAAGGGTAACAGTTTCATTTTGAAACAAAGAATGAATTTATTGCAAACTTATGTACAACAAGAATGACAGGTTGTTCATTATACAGTGCGTCCCAGAAAAAATGAAACCGAGGATGATTATCTATGTTTTATTACAACTTAGTCACAATTATAAATGACACATATTTGTAAAGCTTAGATCCTCCTCTTTTGTTGAATGTAACTCATATGATGCATATTGTATGCATGAGTGATCAAAAGCAATTAGAAGAAAGGAAACCAAAAAGTAATTTCTTGCCCTAGCTTTCATATGACACCTCTATCAGGAAAAACGAGCCAGGAATAACAAAGTTCTGTTTGTTTTAAAGTAATGCTAGCAATTACATAATTGGATTAAATTAATTCGTTTTCACTGGATGCTTGCTGTAGCAACAAACAGAGTTGATAAAAGACTTAACTCTGTTTCATTGACGATCAGCCATGCATTAAGTCTTTTGTCTTTTTTGTGCATGGCTGGTCATTTATAAATAACAAAACATCAATAATTCTCGGCTTCGGTTTGTCTGGGATGCACTGTAGTACATGCCTTTCTTATTCTGCCATTTTTCTCAGGCTTCTTCGAAAGAAGCCGTCATGAATCATCATTTTAATAAATTTCTTTCTTTTTTCATCTGAAACATTGAAATCACCCATCTAATGTTTCAATCAGTGATAAAACCTATTACATTTGATGCAACAAGCATTCCTGAGAAGTAGGTATCTAGATGGGTTACACTATATAAGCATGCATGGAACATTTGAAGAAGAAGAAGAAATGGATCAAGTCAAGTTAATTTTGAGAGTTAGATAAACTTCTTGATAGAGAAAAAGAGATGTGGTACAGAAAAGGAGTGAGAAATGGAGAGTCTGAAGAACAGAGATATAGAGAGATGAGGGAGGGTGAGACCGAGGGTGAGAGAGAGAGACCTCACTGCTAAAACTTATGTGTACAGTTGTAAGTAAGCAACAAAGGTACCAACGCCTTTTTAGTCCTCTCCGAGGGACTTTTTCATGACTTACCAAAGGGGCAAGCGCATCGACCTGGTTTCATAACCGGGATCTCCCGAGACCACTGCTCTACCACTGAGCCATCGCACTTTGTGTTTTCAAATATATATTGATCTAAATGAAAAAGACTTTTGACGAGTCTTTTTTTTTAAAGGACCTGGGTAATTATTAGCAGTGGTGTAGAGTGGGTTCAGATATTTAGGAAATTTGGCTTCATGCAGGGGGGGGGGGGGGGGGGGGGGGATTAAACTTATGGGATTAAACTTAATAGATGACATTTACTTTGGTAACTACATTATTATCAAGTCTTTTTGTTAAAGATAGGGTATGATCATTTTTGTCAAGTTCCATTTCGATCTTCACCCCCCCCCCCCCCTTAATTAATAAGATATTAACACCACTGATTCTTGTGACGGTCTGTAATAAAGTATCCCTGAAGACCTATACCCGCTGTAAACCTCTCACGTTTCTTTTTCTTCCTCACTTTTCGTCACTTCTATAAACTCTTCAAATTATTGTATTTGTTATTGAGCGTGAAAATGAATTATTTTTTTTTTAAATTCACAATATTTTCTTGCTATATGTTTTTGCAAAAGACAAGATTCTTGAATAAATAACTGAATGATAATACCAGCATTTAGTTAAAATTTGAAGTGATGATTTTATTTGGCCATCATAAGAGAACATATAATTTCTTCTAATATTTACAAGAATTAATTTTTGATTAGACATTATAGACTTTACATAGTACAGGCATCATTATATTTTACACCTTTCGGTCGCTCCACATACATAAACTAAACAAAACAAAACAAAAAACAGTTAAATAATTGTTCAATAGATAGGCTTAAAAGTGTCTACTGCTGTATTAAAGATAACTTTCCTTTCTTCACGCAAATGATTGGAGCATGAAATGTACAGGGTGGTTAAAATTGATAAGGACAAGAACCCATCTATACTCAAAAAATGGAATACAGCATTATGTGGAACACTTTTCCAGGTTTTGTATAAAGGGGACAGTATATCAAGCACACGCATACTAATAATATGGATATACTCATACATAATACATACATAAACTATCAAATTAAACATGTAGTACTTTAGAAGAAACAATTTTTTGCGATTTTGGTCAAAATCAACAACATGTGATACTTGATATTCCTAAACAGAGTATTATTATAATCAACAGAACTCTCTTTCAAACCCCTAAAATAAAATAATGAATCTCAGAGCAGCAACATTAAAAGCAGGAAATTTCTAGGTGTATGGACAAATTACTGCAGCAGTAGTTTCATGTGTAGCACCAGATTCCAAAAAGGGGAGTTACAATAATGGTGGCAAAAAAGACACACAAAGAAAGAAAAAAGAACAACAAAGGGAACAAAAGTAACAAAAAAGAACAAAAGTAGACAAAAAAACAAAAGAGCAAAAAACCGAAGACTATACATTAATTACTCTTCAAAATGTATTTTGTGGGGTAAATGCAGCACTTAATTAAGAGGGGGAAGTTTAAAAAAAGGCATACATAATTAAGACTTCTTGTTCACATTACTGGACATTAGCACAGGATTGAGTATTAGTGAACAAGGATGCATGTGTAAATATCTGAAAAAACAAACCCTGTTCCTACATACCATGCTCACTATGGAATCTTGTTGATACACATGGCCCCGTCTTACAAAGTTTGCAGTCCCTATCTCTAATGTACACAGTTGCGATTTAAGGGATAGTTGAGTTATGTTTTCAGACCGCAAATACCTTCAAAGGGCATGGTTATTGCTCTTATTCTTATCTACGACATTTCTAGTGCCCTTTTAGAACCTAAAATTGCTATGAAGGTAATTTAAGACCCCAAAATTGTGTGAAATTTAGCCTATACAATCATACCAATTCAGCTCCACTTTCAACAAAATATGGTGACCGTTAATTAATTAATTGATTAAAAATAACAATACATGGGCCGGCTGGTTGTGTGTAATATAACCCCAAAACACGAAAATGCCAACAAAAAAGCCAACATCGGCATTGGCTGAAATACGACATAAAAGGCGCTATTTCGTTTTTTCGACAGCTTTTCAAATTATCTAATATTTGTGGTGGTACACAAGTATTAGAAATCGTTATATTTGTGGATATTTCAGCCGTCTCTGAACCGATTTTGATCAAACAAAGATGATTTTGTCGTTTAAATTGTATGTTCTTTCAAATTTGACACTCAGTTTTTCATTATCTCACAAAAAATTATTTTGAGTAGCGCCCTCTGCAACAGAACTCAACTATTCCTTTAATATCAATCTCAAATAAGTTGTGATTAATTGCAACTGCTTATAAGACGGGGCCCGGAGAAATAAGGAAAACATATACACTGTAGATCTATAGTACTATTGCACAAGAAAAGTGAATAAGGAAGTTAAATCTACAATACTGTATGCATGATTATAATATCATTATCACTCATTAACTATATCACTCATTAATTGAAAATTAAATTAATAGTTTAGGTGGGAAAAGCGGGGAGAGAATAAACCTAGAGAGGCATGACATGAAACAGCCTTAGAATTTGTATTTACCGTAATATGTAATTGTGCTGAAGTTTTGGGGTTGATAAAACTTGACTGGAGTAGCAAAAAAACGGGCTGTAATGACATTTTCTTTAAAGATTACCTCAATGAAACTCTCACAGCCTATTATTTCCATGTGCTTTATTCCTTTAGCTTCCGTTTACATCATCTGATTTTGATTTTGTATTCATTCTTGCTATTCAATCTGAGTGCAAGACACTGAAAAAAGCTTTACCGGTAGTATATCTGTATTTGCTCCTATTCTAAAATTTGCTTTGACAACAACAACATTTGGTTGTAGATTAGTTAACATGTTGAGTATGTACACTGTACAACACAGATACAACTAAGTTGTGAGGCTATTTTACAAAAGAGATGGATCATTTTCATATTTTCAATTAGTATGATGAAAACAAGAAAGGAGTCTTCATAAAAATTCCTTTTTCCGGTATAAGGATAAAACAATGCAATAACATCATAGAGAATAAATTTAAATTAGCACCGTCACATCTCTTTGCAATCTCTCTCTCTCTCTCTCTGTCTGTCTCTCTCTCTCTCTATCATACAACGTGTTCACATAAGTTTTGATTTGTAAGGCCTTCAAAAAAAAGGTGGAATATCATGACATCAAAAGTGATGAGAGATGTAATACACAATAAATAGCAATTAAATATAAAATAAAGAAGCATTTGATTCTTAGACTCTACTCATACAATTCTATTGCCACATAACGTGTATCTGTCAATCTCTGAGATATCTGTCGGTTGGGATTTCGGTGAGACGGCTCCTTTGGGTCTCCTCACTGCTTCTCCGGCTTCCACGTGCCTGGACAGGACACTGATGCTGCTATCGGACGCGAGCAGGTTGGACGAACTCAACGACTGCAGTGTTGTCGGTGACAACGGGAGCGCCAGGCCAGGATCACAAGAGGGCATCCTCAGAGCTGCTATCGTCGGTGGTGTGGCCGTTTGCGTTTGCTTGTGAGGTTCCGATGCGGCTTTTGTCGGCGCTGCTGCTGATGTTGATGAAGATGAGGTGCCGGTCTCGGTGAACTTCGGTGGGTCAGATTTCTTCTTGAGTAATCGGTCCAGGAGACCGGCTTCTCTCACATACTGACAAGCCTTGCCCATGAGGACGATGCTCAGCAGGATTTTGAAGGCTACAAGGCTGGGGACAAGATGAGAATATAAGAGAAAAATGATAGTTCTTATAATAATAACAAATTATATTTCTATAGCGCATTATACAAAATATGTCGCTATTCGCTTTACGTTGATGTAAAAGCTGAATTAAATATCTACTTTTGAACTACCCTCAAACAAAAATCCTGACAAGATCCTAACGTAAGTATTACAACAGTAACTAAATAGAACAACATTTGCCCTCATTCAGACTAGTAGATTATGCACCTTATGATATTGAAATGTAAAAATAAGTATACACTGTGATATACAAAATAAAACTGGTTCTACACATGTATACATGGAACTAAGCATACCATCCCCTTTTTTACCCTTGACTGTCCATCTCAAATTATGTATGTTTTCCTTACCAATAAAATATGCTTCTGGTTGGAAGCATGGGACTGAGATTTAATAAACTCCCAAACCAGGCAGTCTTGAGCTCCTGATCAAAGGTCATAGTCTATGATGACTCTTTGTTCTCATGTAATATAAATGACATATGCCAAGAGTATTCCAGTGCCCGAGCTGATTTAATTTTCAATTCATCGATACCAAGATCAAGAGTCAATGCTCCTTAAAGAAGTATTTATTTTCTTAATCACCGACAACATACGATAACATACAGTGTAGGCCAGAAACGTGGCTACAGCTTTGTTCGTATACACGTATGCCGGGGTAAGCTGCAGCGGTGTACCGCCTGCACCTCCCATTGTTGCATCTTACATAACACCCAGGTAAGTGAGTTTGCATAGGACCACCGATTCATACAGCTACTTTTTCATTCCAACTTGCGATTCATTAAGTACACAAAAAACAAAACCCTTGACGCTTTACCACAGCAGGTGTGAATGAACTCTTACAAGTATCAATTTAACCAAAAAAATACTGGTAGTCTTCATGTATGCAATATAACTTCATAAATGACTATGTGATAATTCCAAGCAAGCATGAAATTATTGTCAGGTATCTTTTAAATAGAAAGCTTAAAGGGAGTGGGTCGTCATTTCCATGTGCAGAAGGCCATAATTCACTGACACCAGACTTGGTGAAAATACTATTATAAGTGTGTTCAAGTCTGCACACAGCAAACCTGTAGGCCTATCAAAAATACCCCCTCATCTCTCAGGGAGTCTTCGGGGGAGGGAAAAGTGAGATAATGACTTTATCTTTTGGGGGAGTGGATGAGGAAATACAAAGCATTAGATATTAAAGGGATCCGGTAACTTTGTCTTAGATCCTTTTAAAAAATCCTCGATTTAGCTCATGCTGCAATGATAATTATCAACCTTTAGGTCAGTCAGAAACCCCATGACTTTTACAAGCAGTTTTCATAACACTACAGTCTATTGGGGGAAAGGAGTATGGTAAAACCGGTCACTCAAAGGTTTTTACTTTTTTGAGGCACTTCTTGATTTTGAAGCGCAATTTTTTTAGGGCTTCAATATTACACCATATCACAGACACTGATAAAATGTAGGGTTGTGCATCTCAGATTTAACAATGTTGAACGATCCCTTTAATAAGGCCTGTTTGTCTTGAAACCCAAGGCTGATCCTGGTGATTGACAACATTGGGTAAACACACAAATGGTGTTGAATTCCCCATGAGAGACCACTCCTATGCTTCTTCAAAAGCTGTCTTTCAACTCACCATAAGTACAGGAATGAAATGAGCACTACTGCTGTGTTCCACTCGAGTTTCACTGTCTGTCGTATAATCCTGATGACCTGTGAACATGAATTGATACAAAGACAATATATCAATAGAATTGTGGGCAATATGAAAGAGCTGTGTAAGAAACGAAGGTGTAAAGTGGCATTTATTTGTGTGGTTGTCATGGAAACAGTGAGAGATAGTCATATATACATATATATTTTAACACCACCATTATTAGATATTACAATTTTCCATCTCTTAAGTATGCAGTATGAATTAGGAAACAGGATAACATTGTCATTTTTCATATTTGTTAAACAAATTTTGAACAATGCATCTTTGGCTAATGTACTTCTACATTTACAACCGATCATAGACTGTAAAATATCAATTAAGTAAAAATGGGGGTTTCCATTGAAAATTGCATAAAATGGATATGATAATACTAACCACACATGCCAGTGGTAAGGGGATGAAGCCCATTCTCCTGGCAACCAGATCGGAATGGTCCGAGAAAGCCTGAAAAAAAAAGGGGGGGGGGAAATAATTAATCACAAATGACTTTGATGATGATCATCTCAAGTGTAGTGCATGTACACATGTAGGTCAACAACACGGTTAGACGATGTACCTCCATGCAGTGTCAGCATACAAATGGGCAAGAAAAGATTTTTATCATCACAGACTAACATATTTTCTGCTAAGAGCCAGGGAGTGTGAACTCTATGTAAAAGGAGATGAGTTATTGCCTCTAGGCCCCCTTCACCAAATTCAAAAGTGATCTTCACAATATGAAAACTGCATCCAATACAAATAAAATTAAGACATACTGCAGGAGAATGGTGAATAATGGATCAACATTTGTTTAGGTACTTGAACATCATAAACAAAATACATGAAGAATAGTAAAGGGGATGACATCATCAACTCACTAATTTCCATACAGCCTATAAGACACATATCACTGTTTCATGAAATTAACTTTCATTTTTCACTGTTTTGTTCATTAAATATGGCATTATAACAAACATATAGCATTATAACATTTGTAAGTTTTTAGTATTTTTATGCTGTACTCACATTTTTCTTTCTGCTTATAACCATATCATAAGCAAGGCTAGCTCGAAACTCTGTGTACGTCTGAGAAAAACAAAATGATAACAGTGGGTGACCCACAAGGGGTAAAGGAAGGAATCTATACAGTAATTACGCTTTACACACTAAATGGAAAAAGATAAAATGTGTTCTGTTTAAAACATGCCATTGACAATGCAGATGAAATCACCTAATAAAATAAGGTTTTATAGTGACAATGATAATAATAATCATCATCGTCATCATTATCATCACAACAACAACGACGACGGCAATAACAATAATAATAACAGCAAAATAATAAAAAATAATACCAATAAAGAGAAAAAACAGAGAAAGAATGACGGAATACTGTCCTTATTGCTGAAATTTGAATGAGAGTTGGCATATGAAATGAATTCTGTTGGCAAAAACCCTGATAAAAGTCAGCAAGTAAAATTTTCTTTAAACGATAATAAACAAGACAGCTGTAAGTCTTTAAAAGACAAAGCCTTCCAAACAATTGGTGCTTTCTTTCACATACATGTAAAATGTACAAAATTGACAATTCTTTCTGATTAACCATACATGTTCATCATATTGTACATGATTTTCATGTTTCCACTTTCCACAAACAGATGACATATTTCAGGTGAGTCACTTGTTTTCTCTTGTCAAAATGGACCATATTTTATATACATATACTCACAGATGCTGGAAGGGCATTGAATTTACTGATAAAAGCATGCTTGACCCAGTCAATGAGGACCTCTGCACTCAGAACCATTAAAACGTCAGGGAGCATCTTGCAAAAGTGATCTGAAGTGAAAAGTAAGCAAGAAAAGTGCATTTTTTAAAGAAATCATCAACTTCGGTCAAAGTAAAGAAAGCATGGACAAGTTTTACTTGCCGGATGAAATCGAAAAAAATTGCCACAACCGGAATGGAAAATGTAGCATAAAATAAAATGTGTTGTAGAACACAAACAGTTATATAGCAGGGAATACAATTACACATACAGCCCATACAAACAAACAAAAATGAAATCAGTAAAAAATCATGTAGGGCTGATTTTTAAAACCTGTTGTACGTGCAATGAATTTTACCACTACAAATTGCAAAAAGTCACAAGTTCAAGAAGGATTGGATTTTTACTCATTTTTTTCCTCAAAATTAAAACTTTATCCCCAAAAGTGCACAAATTCAAGAAATTTGTTCCAGGTTCTACTTTAATTTACATTACCGGTAGGCCTAAAAAAAGATGATGTACTGCCCTTTAGGTGCCAAACATGGGTCGGTCGATCAGAAATCTTTAAAACATTTTTTTCTCTCTAAAAAACAGTAAAAAAATCATTGAAAAAGCCAACCATAGATTTCAAGATTTTTCGGTCTTTTTGAAGCTTGCGAATGGATTAAAAGACAACTAGAATCACCCACACAAATGTGTGACTTCCCTTCTTTCCACCCTATTAAACACATCAGACACCAGACTCACCAAAACTCCATGAAAACTCGGCCATGTTGCGCAGCACCACAAAAAACAAAAGAACCATGTAGTGGTATCTTTCTCTCACATCTACAGTGATTGATTGAAAAGAGAAGGAGAGAAATATGAGTACTAAAATGATATTTCATTTTTTATAGCAAATCCATACTGACATATTATTCTATATACCTTTCAACATTGCTTTGGAAATTACCACACATGTATAAATATGGGTTACAACATTGAATTGAATGAATTGACATTTATTTCCATCATCATCACAATACATACTAAAGATAAAGGATGGAATATCATTACAGATATTGAAGTCAAAATTACATATAAACTGATATAACATTCAAAATATAAAGAACATATGAAAGTGTAAACCATAGTACACATGGATGATAGTAAAAAGCCAATAAGGCTGGACAATTGAATATACCAGGCGCCCAAGTAATAACATGGGCTGTAAACAAAAAAATGGGATTGCATTTAGGTAGGAGAGACGAGGTCTTTCAATAATAAATGGGTATGTCATATCATTTAAAGCTTATCAACACTAGTGTGGCTAGGAGGGATTAGACCACACAGCATCGTCACTGAAAGGGGGCTATCTCATCAACTCAGCTCTCAAATAACATAAGAAATAGAGTATCATGGGGGACCATGAACAGGCACTGATTGGGGAAGTTTTCTGTATAGAGGGAGCAAGTAGCTACAAGTAGGACAGTGGGGCTTTAAAGAATTTGTCCAATCAGAGCCAGCAGCGAAAGGGGAAATTAATAAAATATTTGTTTCACTGCCCTTCTCCACAAATATATTTGACAAATCATAGGTATTTCAATGTTGACCTAAATACATAATGTCTGAACATGTTCTTCTAATCAACAAGTCAATGGAAGTGCTCGTAATGATTCACAACAGAGAGCCCTCTCTATACTACGGTTCTGGAGTAGTAACCAGCAAGAATACATGTATCATCATAGCTGGAGCATATCACATTAATATTACGAGAAAGATAGCAGCTGGCCTGCCAGACATCACTCAAATGGGATCAAGTTTCAATTTTGTGACATATGATACTTTTGTACTTTTGTATTCCACTAATGATAACATACTACATACCACTTTACTATACATACTCACCAGAACAAGATATTTGATACAGGTTGAATTTGTCAAACTTTTTGAAGACACTTCCTTTCAGCTCCACAAACTAGAAATTAGAGGAAATTAAAGTGTCAAATTTTCAATAATTATCAACAAAATGCTGAAGATATCCATAAAAAGGAACATTAGGATGTTTATTTCCAGTAAACCAAAGTACAACAGAGCTACTGCAACTAAACTTTTCATTGCATTGTGACATAAATATAACACAGCACAGCACCAAACATCCCCTTGACTTGCACACCATTTCAAAGGACATATAATACAATATGAAGCAATACCAACATCTCCATTCCAGTTATTCCATCAATGCACCAAATCTAAAATGTTTTACGACAAATCTGAACGTAAACATGCACAAGGTTCACATCATGCCAAGTCATTAAAATAAAAGTAAACAATTCTTCCTAATATCAATTCACAGCGAACAGCAATATTTTATGTCTTTAGAAGCAATGAAAACAATAAGAGAGATTAATCTCTAAAAAATGCTTTAAAAAAAAACAGTTTGTGTGATGATGTTTTGTGATTGCAACTGGTATATATGTATTGTATACAAGTGGTCAAAAGCAGATGTATGTATATATTTTTTTTTATAGTGGATGATACGTATGATATGATGTCAGCTGCCAACACAGACCTCCCAATGAATGGCTTCACAAAGCTTCTATACTGGGAGATTCCAGATGCTTTTAATACAAGAGTCTGTTTGCACCAAACTCCTTTGGGAAGAGGACTGGGGGTGGGGGGAGAGGGGGGGGGGGTGCGTGTAAAGACCCTGACAGCTAGTGTCAAGCCCTTCCCAATGTATTGAAATACTGATGAAGGATTGTAGCTAAGTTCTTTCCCAGGAGGATCTAGGCACACCAAAACGCTTAACCTTGTGCACCAATGGAAGGAGTAGGGTTGAGCGTCCCAGACACCCGTTACATGTAGTGTCAATGTCTTCAAATACTGATGAGGACAATGACGATGACGAAAGCGATAATTCTTTTTATTTACTCACATTATTGGACATCATGATGGTGAGGAGAGCCGTACTGAAGGAGTTGAAAGCAACGTTGAGGGTGGTAGCTTGGAATATGGCTAGAATAGCATGAAGCGCTGATTGATGTAGCAGTAGAGGGTAGTGGGTAGTCACGTAACAGTCAAGGGCAAGTCAGTGAAAAACTTAATGCTAACATGAATGGATACTGCAAATTGTTAGTATTTCTTAGAGAGTAGTTCAGAGCCAATTTATATATACTTTAATTTTAAAGTCATCTCTCAAGAACCTCGATCTCCTTTTAGGTTTGCAATTTAAATGTAATCTCAAAGACTCAACCACTATACTCTTTCTTTTTTCTAATATTGGACAATGTACTTAAATAGACATTTTTGCATTAATATTAAAGAAGCGCAGAACTTAAAGTCTTAGTTGTGGTAAGGAAACAGGATTATATCTTGTTGAGTAACTTGTCCTTGACTCATTGTATTGTTTAACTTGTACCAAAAGAAAATACATGAGCCAGATATTTTGAATGTTCTGTCCCAAGTTTCCCAATTAATTTCAAAGTCAACATCTAAATAATTAATTATATGATTGGTCGTCACATGGGGAAGTTTATATGCCTGGCCAGGTACTTATATTAGTTTTCAACTTTAACCCATTTAATATTCCACATGAGGAAAAAAATTTACAACAGTTCAGAATCGTTAATCTCACCATAGAATATATTGACTAAAAAAAAAAATCTGGCAAAAGTTTTGGGGACTACTAAACTTATTTCGGGTATTACCGTAAATAGTGGATTATGTTAAGCAAGTAAGAGGCATTTTGCAAAAGGACTTTGGTAGTATACGCACATGTAATTCATAATAAAATTTGGTTTCAAAATGTAATTGTTGCCAAATGTTGCTGATGTTGCCAAAATATATGCTCTACAAAGTCCTACAATCTTACATCAAAATAGTAATTAGATTATTAAATGGATGTCATGATTTGGCCAATACAGAAAATAGTTCACTTCTTGTGCAAACAATACTAAGACTCTTCTCTAACACGATGGAAAAGCTCATCTGATATTTATACCTTGTAAGGCTTGTATTAACCTCAAGTATTACAATATCTCATATCATAAGCATACTGTAAATGTATAGCATTCCAGAAGGTCTTATGTATAATTCAAGTGTCCTGCCTAGTTTTAAAATAATTTGAACACTGTTTGTAATGTTTTCATATGTAGGCCTATCAATTGAAATGAATGACTCAAAGCTGAAAAAATATGAAGAGCAAAACCACAAAGAATTTAAGCTTTTTGATAAAACAAAAAAAGCAGAGGTATGTACATGTTGATGGAAACCACACCTAATTCTAGCCTTTTGATAAAACACAAAACAGCAGAGGAACATACATGTAGATGGCATATATAAAGCTCAGGGTGTCAACCAAACTCAAGGAAAATCAGAAAATAAACTGTCACAGCAGCAAGAAAACCCAAAACACTGGATTTCACACAACTTCAATATTCATGTTACTTCATACCTACTAATAGGAACATTGCACAGCAAATATACAAGCACTCCGATTGTTTAACACTATCACGATTAATAACCATAAATTGTCATGCCAAAAAAGATCATTTCTAGAAATACAAATATCAAGATAATATGATCATCAAAATATAAGACATGCTTTAACATAATATCTGTTGCTATTTAGCAGGCCACTGGCATGTTTTTATAGTACAAAAATCTATATCAACCTATCATGTTTCACATTGCAGACTACGTGACAATCATTATCAAACAATTCGGCATGCATTAATTACTGCAAAACCGAGCATGATGCCATGCCAAGGTCTAGCCTCACACACAGTTGTTTTTATGTGCAAAGAACTTACATTGTTAGAAAGCAGTATGGTCAGCAATGCTCTGTTGTGCGAGTTGAAGGCTACAATGAGACAGGTGACTTGAAACAAAACTAGAATGGTGTGGAGGACTGCATGTTATCAGTATACATTTAAGGAGAGTACAGATAACTTTTTTTCATATAAAATTCAACTTTTGAATTGATTTTTTCATTGATTTCAAGCTTAAAATTTGTATGCACTTATGTACGGTTAATTGTAGCCCATTCTGTTTGTTTTGAGGCTTGGATGCATTGGAAGCATTACAAAACATACAATTGTGGGTTTTCATGGGAATTTGAAATAATTTTTGAAATCATAAATTCATGACTGAATGCTTTCAGGACCCCAATTCATAAAACCTAACTAAGCTAGTTGTCAACAAATTACATGGGCTAGAGTACATAGTTGGTATGACAACTAGGTTTAGTAAGTTTTTATGAATATGGGCCCTGATCTCTCAACGGTAAAGCAAGTTCCCAGTATTTGTTTTGAATTTCAGAGTGGCAAAGAGTTTCGCTACTTGCTACAACAAGATTTGTAGACACATTCAATACGTCCAGCGTATCAGTGAGCCATGATGGAATGCACATGGAAAATGCTGATTGTATGTTTTTTCACAAGCTGAAAGGCAGAGTAGGCACAAATGCAGCGCATGGACATGTATCAGCTCCTTTGTGATGTCATTACTGAAACACAAACCTCATAAATCTTCACAGACTTACATTATTGTTAACAAGAAGAAGTGTAAGGACATTCTTCTCAGAGTTGAAGGCGACGATGAGGGTGGTGGTTTGAAATAAGACTAGGACAGTGTGAATAACTAAGATTGCAGAAGCAGATCAGTGTTAAGGTTGCTTCATAACAATCTTCAATAATTCATTCACAGTAACCTTATATCTATTTTCAATTCTTGTGTTTCTCTAGCAAAAATTCAACTGGGTTGAAAACAGATTACCGGTATCACTTTTGTTGTCATAAAGCCTACAAGGAAGCTTACGCTTTAAAATTAGAAACGAAGGTCTAAAGACATTTTCTTTCAACAAAACTTCTTAAAACGGTACTTATGAAAGAAAGAACAACACCAATCGATTCCTGTATTTTACATCTTGTCTTGTCTTGTTTTATCTTGTCCTTTGGGCTGCCATGGCTTTCCAAAAACAATTGGCATGATTCTAGCCAAGTGGCCAACAAGTAGAGACCATTGGCTCAAACACATACATGTAAAGTATCTCTTGCTCTACAGTGGAGAGTGGCAAATGCATCAATGTTCTAAAAAGCACAAGATAAACATTTAAGAGAAATTGCACATTACTGACGAAAATCTAATAGCACATTACCTCTCAGGTGGATGTAAATTTTCTTGCTTTACGACAAATAAAGAACCAAGTAAAGCCTGACCACTTTACAGTTTTTTAAATCAAAATGAAATGAAGCTTGAAGCAAATGTATGGTATCTGCAAATACACAAAGGCTATATGCAGATTTCTTTGATTTTAGTTGATAGATACATGTAGCATTAAGTGTAAGTTTTTGTTTTGTTTTTCTTTTAGACTGAAGAAAAAGCAAACAACTAAATAAAGTAATTAGATGGGGGGGGGGGGGGGGGTCAAGTTAGGTATTTTAATGGATTGAAAAACTTGCCCCATATTAACAATCTTCGCTCCTCCTAAGTTGTATTTGCAAAATCCCTGTCAGATTTTAGCACATATTAGCAATGATAAAAGTAGGTAAGGTGCATTATTTCATAATACTTAATAGATGCCTTTCACAAATCACCATCATGCTGTATTAAACTAAAATATGAAAATTTCAAACTTGTCACTATTAGACTATTTTCTCATTTTATGACTAAATTAACTTTGTTTATTGATATTGTTATATAATTACAGCAGTTTAGATAGAACTTGGGGATTCACTTTACCTTCTATGAATTAGAGAGCTGAGTTAAACCTGGATTAACATACATGTAGGTTGCTTTTTGAGAATATGGGACTTTATTAGTGATAAGCTGGAGGGTGTTTCACAAAGCCTTTTTCAATGACAAAGGACAAAAAGAACAGTGTACAATCTGCTGATTAACCAATCAGAAGCAAGGATTTCAGTAGATTATAACAGAGACTGTCATTTGTCACTGATGACAAGTTTTGTGAAACGGGGCCCTGGTTTCCATCATTGAAAAGGATACTGACATAGATGATGGCGAGGAGGAGGTGACAAATGACCAAAACAAACAGTGACAAATCTGCTGATAACCAATCAGAAGCAAGGATTTCAGTAGCTTATAACAAAGACTGTCAGTTGTCACTGATGACAAGTTTTGTGATATGGGGCCCTGGTTTCCATCATTGAAAAGGATACTGACATAGATGATGGCGAGGAGAAGGTGAGGGACGATACCAAGGTGGTCGCGTTTCTTGTCTCGTTTCTCCGTGGCCGTCCAGAAAAGCGCATCCAGTATGTCTTGCCCGACGGATGAGAAGAGCTTGTCAGCAACCTTTAAGACGAGGGAATTGAAATTTTCAAAACAGTCAGAAATTGGAAAGTTAAGTGATTTTAAGAGATTTTAATTGCCAAAATACCCCCTCCCCTTTGATTAAAGCTACATGTATATGGTACAATCAAATGTTGAAGGATCAAAGAACACACAGATTATAACAATTGGATTTATATATCGCCGTTTTTATACAAATAATATATGCTTGCGAGTGCATTAGTGTATACGGTATTTGTTTTATAAGATGGGTCTACAATATGAGTATAAACTCGAGAAATTGAGAGTTGTTATCACCAAAATGTACTCCTTCTGCATAGGTAAAAATTAATGCACGCACACGTGATCCATTTAGACGCTTCTCATTGGCTACATTCTTGAACCCATTTGTAATAGAGAATACAAGGTGCTATGCCTTAGTCTATGAACTAATTAAGAAGAATTTCCTACTTAAAGGGGATTTTATATCAAGGCCTGCAGAAGTCACTTTCCAAACAATATACTGATATTTCTTGCCTTACAGACCAAAGTAATTTGGCAGGTTCAAAGTAAGCACTGACAGATTTATTACCTTCGTCATGGAAAATTTACCCCCTGGTATATTTCTTTCGTCTGAAATTCACCAGGCTTGGTTTTAAATCAAATGTGTTATGCCCTGGTAAGAGTTGTGGACACACTAACCTCCAACATGTTATAGATGATGTAGAGTTTGATGACCGCTTGACCCCTGACGATGTGGTACAGCATGGAGATGTCCAGTTTGTCCAGTAGATAGGTGCAGACCACCAGGATGACCACTTTCAAGAGGTCACAAATTTCAGCTGCCTTTAACCGAGATCTCCTAAGAACAAATGAAGCCATTTCTTGATAAGAAACTAGTCAAAACAGTGAAAGTAATGGAATATTACACTTTGGTCTACTGTGTGTGTGGAGCAAGATGAAATCATATCAGAAGCCTATGAATATTCAATGCAGGTTACTTTAAAAATGTGTTCATGAAGGTTCCACACTTCCACTATTTACTTATTTTATCTAATCATAAAAGTAACAAACCTTTATCACTAGACAATGTTTTGTGACCCCATCAGGGTTGATGACAACAAAAACCAAACAGAAAGATCATACCAAAATATTTGTCTTAAAAAGACATAAAGAGCTTTGCAAACTCTACCTCTAGAACTTTGCTAAATATATACATACATGTATGTCTTACCGCAGAGATGTGTGATAGAACGGCCAGAGCATTAAAAATCTGGTTTATATTGTTCTTATCAAATTCAAGAAGAGTTTGAATGCATCAACAAGTAAACTACTACCCTACTAGTAAGACATGCCAAAATCTGTTGGCACCCAATGCAAGTCAAAAATAATGGATGCGCTCTGAGAGATGGCTTACCCTCTTGGTGAACAGGGGAAGGTGAGGAGCCGTAGACATGCGATGATCACCCTCAGTGGTAGGAAAGTGAAGATGAACAAGAAAGCATCCATGCACAGGAAGAATCCATACGTCATCATCTATAAAGAGAGAGAGAGAGAGAGAGAGAGAGACAGAGAGAGAGAGAAAAAAGGCTATAACAAATAATAATAGCTACAATACATCTAGCTGCCCTATACAACAGAGAGCATTCAGTAACAAACTTTCTACCAGGTATCCGGTTACTAAACCTGGGTGGAGACTGGAGAGTGGCAAATATGGATTATTGTTTTGTCAAAGGGTATCAGTACGCAGTATTGAATGCTTTTGGAACATGTGGTAGGTTCCTCTGTCAGAAGAACCCACATTTGGGGTGTTTAATAAAGAAATGAATAATCTTAAATCTGCATCTGTGACTCAAACTACAAACCATTACATTTTGAGCAAAAGTTTGATCAGTGATCTACTAGGCCATGACTCTTGTACAGGTATTGTTCAAGGTTGTGTTTAAAATGCAGTCAGATGGTTGAAATTGGGAAGTTGGACCAGCCTTGGTTACTTAATATGTAACAGCATTTCTATTGTAAGATAAGAATTTCCAGTGTTCCTGATGTTTATAGTTTATACCAAGCATGGTGGTTTTGAGGAAAATATATCAAGGGAAATTTCTCCATGACATGGGCACCAACAAGGGTAATAAATATGTCTATTTGAATGCATAATGAGAAGAGTTGATAATTAACAGGTTGAAACTTGAATAGTGTTTGAAGCAATATTCATGTCAACAATAAGAATCTGTGTGATTTCATTCTATCAATTATCATTTACTGTATCAATACAACAACAAAATACATTTCCCATGATAAAATCAACAAATTTTACATACAAATCAATTTAATTTGCCTTCAAATTCAATTTTCATACAAAAATGGTTCACTTTAGAGTCGGCACATTTTCCTTGCCAGGCCAAACATACAAGCCCATCACCCCCTTGATTGACCCTTGTTAAACATAATTTATATCATACCAGTATATAGATTTGACCAGTATAAAGATTTGACCTGTATGTACTATGCTGAACAACATATTCACCTACATTGTCAAGGACCTTCTCAGAGTATTGATAGGTTCTTGTAAGCTACTCTCCCACTCCAATTCTCACCGTCACTGCATAGTATAACTGATAGTCTAAAATATAAAGAACTTCTCACCTTTTCCAGTTCTTTAGGGATGCGTATGAAGGTGTAAACCCTCTCCCTCTTCTGCATGTAACGTGCCTCATCATTCTCAAGCACATAACCTCTGGTTAGCTCAGTAGTTAGATAGCTCCAGAAAGACAAATCTGGCAAATGAAAAAAATTAGATCTTTATTTTGCATTTTTATCAACACCAACAACAACAACAATAATAATAATAATGATTTTTCAGGTCCAAGCCCATGATATTGATAGACCTGCGAGGAGTGGAAGGTAAACAAACCCTAAAATGCATCCGAAATCACCCCTTCCCGCACCAACAAATATTGCAGAGGCTTTAACATTAGCTGGTGGACTCTTCTTTCTTCTCATCGAAAGCATTTTAAAATCAGTCAAAGAATAAGTAGGTCTACAAAATGTAAGATTTTGCTACCAGAGTGGTAGCGATTTGCCTACATGTACCTTCCATTTGTTCCTGATGATAAGGAGTAAAGTTGCGATTTACGCCCCCCCCCCCCCACTCCGGGAACGGAGGGACTACATGCGTGTTCCCAAAATCTCTGGCTCGTAACAGAGAAAGAGATCTGCCCGTATTGACTTTACGCACCAGACTTATGCTGAAAAGGGGGGTGCCTGCGTGAAGTTTGCAACCATAAATGATCATTGAAAGATAATTACTTGAATTTAATGAGAAAACTTCCAACCTACTCTACCGTCGTCCGTCGGTATGCATTTGCATTGTGCAGCGGTTTGCCACGAAACCTGTGAGAATTAAAAGGGTTCACTTTTGCCTTGGGAAAAATACTCCAAAAAAGATAACAAAATTTATCAGTTTTCACATGAAACATTAGTGGTAAGAAAGATAACAAATTTTAAATCATGACTGTTATTTGAACAACTGTGGTAGATCTATGTTTATATGATTTTTGGTGTGTTATAGTAGAGTCTAGTAAGGTATCTCCACGCTGGAGTTACGGGTCCAAAGTATGGTCACAGCAGGGATATGTGAGTTAAATTTGGTCACAGTTGTGAACAAGCGTCCATGCACATTTGCAAATGTTGTTGGCTGTATCGCGCCGCGCAAGAAGAGGACAGCTAATTCACCTCGACCAGCTCGCCGAAGCTCAGGCGCAGTACCGCGTTATTACAGCCCTATAAACGTTACAGTACTCGCACTCTTGCCTCTAGAGTCTAGGGAAGGGCACAGACAAGTGCACCTCATTGACGATCCACTAATTATCAAATACATGTCAATCATTTTCACTTACTTTCTTGAGCCTTGAGGATATCTTCGAACGTTTCATTTTGCTTTTTATCTTCTGAGGCATTCATGACATCTGATAATATGTGTAGATTTTTGGAAGAGCTGTCCGTTTTTCCGTCTGCAATCCGTATTGCATAGAAATAGTTTTTGCTCAAGGAGTTTACTTCTTTTGGTTGCAGTAAAACTCTCTTTAAACAATGTTTTGGCTTAATTGATCTTTGAGAATCATCTTATAATGACCTTTTAAACAAGATACAAACAGTATGAAATTTCACTTTTAGTTTTCATCAATCTATTTATTTCATATAATTCAAAAGAATTTAACAAAGGCGAGATATTTTACGACACGTCTAGTTTATATAGATCTACCCGTCGATGATTGAAAGGTCTCGCAATATCATTCATATCCATGATATTGTATGTATGACCAGGGCTTGTAAGTCTCACCTCCCTGGTATGACCTAGATCTATCTCGCAAACTAAACAAAATAATCGCAAAATGTATGGGCTATTTTTGGCATTCTTCCTCAAGTTAGTGAGTTTACAAAACGAAAATCATTCTGCTTCTATATAGCTCTCTCTCTCTCTCTCTCTCTCTCTCTCTCTCTCTCTCTCTCACAAGCTTTATCCACTCTGTTTATACTCGAGAGAGATCCACATTCACTTTGAGTGGATTTCCACAAAATTGGATGTATACTCAATTATAGTTATTGACTTGTTTTCCTTTCAAAACTGATATGACTGTGCAAGCAAGATTAAAAGTAGTACAGATCAAAAGCCCAAGAACATTTCAAGAAAGAAAAATGTGAGTAAATAATATCTCTTATTATGATAAATCTTGAAACTAATACAGTGGTCATAGTTCTTTCTATCCTTTAAAGGATGATATAGTTGTGCATAATGTTAGCTTATCAGTTAAATCATTCCACATACGAGGACCATTATGTCTAAAACAGTACAACAGTGTTATTTGTCCGGGGAATAGTCCCCAACATTCATGTAGGTACATGTATATCTCCATCGATTAGATTCTATTGTGGATCAAGAGACATGTACTCCACACAAATATGCCCCACCCCATTCCCCTTCTTAAAGAGACAGGAACCAACAACAACAAAAATCATGTAACCGCAAACACTTCCATCGACACACACACATTGAGGAACAAAATGTGAAACATGATTAAAATAAAATGCAGACGCAGGAATAGTCTCAAATATCATTAACTGATCAATGCAGCAGGTTCATTTATTTCATATAGGCTATAGCTAATACTACTAAAATTTGCCACTATATATTTGCAGTTGCTCTTCTATCTCCCATCTCCTTTTCTTACAAAATTTGTACATCACAGATCCCAGAATAGTGTAAAACAATTGGAACTAACAAAACACATAACATGATCAATATAAATACAATCTAATAAACAATTTACAAGTTCATATATACTATTTGCTATGGTTTATACTGTACAACATTAATCTACATTAGCCACTCTCCACCCGGGTGAACTAAATTGGCACCTGGTAGGAAGTAATTCCTTGACTGCTTAAGCACCCTATCATGGGGGCTGAGCTATAGCCGGGGGAAAATATGATACTTTGTATTAGGGCAGTAGAGTATATTTAAATTATAGTACAGGCACTATATCAATGGGCATGATCTTATTATTTTTATTACACCCTGGACAAAAATTGTCAAATATACATTAAGTAACATCAATGGCAAGAATAAACAAAAATAACCACAGAATTCCAACATTTATCAACTTATTAACCCTTAATTATAAGTGCAAAAATGTTGGTAATGAATTTAAAACAATTGGAAATTTGGAATATTACCAAAAGCTTGCCTTTCTCTTGAAACTTAACAAATGTGATTCCATTTTAAAAAATGGACCATGGAAATTGTGAAAAAATGAAAACACTGGTGTCATGTAATCTTTTCATTGATGGCACCTTACATATTAAAATGCAATGAATTGATTCAACATTGTACTTTAAAATTTGAGATTTGTAAATAATTAGTGATCTCTTACTTCAAACCCTCATATATCATGGTCCGATTTATTTCAAACTTTCGTCATTCCATTTTTATTATATTTCTGCTTTGATACAGATGAACTTATTACAAAGGTTGGATTGCCATTTTAGTGTTGCAATCTGAATTCCACAATGGACCAGAAGCATTAACAAGATTTCTTATCATATATTTATTTTTAATTTACATTACCATCAGCGAAACCAATATTGATCCGGATAAATTTTCATCTAATTTGTGCATGCTTCCAACTTTTAAACAATCTAAAACCATGACTAGAAAATTTCTACCTACAACTAGGTATAACAATCAGGGCTGGTTTGTGAATCTCTGAGAAGTTCCATATCATTCCACCCAGTAGGAAAGGGTTCCATTGATCTGTATATAGACTCATTTTAATGCTACACTCTTACTCAAATATTTACACAAAGGTGAGGTCACGTCTTGTTTTCATTTCTTGTTTACACATTACAGAATTAGAAAAGTTACTCTACACAATCTCCTATTGTGTAGAAAATTATATATAGATTAGCATAGACATAAATACATGCTATGAATTCTGATTACTAGTCATCTATACATAATTTCCTTATGATTATTTACACATCCACACCATACAAATTCCAGAAGATTCTAAATGACTATGTTCATCCTGGAGCAATAACACCATATATATATATATATATATCTAGAAAAATTCTATGATTATGTGACATAGGAGCAAAGCCATTCTCCGTCATTCAACTCTATTCCCTCACATCCATTTGATTAATTCTCGCGATGGAATGGAATAGAGCTTATCTATTCACAAAGACTGACGACAATAGATGTTGCTTCCAATTGGTAAGTTACATGTATCTCATGGAGCTTCGGCTAGTTCCCTATGCAGATTTTCTGTGTGGTGTCTGTTGTGATTTGGTACATTTAATAAACTTTAGGTAAGTTGTATGTTTTTCTAGGTTTTTTTATTCTTACAAGGTTTGAATTCTTGGAATTGATTTCATTTGTGTCATTTCTGAAGAAACTATCTTCAATTTGGTCAAAAAACCATACAGCAAAATGAAAGACATGAGGCTAGGTTATACACTTAAAAATAATATCACTATAAAATAATTTAAAAGACAAATGCACATATATACATACATTATAAAAGTATAAAACAAACAAAATAACACATACAGATACAAAGACATGTGAAAAAATATGGTGACAGTAGAAATAAAATAAGGGAGGGAGAGGGTTGGCAATCTTTTTCAGTGGATAAGAATTTGCACAAAAGACTACCGGTATTGTTTTTCATAAAATAATAATTTATTGACCAGGCGTTTCTTGATATGGATTTTGAAACTGTTGAATGACATACCTGGTGGAACTACTTTTTCACTACTATTCCAGAATTTAGCACCTCTTTATGATTGTTGGCATTTGCAATAATTTGTTTTAGGTTTCGTTAATATGATCACCAGATCTAATATTAGTTTCACAATGAGTTTCAGTAATTCATAAATATTGTTTAGGAGAACATACAATTTATTTTTAAAACTATTTGTACAGATCAGTTCTGGAGAATAGTATTTCTTTGTATTGCCCCCAACAACACTTCCGTAATTGATTGAATATAATAGATTTATATACGCACAACACAAATGTCTACCTTAAATAGCTGTGGAACAAACACATTTTATTGAGAAGACATGTAAAAATAAGTTACGTATTATGTATCATTAAGAAATAGTCTCTTCTCTCTTTAAGTTGAAAAAGAAAATAATCTCAACAATAAATACTATAAGTGGCAAAGTCATCATGAAAATCTCTCTACTGGAGTCTCTCCAATATTTGTATAGATCTTAAATTCTAGGAATTGTAACTTTCTTGATGTTTTTCTTGTTTTTCTCAAAATAGTGATATTACATTTTTCTTCTCCTCCTACTCATATTCATATGACTAGGATAATGACTGCTGGCACCATTTGAGACAGTAGATACAGACAAAGTAATAAACAGAAGTTTTCACCTTATTATGGGTCCTGGAAACATTTGGTGGTTTCAAAAAATGTGTGTGAGTCAGGGAAAATCTACAAAAAATACTTGGTACTTTGTAGGATTCCTCAAAAAGCACTGTAAAGGGGTTTAAACTGGAGGTTTGTCGTCATGTGCGGCCACCAACTTAAGGTGCTGGCTTTAAGTTGGAAATAAACAAATATTTAAAAGTATTTAAGGAAGGTTGGGCTACAATTAAGGGAGAGAGACTGTTCCAGTCCTTAACTGTCCTTGGGAAGAATAAGTATGCATGTGCATCCGTCCTGACTTTGTTGATATAGAATTGTTGGTCATGGCCCCGTCTTGTTCGTTCTACCTTCGGTGAGATGTAATCCTTGTAGTTGATGTCCATCAAGTCATGGATCATTTTTCTCCTCAGGTCCCTCAGGGATTATTAATTTTCTTGGTTGGACAGGAGCAAATAAAAGGCTCTGACTTGAGGAGATATATTGTTTGTCACCTTGTACACCACAGAGGAAAAGAAATTGTAGAAGATCAAGACACGACTGTCAAAATGCGCCTTGAAGACACAGTAGGCCTTGAAGAGCCTGCCAAAAGCCTCAAGGGTAGAGCTTCCCGCCGGTATAGCCATATCATCTGCGATGATATAGTACTCCTCCGGTGCTGTTTTGGGCCCTAGGCACAGCAGGAATGGCTGTTTCAGTCTCGCTGGCTTCCCGGCAACATACCGAGCAACATCAAACCCAAGCTGTGATAAATAAACGAGAGTTGTTTAGATGATGTGATGCAGCGATTAAAGTTAAACAAGTCAACGCAAAGCATAGCATCCCCTCGCAGGGTACAAATGGCCTATATACGTCAGAACAAGTTACCTCTATTGGACTATACTATTATATTACTAGGCAAGGAAGTTAACTACATTTTTACATATATAATTAGGTGTTTTTGCATCTTTAATGAACCATGACCTTTCATCTTTGACCGACATACTCAGATATCAAACTTAGGCTGTACATGTATTTTGATACCATGTACCTTCATATCAAATTTCATTAAAATTTGTCAAACATTACTCAAGTTATCGAATGGAAACCAGATTTGCATATTTAAAGAGCTATAACCTTTGACATACATACTCCGAAATCGAACTTAGGTTGTGTTTTGATACCATGAACCTTCATATCAAATTTCATTAAAATCCGTCAAACAATATTAAAGTTATGGATCGGAAACCAGATTTGCATTTTTAATGAGCTATGACCTTTGACCTACATACTCAGAAATTGAACTTAGGCTGTTTTTTTATACCATGTACCTTCATATCAAATTTCATTAAAATCCGTCGAACATTACTAAAGTTATCGATCGGAAACCAGATGTGTATTTTTTTGCATATTTAACGAGCTATGACCTTTGACCTACATACTCCAAAATCAAACTTGGCCTGTATTTCGATATCATGTACCTTCATATCAAATTTCATTAGAATCCGTCAAACATTACTGAAGTTATCGATTGGAAACCAAATTTGTTACGTAAAGTAAAGTCATACCGTAAATGCTCTAAAATTGAATAAACATGTCTGACAGAAATTAAATAAAGATCATTCAGATCACCAATCGATGTAGTTTGGGTTTAGTTCTCTTTTAAACTGAAGACAAGCTTTGAGACTGCTTTCACATAGTTATGCCATATTCATTTCATGGATATTTCTCAAGAACATTAAAATGGTCATTCTACCAAAGTCCATTACATGACCAAAATAGCCTACAAAATGTATACACAATACTTCAAGATGACGGGCCCATTATGTTTCCTTGAAATAAGTTTGAACATACCAATAATTGCAATAGAAATTGTTTTCAAATAGATTGCATCTGAATTCATGACATATAAGAGACACAATTTGTATGATACTATCAGATTCATGCCCATATATGAGTTTGCTTCACACAGAAATGAAGCATCATAACCAAGAAGATTAAACTGTCAATCAGTAATCAAAACAATTGTGATTTTATTCCTCTTTCATGTACACTTACTGGATGATGTTGAAAAACACGGTTGGTTGTGTCTTGTTTACGGGTTCCAGTTTTTCCGGCAATTTTCTGTTGCTTTTTTGAGACCTTCCCTGTGGGACTTGGCAGGAGTTCCAGTAGGACATACAGGGCGCAGAGGTAGACTGTATTGTGAAAAAGAGACAACAAGATTTTTAAAAGTTACATCTTCTATTCCTTTCAAATGCTGGATAACATAGGCTGGAGAAGACAGTAGAGGCTAAGAATAATATATGTATATTCATTTATGTTACTCCGTTTCCAGGAACATTCCTGAACATTTTGGGAAGAACAAAACTATTACCTAACCCTGTAAAAGTCTCTCCTCTAGAATCTATGGAACAACAAAAAAGGAGGGGTGTCACGTGCAACCTTATCAGCTTGTTAAATTTTGTGGAAAGGCTGTATTGCCCCTAATCTGGCCGATTGACGGACCCCACCCCCTACCCGTATGTACAGCACAATATGATTGTGCCGAACACAAAGAATTATCCTATGCAAAAACAACTGCTCTCTAAACGCTTGACTGTCATCAAGGTCAATAAATGGAAATTAGCCCTTCAAAAACATAATTAAACAAAGAGGAAGCAGTAATATCAAAGTTTGAGATAATTTATGACCCTTCCCCCATTCCCTTCCCATATATAAAAGAAGTTATGAATCAGATTGTCTCTTATGGTGATACACACTATCATCAAGTTTGTAGTTCAATATCTCTAGTGGTTCTTAAAGGTACTACAGTATGTCCCATTTGCAGGCCCAAAAAATAAAAAGGTTACATTCCAACGGCATTTAAAAGATAATACTAATTTAGAACTTCCCTAAAAAAAGGGGGGGGGGGCTTGAAAATGTCTTTAAGTGGCAAAATAATGACTATTAGTTGTTGCATCGACTTAAGAGCTATAGAGCCAGTAAGTAATAGTCTGATTTTCCGACCATTGTACCGAATGGTCGTACGTTTTATGCTGCGCAAATATTCAATCAGTTTAATTTTGGCCATTAGAAGAACTAGGCTACTGATGTAGACAAATGCTCATGTACCCTTTACTGCTCATTTTATGTATGTTATTACCAAAGAAGAAAAAAAGCCAGTCACTTACTCAATAGTGTCTGACAGTGAAGTCTAGCAAGTAAACAGGTTCCTTTGCATAATTTGAATATAAGGACACTGCTTACGCTTAAATTTCACAGATAGGACATACATGACATATTCATAATTCCTGCAAAGTTCTACAGAATTTGTTGTTGGCTGCAACAGGGACACAGTATCTTTAAGATATCGCATTAACGAGAGAGCGAGACAGATTGACAGACGAAGGGAAAACCCGAAATCACAATGCTTCCATCACCACCTTTGATGTGCGGAGGCATACAAATTATTTGTGTACAGCTAGAAATATAAATTCAAACAAAATTTGCAGTGGTTCTAACACTATGAACATAGCAGACAAAGAAAGCGGACAAAATATACAGTTCCTCAGGTAGACAAAGGAGCATCCCTTCACTCCTATTATGTAAAATGTGTAGAACAGGTGAATATGCATGTGACACCTGTTCCACACATTTTTACATAATAGCAGTGAAGGGATGTTCCTTTGTCTACCTGAGGAACTGTATATTTTGTCCGCTTTCTTTGTCTGCCATGTTCATAGTGTAATGTCCTTTAGGAAGGCATTAACCTGCATCTACCACTCTCCACCCAGGTGATTTAAATGGGTATGCAGCAGAAAGAAATTCCTTGAATGCCAGAGCGCCATATCAAGGCTGCTTGGCTAATGCCAGGGTAATAATATTACAGCACTTACAAACATTAGTACGAAGCGCTATATAAATGTTACTATGGATATTATTATTATCATTATTATTATCATCATTATTATTAGAGTATACAATACATACTATCTCCATTGTCACCGAAGGATTCAAGGATACTAGATGCACGTTCCTTGGTCTTTGCCAAGGCCAGAACAGATTCTGTAAATGCCGGCAGCCATGATATCAGGGAGTTTGCAGCCTCTGCCCCATACTTCAATGAGAAGTCGTAGTCAATCTGTATACAAAGAATTTTATGAATCGTGTGGTAAAGCATAATCATCTGTTCAGAACCAGACGTGTGTTTATTCTGTGATAAATATGTGATGAATAATATAACTCAATGCCCTTCTGGCTCCAAACGGATGTTTCTTTATATACATCATGCAACCAAAGTGAGTACACTTTTAAATCGTAATGTAAATCTTACAAACTTTTATGTAGAATACATAATTACCATAACCTTTCCCCAGCTTCATGTGCCAATTGTCACATCTGCAGGTGTGCCAAATGTGTCGGCCAGGACAAACAATAGGCATAAATTATAAGAAAGATTTGCACTGGTTGCTATAAAAAAATCCAAACACGTTTCAAATCCTAATTGGTTGCAAGACTACCCTCTTTATCACCTGCTTAGTTTTACACTTGATATTTGTACATAAACTAGGACCTGTTATGTTATTGTTTTATCGATATCACTCTTATTGTCGATATATAAATTAATATGCGTTCAATATGTAATCCATTGTGACGTCATATATTTTGTTGACTTGCTGATTATCCACAAGATGGACGCTACCGGAATAAATCATATCTGAATCATTTAATATACCAGGGGGCCGTTTCTCGAAACCAACTCCATGACAGTCATATCTTTGTCGGCGACCTACGGAGATGTCATGAAGCGGATAAACCGTTCCACAAAGCCATGACAGACATGATATCGATATATCGCGATACTAGCAGCTCAAGAACATAGTCTTTGTCACGATCCATTTGATTTATCACGAATAACCCAAAACAAGTTTTGGGGCTAAAATTGTTCAAAAAGAAATATATACATATAAATTCTCCTAAAATAAATAATAAATAGTGTCATTATCAAATGTAGATCATCAAACGATTTGCATATTTCTGTAAAGATTCTTAAATTGAAGAAAAACCGGTGAGTGTTTTTTTTCGACAGACGAATCAAAAGTTAGTTGAAGGATACCGTAATGTGATAGTTTATCAATACGTACTTTTTTGTTTATTGTGACGAGGAATTTTAGGCAAAATGTCTTTTCTCAGCCATTTTTTATTCTAGAGTCTCATAAATACTCGTTATATAATTGATTTGATATTGAAAATATAATTTGGAAGAAGTAAATAGAGAGGGAAAATAATGCACATAGGCCCCAAAGGTATGACGGTATCCTAAGAAAAGACTATGGATCGACTATGGAAAACGGTGTGTAACATTCTTACCGCTCTTATTTATATGTTATAGTTTAATGATTTGTGATTTAATGTTTATATTAAGCTTTTTAAAGTATCTGTATAATTTGTATTCTCACTTTTGTACATTTGCATTTCGCATCCCAGAGAATTACGTACCAAACTCGTCTATATTTTTCTCAAAATGATAGTGAAACTAATCGTCCATTTCGCGGCCCATGGAATGGCAACAAACTGACTTGTGATGGCGCTTTACAGCAATTAAAAAGATATGACAGGTTCGGAGCAGTGACAACTCGCTTGTCGCGGAAGTTGTCGCTCATCTTGGCAAAGACGGCTTCATGAAACACTTAGCTGACAAGTTGCGTGACAGTGGCGAGATGTCGTTGATCTTGTAGTTATGACGGTTTCGAGAAACGGCCCCTAGTGTGAACTAAACTTATTAGTTGGTGTGTACCAAGCCGAGTAATCCATACAAGATGTATAACAGGACCCAGCCATACTACCTCTTCAATAAAAAGCGTGGCACAGGAATATCATTTGAGTGGTAAATAGTTAAAGCAATGGTAGAGACAACATTCTGTGATTTGTATACATTTCTAGGTACAAAACGTTTTTATGCCATGACAGTGTTTCATTTGCCATATAATTTGATGCAAATGTGCTACCACAGTGTCCTCTTTAACCCATTGACGAACAAATACTCTTATTCCAATACAGCATTATACAGAATTTTCCCAGTTCTCATAGGCAGTGGGTGAACATAGTAAACAGGGGCCAGTTTCTTGAAAACCGTCATCAACCTAAGTTCGTGGACATCTCATAGAAATGCATGTTATAACATATAAGAAGTTAGACGTATGAAGGTTTCGAGGAACAGCCCCCAGAAGTTTAGAAATCAAATCTCACCAGGATTGGCACATCCTTGTAGCAGGGATACACTGCTATGATGTCCGAGATACTCATGTCCCCATCTTGGATCCACTTGGTTCGATGTGAGTGTGTATCCTTGAAGAAGGCTTTGATGGCCATCGTATTTTCCGATTCACCTGGTTCCCAGTCATAACTCGCATCATCTTGCTCTTCTTGCTCTTCTACTACTTTAGTTATGCTGATGTTTTCACCTGGAGATCCAAGGGGCTGTATCTTCACCATTTCGTGCGGTTGAACAGATTTCTTTTTTAACCTATGACGCGAAGCTGTAGTTCGTAGGGTCTTGAGGCGGAACTCTAAAAAGCCACCACCTTTATGGTAAAGGTACTCCTGCAGGCAAAGAGCACAAGCAGAATCAGATATTACAATAGCTGAGCTGTTATTCATGTTCAAATGCCCTCAAGGATGCCATTGCCATGCTCTCAAGATAATGCTAGGCAAATATGAATCATATATATATATATTCTAGTTACTTTTGTGAATGTCATGACCAGGGTAACAATAATATTTTTATAAAGCGTGTAGACATGGTGTTTTGTATCAAGCACTTAATAAATCCAGATTCATCATTATCATTTATTACTGGCCCATGCCTCTTCTCTGTGTGCCCAATTCGCATGTCTCCACAACCCATGATTAATTTATTGATATTCATGTGTCCGTGAAGTATAGGAACATAAAATGCAGAGACCCCTTCATACTCGAGATGGATGCAACTTGCTATTGAGCCTTTTTTTTCTTTAAACTTACATGACCCTCTGCACCTGGAAGCTTGTCCTTTGTACACGGAAACTGGGAAACAATTGCTACTGCCAAGGCTTCTTTCTGCTCCACAGAGGGATACCTGTACATGAAGACAAGACAAGAATGATGGTCATCTGTGGAGCCTTTTCAATAATAAATAGTCATAAGCAAGCTACAAGTACAGACAGCCCTGGGCCCTGTATTACAAAGAGTTGATATAAATCGCAACTATGTACATAAGAGATGGGAGATTGCAAACTTGCCATTGATTGGAGAACTTGCAATTGATTTGGATTAATTGCAAATCTTTGTAAGACGGGGCCTTGGTCACAACTTCCCAACTGCAGCTGGTCCTTTGCAGATTTCAAATAAAATCCATGTATTGGACGCAATTGTCTGCATGATTTTTTCATGGAAATATACATGCATAATATTTTAGATTTCTTTTTTAGATTTCTTTTTCAGGTTTCTTGAGATTAAAAAAAAAATACTTACAACTTCTCACCCCCATTCTCAACCAGATACGCAACCATCACCTGTACCAGGAGTCTCCTGTTCTTGGCTGATGGCATATTGCCCAAATCCAGGTCCGTAAGAACTAGCCTTCCCTTAGGATGGCTTTTAAGAATTCCCCTTATGTTGTAGTGCTAAATATGATAAGAAAATACAAGCAGATGAGATTATGGCCTATCTTTAAATCCAAAATTATAAATGTAATCCAAAGGGTCAACCCGTAGGTTCCATAAAATTTATTGTAATAGTGTAAAATAAGAAAGAAGAAAAGTTTTTGGTCATGAATTGAAATTGAGAAATAGCCACACAAAGATTGAAGTTTTTTCTGTTTTTTCTCCTAGTGAATGAAGTATGATGATTTGTTTAGGCAGAACAATGGAGAGGTTGACATTTTGGTCTCCAATAATCAGTAGACAAAATATTAGGCAAGATATTACCCTGTAAGTTGGGGCTTTGATCGGATCGGAAGATCGGAGCGGCACCCTCGCACCTGTGATCGGTATCGGTACATTATAATCCAAGATGGCGGCCTGCATGTTTTGCCTCTTTTCTTGGACCAATATAATTAATTTCAAAGTCATGAAAAGGCACTAAATATCAACAAACATGGTCTACAACAACTCTTAATGACAAAATAATCCCAGCTACCGGTATGCATTTTTTAAAGGCATTTGATAGCCAAAAACTTGAAAAATTTTAGCATTAAAAAAAATAATAAAAAAAATTGCCAATTTTTTTTTTCTGATCATTTTTATTGATCAGCGATTGGAAATTGTTATCCGATCTCACCTGATCGGCTCAAGATTGGCCCATGATCCGATGATCGTTTACAGGCCTAGCAAGATATAAATATAGTTTACATATAAATTAGGGTGGCTTTTGAGATTACCGGGCTACATTGCCTCTGCTTAATGTTAGTAACCCAAAGTACAACGCGCCTTTGCCCTTCTTCCAGCCACAAAACAATACATGTATACATAACCTACCTCTGGCCTTGAATATGGGGCTACATTGTAACAACTTGCTTCCTCATCAATGCTTGCACTGGGAGCTTGCCTCAGATGAGAAGTCTGGTCAGGCAGCACGTGGATGTCATCACTTCCATGTTGATGTCGAAATTTCGAGAAATGCCGCTCCAACATTTCTGAGTCAACGTTGTTTGCGGTTGAAACCAGATGGGAAGGATGGCCCATCTCGACATGGCTGTTCACATTTGGACTTCGATTCTGAGATGTCCTGGCGTGTTTATCCATCATAAGCGGAGGTTCAATGTGTTTTCCGGTTGAACTTGGATGATAACCACTGCCCATCTTTCTATGAATACTGTCCCTTGCACTTTGATATGGGGACTCCAGGGAGGGTGTCTCCAACGTGTCTTGTGATTCAACATAATTTCGGTTTAGACTTTGAAGTGAAATTTGGCCCAACTGAACATGGATGTTTGCATTCGCACTTTTATTTTGAGATTTCCCAGGGTGTATATCCAGCATTTTTGGACATTCAACATGGTTTACACATTGACCTGTTGATTGGGAAACATTGTACAGCTTAACACGAATGTTCTCACGCACACTTTGATTTTCCAATTTCATCGAGTGTGACTTCAACATATCCTCTGGTTCAACTAGCATACAATCATCATCGTTTCCAGTTGGATGAGGATCTGGAGTTTGGTCCATCTGTGCAAAGGCGCTATCCTCTGCCCATTGATCTGAGGATTTCAGGGCGATTGTTTCTACCCTTTCATGCGGTTCACCATTGTCTTTAGGAGAACTTGAAGTGGTAGCATCATCAATCTGTCCATGAATATCATCACCAAGACTTTGATTATCAGAATCCATCAAGTCCATTCCCATCATTCCTTCTGGATGAACAGGATCCCATAGTTCAGCACTGGCCTTCCGACGTGCAGCTGTTGTTCGTAGGGTCTTCAGACGGTACTCTAAAAAGCCATGACCTTTATAGTAAAGGTACTCCTGCAGACAGAGAGCACAAACAGGTATTACAGTTTAATCTGGCAATGCGTGGAGAAATACCTGCAAAAGTGCCATGATGCAATAACCATAAACAAAATGATGTGGATAACAAGCTCTTTTAATACTTTAGTCTGCTCCCCCACCCCCATACATAAATGAATGGAAAAAGTGTAAACAAGTCATTATGTCACAGCATATGCTCAATTTTTTTTTTTTTAAAGAAACAGACTAAGGAGGTTCTTATCTTGCTTGGTACATTGCACTGACTTTCATTCACTTTATTTTTACTGTATGAATAATGAATATTATCATTATTATTGTCCTTATTATCATTATTATCAGCAATTGTATTTGTATTATTATTATCATTGTTATTAGTAGTAGTACTCTCCACCCAGGTATTAAATGGGTACCCGTGTGTTGGCTCAGTCAGTCAGCCTCACAACCGGGGGATCGTGGGTTCGAACCCCGGCCGCGTCATACCAAAATACGTTAAAAGACGGGAGTTGCTGCTACCTTGTTTGGCGTTCAACAATAAGGGATAGAGCAACGTCGATCTGGCGCTGCTCAGTGGCTGCCGGGCTCACGATCAATTGGGCAAAAAGAATATCAATTTTTCGGTTTAACTTAATAAAATTTGGAGTGGACTTTAAAAGATTATTATTATTATTATTGTAGTAGTATTCCCCTACACAAACAAGAACGTGGTACGGCTCAAACTTACATAGCCCTGTTCCCCCCGTAGGTTGTTCCTCATACGTGGAAACTGGTAAACAATTGCCAATGCCAAGGCGTGCTTTTGCTCATTGGTTGGGTACCTGTATATGAAGACAATTCAAAATAATAGATAATAATAACTGCATGTATATTTCAAAGCTACTATACAAATATACCCTTAGGCTACTGGTTATATCATTATCCCCAGCTTTTAGCTTTTAGAGTGATACTTTCAAAGCTTTTTACAAGGCATTGGTCTACATTTGTCCCTAGACCTGGGCAGAGAGAAGCATATGTAGATGAATGTCTCCCTTAAGGATGCTAGTGCTGAGACAAGGATTCAAACCCTTTACCTCGCGATCCACAGTCAGGTGACTTTGCCACTAGTCCACGCCTCTACTGATCGATAATCTTCTGTGTGGTCTTTTCGACTATTCTAAAATACAAGTAAGGAAGGAACCAGAGGAACAGTGCTGTAAAGTACCATTATGGCCACCTACAATTGCAGATAAATGAAAGTTATTTGGCCATTTGCAGTCCTACCTGTTACCAATCGATCTGATCCCCAATCTCCATGTACATAAAGTACAGCTGACAAATTGATAGAACCACTTGGTATAATCAAAACTCTGATGACACGAGTAAGATATTTGGCAAAATACTTTGAACTTGCCAGAACTGAATAGCAACAAGTTAACATGTTCAGTGAAAGCATACACGCAAACACACTTTCAGCCAAACAACTTTACATCTTCAGAAGCAAGCATTATGTACATGTACATTGTAGGTACTGTATTTGGGCACGTCCATGCTATTTTGTCCAGTATGTTACTGCATGCATCAAAGATTTTAGTATATCTGACAGTTGTATAAATTTGCAAGTCCTAATTAATGCTGTAAACTAATACTCTCTTTTTAAAATCAATCGGCGTTCATTGCACCACAATTCTTTTAAACATACGGGACACAAAAGGACCAAATACCCTGGATTTGTATACTTCTATATGTCCATTTTTTTTCTTCTCAAGAAATTCAGACACTTACAACAAATGGCCTCCGTTCGAAATGAGATATTCAACCGTCACTTGCACCAGGGCCCTCCTGTTCATAACAGATGGCATCCTTCCGGTATCCAGCTCTCTAAGAACTGCCCTTCCCTTGTAATGGCTATGAAGAATGCTCCTTATGTTGTAGTCCTAGAAATCAAAGCAAAGAAAAGCAGTACAGATAATGATTTTGTCTGAAGAAATAAATAGCCCTAATGATATAAATCTTCCTCATTAAAGACCCTTTTTTTTTTTTTTTAACTACCATTGGTGGTGGTGGTTATTTTACCTGACTGCTAAGAAAGCATAAATGCTTGTAAGTAAGCAACCAGACGGCCGACGGGTCTAGGTCCTCTCTGAGGGACCTGGTAATGAGGATTAATGCCTTACCAAAGGGCACTAGCGCATCGACTTGGTTTCGAACCCGGGTCAATGGATTACGAGACCACTGCTCTATACCGACTCAGCTATCGCGCCTCCTTCTTTTTGCAACGGTAAATTTTTACTTTTATGCAACAAGAATAAATCATGCTTATTTTTCACTTAGTTTTGATAATGTATAGGAGCTGTCAGTTATCGTCACAGAAAAATCTGTCAAACTGATTTTGGCAGCAGGTGTTGAAATCATTATGCTTCTCCTGTTTACATGTATATAACATGACAAGATATTCAGACAGAAAAGAAAAAGAAAAAAAAGTATCACCAACAAGCATACTTTCGTGAATATGGGAGTATGTGTTCACAAAAGTTTGTGTACTGTAACCCAACACGATCATGTTAAGACCCAATGGAACAACACAAGTACAAGTGAGCCGATATATTTTACCTCTGGCATTGTAAGGGGTGCCCTGTAGCTCGCAGGTATATTTGGACGGGAAGGCAAGGGAGCTTGGCCCATCTGCACACGGCTACAAGTACTACTGCTGGCACTCAGAGGTGTAGATTTTGGGGTCTGTATCGCCAATATCAACCGACGCCTTTCTCCGAACGTCTTCCCGATGCCCAATTCCCGAAGATCAGATTCTGTGATGGTGGGCAGGATCGACATATCAATGTCATTATCTGCATGAAAAATGAAATGAAATACACTTTCTCATATACATACTTCATACTTACATGTACGTACATGTACAATCTCAAATCTAGATTTATGTACACATGTACTGTATGGCAAATACTTGAAATAAAAAATGAATTTAGAAATGAGACACAATCAGGACAGTATTCAATCGGTTTCAATTACTAGTGCCGTGTGGTTATACAATGCTTCTGACCATTCATTTTTTTTATTTATGTATTTATTTATTTTTATTTTTTTAATTTTATTTTTTTTAATTTTAATTTTATTTTTTATTTTATTTTTTTATTTATTTATTTATTTTATTTTATTTTTTTTTTTTTGGGGGGGAACAATGGAAAAACACAGATTAACAGTGTCTTTAAAATTGTAAAACACCCCTCTTTTGCCAATGGGGGGGGGGGGGGGAATGTGTGAACACCTAAAACACCAACCCCCTCCCCCACCCCACCACCCCCCCCCCCCCCCCCCCCCACCCTACGTAAATATGCCCATGAAAGGATGTAACAAAGCTCCCATATATATATATATAAATGAGTTTCCAATTATCAAATCAACTTCTTTCAATCAATTTTCTTTGGAGTGTTTAACGTTATAAAAATCCTCCCTCTAGATGTGCCCGAGATAGGGGAAGTGTAGCAAAGCATACAACTAGTGTTGTATATTGAATATCCAACATGTAAAGGATGTAACAAGCTCCCTTTTATAAAAATGAGTTTCCATGAAATCAACTTCTTTTCATCAATTTCTTTGGATTATACTTTATACTTATATTTACACGGTCAAAACATATCACCTCCCTGTAGATGTGCCCACCTCCTCCTACATCTACATGTACATGTGCCTGAGATAAGGAAAGTGTAGCAAAGCATACAACGTACAAGCATATTGTGAATCCTCAATCAGCCATATCAATTATAAAGGATACCTACTGTACATGTATTGTACTGTAGGTGATACATAAGACATACAGTACTGTAGGTAAACAGTGTATCTCATGTGAGTCATGTAATTAAGCCTAGCTGGCTTAATTACTAGACCATGATTTTAACAAAATAGTCAAAGACCAATTTATGAGAGAAAAAAATACAAGTATAAATCTACATGTGAGGTATAGACCTAGTGAAAGTGAGAAATCTTGAAACCTCAAGAATATTTTTCTAAAAAGTTGTCATCAGTAAAATACAAATTAGATCTAACTGTTAGACATAGGCTATAGCAACACCGACATATCTTGTGAGCTGCTCTCAAATATACAGAAAATTTCAGAATCTTTCACTAATTGCTGTAGTTATCGATGACGGAATAGATTTGTTCCATATTGATACAGCCAGGGCCATAACAAATTATTACTTTAAGACAATTTCCAATCAAACATTCACACTAGATTCTATATAAACATATTATTATTTATTCAAATATGTTTTTATACAACCTGACCCTGTTAATTCTCTCAATCTGATTTTCTGCTTAAGGCGCTAATCATTTTCATTTCATTTCATTTATTTTTCATAATTTCATGTTACATAAACATTTCCATATATAGATAGATAGATAGATCTACATATTTACATGAATTAATAGAACAAATGTCACTCACCCATGAAACCTTTAATAATATCGACGTCGTTAAACCCCTTTTGTCGAAGAAATTCTGCAACATCTGCCATGGTTTAGACTCCTCTGCATCTCAAACAAACTGAGTAGATGCAGCAACACCCTGCATACGGCACAAAGTCACCACTCAAAGAACGAAAATGCTCTATTTAAGAGGCCGATGCTCAAATGGAAGATAAGAAGAAGAAGAAGGGCTCAACAAAACAAGTAATCACATTCACAAATGCGCCGCCGAGTACACAACAAGTCGCGTCGAAAGGCGGTACGCACGGTACTACTAGACCTGTCGGGCTACACACCGGTAGGGGATCAAGTGTAGTGACCTCACATCGATCCTAGGCCCTCAGCTCAGCTTCGTCATCGGCGCCGCACTCAGCTCCGGCTAGGCTCCTCAGCGACCGGATATCGGATTTTGTTGTGACTCGTACTCGTGAGGGTAAATTAGAAATTCTTTTTACGATAAAGCAAATGTGACCGGTGACCCTTACACACTTTGGCATAATCGAGAGCAATTATATTTAAACGTCTTTGAGAGCAACATATAATTTCACTCGAGTCAGCTCAGATCAGGCTGTGTTATATTACCACCGCGCGCGGGCGATCGACGGTATTATTGTCTAGCTCTAGACAAGTTACATGTTTGCACATAAATCACACTAAAAAGTGCACTGGAGCGAATCCTATCACTACCGTGGGCCCTGGGAAGCTAATTAAGCGAAACTGCTTGCTTCTCCGAATTCCATGAAATATCTCGCATTGTATTCTGTCTGTTTGTCTCTGTCTTTGTGCCTCTCTCTCTCTCTCTCTCTCTCTCTCTCTCTGCATGTCTCGGTCTGTCTCTCTCCCTCTCTCTCTCTCTCTTCTTTACACACTAATTTAGTAATTACCGGTATTATAAATATATACACACTGTATTTACCTAATCAAGTCTAATCTATTCATTCACTCTCGTTATTAATTTGGTTTACCGATAGTGTTATTTGCTTTCAATTTTCAATCACCAAGCTTACTCTTTATCAGGCACATTCCAGACAATTTCTTTTATTCCGTTGATTGCCATAAACCATATCCTGCAAGAATTTTCAACATTTCACTCAGTTTCTAGCTGTGTAGGCCTTTATTTCAAAGTGTACATATTTAAACTTTACAACAGGACATAACAATAAATACTGAGTATTTATTAGCGATGTTCCAATGCATACAGCTAAGTTAACAATTAAACAAACAATGGGTTCATTATTTGCCCAGAAAAGGAAATCCTCACTTATATGTATCCAGTGGTTGTATTCTTATATTAAAGGTAATACCGTTCAACAGTTAAAGGTAAAGACCAGTATTGGAAACGCCCCAATTTCAAAAAAATGAAATGGAAGCTCTTATTACCAATCAACTTGAAAGAATATGTTTTGAATATTACATGATGATAACAATTTTGATGGGGAAACCGCCTACTAATTGATATATTTGGTAAATTAGTATATCTCTTGCCTGTTGAGAGAAATGAAATGCACGTATCGTGCACGTGTGTGTAGTCCCATATGCATCTTTCTGTGTACAGTGCTTCTAACTTTATGAAGACTTGGCCAAATTTCTTATCATTTTGATGATTCCAGAACCTTGCAGTACATCTATGCTAGATGATCTACCTTTTCTGATCGATTTCACTACGTTTCTTTCACAATGCAATCGCATGACCATAACTGGTCTTTAGCTTTAATTAATTTAAATTGAGAAAAGAAAGAAGAAAAAAATGTTTGGACAGCCCTTACAAAGTTTACTGTCAATCAATTGCATTAAAGGGTAATCCAACCCTTGTAATAAGTTCATTTGTATGAGAGCAGAAACGTAAGATAGTAATAAGTCCTAGGAATGTTATGACTGTTTGAAATATAAGATGCCAGACATGCTTAAATCTTCACAGGAAAGCTTTATATGTCATTTCAGAGATGAGCACTGTATTTCATATTGTGATGGTTAATATACAAATAAAACAAAATAATATCTGGGAAAGAGTGTTTTAACTTTTAAGAATGTATACAATCATTCTTCTTTTTTCTGTATCAAAAATGATTGCCAAGCAGACATAATTGAATTTGAACCTGCTAAAAAATGTATCCTTAGATATGTAATGTAACACAAATGCACAACTGTGACCATTCAAATGTTCCTCCTAAAGATTAGTACAGACATTGGACTTTTCCTCACAGCATACAGATATAGTGATCCAAACTCATTCATAAAGAGTAAGGGCATTTAACTGTTCCTCTTGAATTCATAGTGGCCCTAACCAATGGAAGTAATTTCAAGGGAGAGAGCGGCCATGTCCCTAGGTATATGTTCAGGGTAGTACCATGTGACTCCTAAAGATTGGGAAATTCCTCAGCAATACATTTGTCATCTTGGCATGGGCTCGGGGGACGGACATGTATAGACAGCACTACTCCAATCGCCACAAGTCACATCTAAAACATCAAGTCTATTCTGAAGAAAGAAATCCACCAGCTTGGGGGAATCCCTTGATTGCACATCACCATGACCAAGTTGCCCATACTTGCCCCACCCCCAAGTATACAGCCGCTTGTCATCTGCAATATAAAAGCAAAGAAAAACACATAAATTCTACTAATTCTGAGTTGGAAAGTAACTCATAGCAAAGTCACTCTGAACAAAATAAAAAATGAAAAATAATATACACAAGTATCTTTGAAGTTTGCGGACGATCCTACATGTTTGATAAATGATTGTATTACATTTGTTACACTTATAATAACGTTATTTTGAGGTTCAATATAAGAAAGATCATTTCAACATTAATTATGAAACTCCTGCTGTATTGTCTGCATAATAATCATCATGAAATATTGGGAATGAAGGCCAATATATGAGCTTGACTACTCTTTACTGGATTGGATACACATTTGTGTGACTGTATTTAAATAAACTTAAGGTACAAGCAACACTTATGCAGTTTATATATTATAAAGTGAAACAAAATACAGTGATTGAAAATATCAAGGAAAACAACATTTGATTGAGAAATTTTCAGACAGGCATCTTTAGAATACAAAACAGGATTTTTTCATAGATATTCATAGATATTAGTGTAGCAAATTAATGGCAGAGAAATTGGCACAAGACCATGCACTTCAAGTGCTTACCGTACTTACAAGAGACTGCTGCAGTATGTCTTGACCCGCAGCTGACCTTTGACACATTGACCCCTCCAGGAAGGTCAAGCACGGCAGGGACCATCTGAAAAGAAATCCGATCTGCCATCACATGACTGCTGCCCTCTTCTGTCCTGCTGCTCTCCAGGTCAGGAGGCAAGCCGAGCTGTCCAGACTCGTTCCATCCCCAGATGTACATATCTCCAATGGCTGTATTTCAAAACAAAGATGAAGCCATTGAATGTACTTTGTGTCTGACGCCTTGTCCCCAATGCTATGATGTAGTCAATTTCCAACCTGGAATATGTTTTCCCAATTCCTGTATAACGATATGTGTATACGGTACTACACGTTTGCTGGGAAACCAGCAGTCTATCACAGATAACTTAATGGCAAATCATTTGTGAGGTCCCACTTGTTTTTTTTATTAATGATGTCATCATTTTTTTCATGACCCTGAGATGTGAAAACTTTCACAAAAGAACATGACATTTTGATCCTCAAAAAAGTACCTTCATATGACACATATACCAGTAGGATACATAGACTTGTTTTTTCCTTCTCTTTTTTGTTTTTACAAGCAAGTCCAAGATTCAAAATGAATACGGATCAAGTCTCTGAGACAAGACTAATGAATGAAGGATCCATTATTATCTACTTTAACAGATACATACATGCCAACATTTGAAAATCAGAAATCTGTACAAATTATGCTATTTTCAAAAAAAAAGAGGAACAATCCTAACTCTCCTATTCAATACTACAGACAAATTTGTACAGGAAGAGGAACACCTGCATTAAAATGATAATTATCTTCTCCCAAAAAGAGAAATGTTCCTCTTTAATCTGAACAGTTGGCATGTATGCAGATATAATTTTAAGATAAAATCAGTTTTATTAACATCCATCAATCAAATGCAAGTCATGCATGCAGCAGTGTAAAGACACATATGCTCCTCCAACATTTGCTCTGTGGTCAATCTCCTACAGGATTCAAACTCCTAACTTCAACCCTGGACCAAACACTAATCTAATCTTACCCAAACAAACATTGGCAAACCTTATTCTTATCCTTCATCTTTAAAGGTGTAGACTATTTCTTGTCATGGGATTGCATCGTGAAAGAAACGTTGTGGAATCGATCAGAAAAGGTTGATCATCTAGCATATAAGTATTGGTGTGTACTGCAAGGTTCTGAAATCATCAAAATGATAAGAAATTTGGCCCAGTCTTGGTACAGTTACAAGCACTGTACACAGAAAGATGTATATGGGACTACGCGATATCTATCTAGTCCGAATAGATATGATAATTTACCAAATTTATTGATTAGTAGGCGGTTTCCCGGCAAAATTTGTATTATCACGTACCTATTAGTCAAAACATATTCTTTCACATGATTGGTTATGAGAGCTTCCATTTCATTTATTGAGAGGGGGCGTTTCCAAAACTGTTCTTTACCTTTAATATAATAAACATTGGGGCAAATGTCACAGGAGCAAATCTCATATCACCAAGTCAGCACATGATAGCTTACCACTTATGCAAGCAGAATGCCATCCTCCTGCACTAACAGTCTCCATGGGAACACATGCAATGGCTTCAAGTAATTTAGGTACATCTTCCCTTTCTATGTCCCCATGACCAAGCTGTCCTCGGCTTGGTAAAAAGAGAAATAAAAAACATGAATATAATCACATTATTAAAGAATGAATTATAATAATAACTATTGCCCCTTTCATCCCAGATAAGTGTCCATCTCTTAAGGTATTATTTCCCTTATCAATGCTTTCTCTAAAATAGTTTATAGTAAATGTTTATCAATTTGTCATGGAATATAAGAAAATTTCAAGATAAGTGATCATAGGTGACCTTGGAGAGACCTTATTTGTACCACCTTATGAATAACTCCTTAATAATATATTCAAAAATTAGACTCGGTGATAGGGGGCCTTACATTAATAGAATTTTAGCGAGTTTTAGCTACGGTACTAAGATCTTGACATTACAAGGCTAATAATTTTTAAAGAAACATTTTTAACCCTTACTGTCCTGGGGGGGGGGGGGGGCTTGGAGGCCCCCCCCCCCCCCCCCCTCGACGTTTTCAGAGATTGTGCCACAACCGCTTGGAATTTTGAATTGTCGTTTCATAACTTTTTTTCCCTCAAGTCTTACGCACATTTTGATACCATTTTTTGTCGAAAATCGGATGTACCTGTCAGGTACAAGCAGAAATGTGAATAGAAGTTTAGATGTATTTCTTCTTAAGTGGGAGATATGAATTGATATCAAATTTGCATGAATTAACATTGTTAATTACATAAAAATAACTATTTTGTGAAAAGAACTTTCATATAAATAATGAGTTTCAATTAACATTCAAAAAGTGGAGTCTGACAATTTTTGTAATGATTCTAGTTCCATGTATATTTCCAGATTTGATATTCATGAATGAGTATTCATAATTTATGCAAATTAACCTATGCGTTTTCAAATATCATAAAAATAATGTAACCTTATGAATTTGAGATGAAGGAAACATTTATTCAATACATTTTAAACATTCTTCACAAGTCTACAGACAAATATGTAGAGATTTCTGGAAAATGCATAAAATTAGCATTTTGCATAATTAATTAGGCTATAATGACAAAAATTTGCATATTAGGAAAAAAACTAATTATACCATCTTGTTCCTTATGTAAATATCTACAAACATGCACATTGTTGTGTTCATTGGACTTTTCCTCCAAATTTTAATTCATTTTTTTTTAATAAATGGGGGGGGGGGGCCTTGGAGGCCCCCCCCCCCCCCCCTTTGATTAAAAAAAATGAATCTAACAACATCCCCCCCTCCCCCCTTTCGAGTAAGAATTTTTTTTTGGGGGGGGGAATAGGGGGAAATCAGGAAACATAAGGGAAAATCAGGCAGAAAAAAAATAATAAAATAAAAAATAAGGAAAAAAAAAATTGGGAAGAAAATAAAATTGGAAAAAAAAAAAATATTGGGAAACCGATTTAAATCAGGCAATTATCAGGCCTCATAAATGGACTTACCTTCCCATACCATAGGAATAAACCAGCCCCTGAGCAGTCAGCAGTAGAGCATGTTCCTTCCCACAAGCTATCTCCTGTACTCCAATGGGCTGACTGAATGGACTGAAGATGTACATGTATGCTCCATCTTCATGCCTTTTTATCTTTCCTGGTTGTTTTTCTCGACCTTTTTTCGAAGGAAGGAAGGAAGGAAAAACAGTGTATTTAACAGTAAGTACCGGTAAGCTGCAGGATAGATTACAATAATAATTCTTACAGATTTATGTACATGTAGACTGTATCAAACACGCTATCACAGTAAAGGTAATGTTTGTGTGCTTATAAGATGCCTTTTAGGTATTGATGACAAGTTTTATTGCTAAAGTTGCACATGGAAAATACTTGATGTGAAAGGGTAAGTAAATGAAATGATGAATACTGTACTGTATCTAGTGCCCTTCAGGTAAATGGTCTATAATTTGTGATTGTTGATATCCAAAAGATAAATAACATTTCACTACAGGTCTTGTGTTACACACTATTAACCCTGCCATAGCTACAGGAGAAGAGGCCTCCAGCTCAGTTAATTCCTTTTTTTTTAAAGAGGAACATAGAGTAAAAGAAAAGGATCAAGGGGAGATGGAGATGAAAGGACCCCTTCCCACATCCACCCTGATTAGTGGCCCTGTTAATTTGTATTTTGTTCACTAATGATTGAGCTGACTAGTACCCCCCCCCCCCCCCCTGATGTAAAGTACCCCCTTGTTGGCTAGACCTATATCATACCACTGCTGGCACTGATAGTGATACCTACCAAATGTTGCTAGGACATGTGAATCTCCAGCAGAAAGATTTATAAACCCCACAGTTGACAGTTCTTTGGCTTTGCAACTGAGGAGGGCATCATCCGCATCTCGCAGACATCCATCATTCGTACAATTTTTAAGCTCCTCTTTCTGAGAGTCGCATATCTTGTCATTGATCTTGTTCCCTTGCTCTAATATTGTCACTTGGCTTCCTCCAGTTTGGAGAACTGCAGTAGACCCACAAGTAGATTCCAACAGCACCTTATTGACCTCTGGGGTAGTACTGTTGGTAAATTCCCTCACAAAGCATTCCCCAGAGTCACTTATGAAGAAGAGTTTGTCTTCATGTAGACATAGTTTTCTGGGTGAAGATGAGACAATGTTGCCAAGGTCATCTGAAAGGTCGATGAGCTTTCCCATCTCTCCATTCATGCAGCCCATTAAGAAACCTGCAATTTGAAGTTTAAAGTAACGCTATACAGTGTGCATCTTTACAGAGGATACCTGTTTAAATTGAGGCTAACAGAAGAGTATCCCCTAAATTAAACTACATGTTACAATTTACATCTGACTGGTCTAAATGCTTGGCTTGGCTAAGAGGGAGGGGGAGGGGGAGAGGGTTATCACTGCGATTAAAAAGGAAGGGAATTATCAACATTATCAAAATTGGCCTGTAACTGTAAGTTATGTAATTCCAGGTCACTATGTTTGGCATCATCACTTGAGAATCTTAGTTCTTAGTACGCTTGTGAGGAGTCAGGGAAGGTCATATAGTGTTTGCCCTACCAGAATCGGTATATTTTTATAATTGCTCAAATTGATGTAGCTGACATGTTCATGTCATCTACTAGCAAATTTGCTATTATCTGGCCCCTTTTTTCAACAAATAGTTTCTATTTTTGTATAAGTAAAATCATTGTATGAAAATGCATTGATTGCTGTTGGTAAAAAAATCAAATCAAAAATCAAAAATGACAATGAGAGAGCCGACCTACCCAAATCAGAGGCTAACGAACGAAAGAGACAGAAAAATTCGGTCTAATCACTCGCGCTGTACTGCTGTACATTGAATCATTGTCATTAAATCATATTTTGTAGCATATACTGAATATAAGCTTTTGCTACACTTACCTAAAGAAGAAAAAATAGTAGCGTTCCACTTCAAAATTAAGCTGAATTGATCGATGTGCTGGTCTGAAAGATTTCTTGAGTAATTTTGAGTTACTCGTGATCGCGATCGTGCTCCACAATTGTCATCAGTTTTTACACGCAAGGCGGCCGGGGAGTTCCCCGAGCATGGCACTCACTGGACCGCTCTCCTTCATGCGAGCAAGCGTCGGTCCTCATTTCACGTTTTAAGAGCGAAATATCCAATTTCATAGGCATCATCAGGATCCGCATGTCAGTCCTCTGTATAATTTGCTTAAAACCGTTGAAACCAAAGACAAATGCATCACTTGGATCCATCGCGCCATATATTTTAATCCGAGAACGTACTGTTGATGTTGACGTGCGTTGATCCTGGCCGGAATCACGTAGATTATTGGTATCCGAAAAAGGCCAATTTAACGGTGCCAATTTAATGACGACTTTATGAAACTAGCGATTCATTATAGTGTAAAAGGCATGGAGATTGTCGCCGAATGCGAATCCCACTGGTGCGAAAGAGCATTATTCTAAAAACATATCCGAAGTATATTCATTTTTTTTTACAGGACAAGTTACGTAGTCTCTCATCCAGGGTCATTATTATATTTTTGTTTCTAAATTTTTCCTTTCTTGTTTGCTTCAGTGTTAGAGTATTTTTCGGATTTGTGTTGACCATCGGTCGAGTGCTGTAATAGTAAACAAATCCTGGCTTCATGCACGGTATCAGGGGCGGGGGGGGGGGGGGCGTTGGGCGGTGGGGGGGGGGGGGGTGGAGGCGGGGAACGTTTTTTTTTTGGGGGGGACACGTCTCCCCTCATTTTTTTTTAAGGGGGATCGTCCCTCCCCCCTCAAAATTTGAAAATGTGCCCCCGAAAAAGGTAGCAAATACTAAAGACTGCAACAAACTTAGGTTCTGGAGGGCCCAAAAGTGCAGCGTGTAGACAAATAAAAATGCAAAAATCTTTTCACTCGGAAGCTACGCTCCCTTGCATAATAACCTTCTAAATGTATAAGTAAATAGGCCTACTGAGCAAAACGAAGTGTGAAAAAAGTTTATTGCTTGTTTTTATACTATAGTTTTGCTAAGAAATGTAATTTTTTAATAAAACCAAAACTTCAAAAATCCGTAAGGGGTAGTCCCTCTCATTCACTATGCTCCCTCGCAATATTGATGGGGGGGGGGAGCTTTGGGGAAGTCCCCCCCTCAAAAAAAATCATTCAAACGTGGTTTATTTCTAATTCGATACCAGTGATTTACAAATGTTGCTGAAATGGCATTTTCCCTGACTTTCCGGGGGCTCTGCCCCCTGGACCTTACGGTCCACTTGCTTCGCTCGGCTTGATCTACCTGATCGTAAATACTTTAGCCAGGACCTGAGTAACATGTAAGAGTGATGGTGATGCGGGTTCTTTTCTGCCCCCCCCCCCAAACGTTTTTCCTCATTACGCCACTGCTCCCTCGTCCCTCGCATTTTGCCCCCCCCCCCCCCGGTCGTGAAAGGAAATCGCCGCCCCTGCACGGTATGCACCATTATCAAATTCGATCTAAACAAAATAATGTCACTGCATCATTCTAAATTCAGTCAGCCTCTTTTGGGCTGCCACGCAAAATAATGTGGAAAACTTTTTAGTCAGGATGTTAAAGCCCGTCTGTACTAGTTTGGCCGGGGGGGGGGGGTTAGACCACACAGAGTGGTCACTGACAGGTGGCTATCTCATCAACTCAGCTCTCGATTAACATAACAAAAAGTGGATCATGGGTGACCAACGGGCACCGTTTAGGCGTTGTTTTCTCTCCAGAGGGCCAATTAGCTACAAGTAGTACAGTGGGGATTCTAAAAACAGAAATAGCACGTATTAATATTTGTTCTTCTTCTAATTCCGATATTTACTTCAAGCTTGCTAATATCAACATTATTATTTGTATTCCCGATTTCTTTAGATTTCTTTGGATATATTGTTGTTGATTCTTAATTTTAGAAAACGGTCATTATTCATAAGGGTCATCATTCATATTTAATGACCCCGATTCATAATCGAAAATGAGGGTTGCCATCATAATTATGAGAAGAGGGTCGTACTCGCTATAATACAAAATCGGGTCGAAATTCATAGGCCTAAGGGTCCCTATTCATAATACGAAATAAGGGTCGCTATTCATAATACGAGAAGAGGGTTGCTAGTCATAAAAATCACATAGCAAACAAAATGATAAGAAAGGGAAATGTTGGCTGTGGCGTAGCTCTGGGGGGGGGGGCGACACATGGCCCCGAATATTTGTCGCAAACATTATGAAAATTTACTTTCGTGACAAGACGAGATAGTTTACAAGCAAACCACCTCATCAGGCCCATATAAATAAATATGAATGTCTGACATCTGACTGTCCGAGTCGTCATCATAAGCGTAGAAGGCGAGGGGAAATATTTCATAATGTAGATGTGTTTGTTTTATAATGATCTATCTTGTTTAATGACAATTCACGTCAGCCTTACTCCTCGTTTGTTTTGTTCCCTTTATTGTATTTTTTTATTTTGTTTTGGCTATTTAATGTCATTGACTCTTTATATTTTGTGTGTGAACCTGTATGGATGCATACGTGTATTTGAATAATTAATACGTGTATTTTATCTGTTGCTTAGGATTTATCAGGTCTCGAATTAATTAATATTAACTTTCCTGAACCTGCATGCACATTTGTATTTACATTCCGTTTTTTTTTTTGTGTTTGTTATGTATTCATCATTATATCCTGCCCCCTTGTTGCTACGAGGAGGGCTAGATATCCCACCCCAATTATAAACAAAAACAAATTCATCACGGCATTTATTTTTATTTATTTTTCGCACTAGACCTTATCAAAACCTTCTGACCCATCACCACAAGGCGTCGCTAGACCTTTTTTCAACGGGACGGAGAGGGGGGGGGGGGGGGTGTAGAGGCCACCGATTATCGACAAAACTAGCCACCAATATTATTACCGACAAATATACTAATGCCAATGTCCCAATATCAACACATTTCACCCTATAAACACGGGGCTAAGAGCTAAATTAACGTGTCAAAGATCTTGAAAGTTGTATTCATGATGTACGAAAATGGATGAATGATTGCTATCTCAAACTAAATGACGATAAAACAGAATTTCTCTTGTTAGGCTCCAGACAACAACTTTCCAAGATTGTTATAACTCATATACGTGTTGGTTCTGTGCACATTGCTCCTTCAGATAAGGCAAGAAATCTTGGTGTCATTTTCGATACAAGCATGTCTCTTGATGCACATATTTCAAAATGTGTGAAAGCTGCCAATTATCATCTTCGTAATCTTCGCGCTATAAGGAAATTTTTAACCCCCCAAACCACTCAACAATTGATTCATGCTTTTGTAACATCTCATCTCGATAACTGTAACTCTCTCCTTTATGGACTTCCTAAATACCAAATTCACAAACTACAAAAGGTTCAAAACGCAGCTGCCCGCCTTGTCACTAAATCTAAACGATCGACCCATACTACTCAAATACTCAAGAAACTTCACTGGCTTCCAATAGAACAGCGTATCAAATATAAAATTCTACTACTCACCTACCGTTCACTAAATGGATCAGTCCCTGAATATATTTTCTCTCTTTTTAATATCTCTTTAAGTTCTCGTGCAGGTATTCGTTCCTCTAATTCAACAAATTTAACACAATTAAGAACAAAGAGGAGTTGGGGAGACAGAGCTTTTACAGCTGCTGCACCCCGGTTATGGAACTCCCTACCCCATTCAATCAAAATGTCAGCCAATCAAAATGTGTTCCAAAAACAATTGAAAACCTATCTAATGTCTGAGTTCCTTAGTTAAGACGTAGTGTATTTCAAAATATGATGTAATTAACGTTGTTGAATTATATTTGATTATGTTAAATTATTTTCGTTCAATGTACTTACCTTGTTAGGCGCCTTGAGTCTCTCTTGGGGTGGATATGTGCGCATTACTTTTTTTTTTCAGTGCGAAAGCTTTGACATTTCATTAAATTGTTAAAGAAAGAAGACGATTCGTTATACCTTTCCCGACTCGTAATCCTATTCTGAATTTAGTTTTCCCCCTCCCACGCGGAGCGCTGAAGCTTTGACATTTCATTAAATTATTAGAGAAAGAAATTCTCAATCGCAGTTCCCGGCCTCTTCCGCTTTGCCTTTTTTTAATTATTAGAGAAAGAAGACGATTCGTTGTAGCGTTCTCGACTCTTAATCCTAGTCTGAATTCAATTCACCCCCCCCCCTCCTCTCCCGCGCGAAGCGCTGAAGCTTTGACAGTTCATTAAATTATTAGAAAGAGAAGACGATTCGTTGTACAGTTTTCCATTCCTAATCCTTGTCTGAATTCAGTTCCCGGCCTCTTCCGCCTTGCCGTTTTTTTTTATTTATTAGAGAAAGAAGACGATTCGTTGTACCGTTCTTGATTCTTAATCCTAGACTGAATTCAGTTCCCCCCTCCCGCACGAAGCGCTGAAGCTTTGACATTTCATTAAATTATTAGAGAAAGAAGACGATTCGTTGTACCGTTCTCGACTCTTAATCCTAGTCTGCATGAATTCAGTTGCCCCCCTCCTGAGCGAAGCTTTGACATTTCATTAAATTCAACTGGGTTCTTTAATGTACGACTTCGATTCTGGTGTCCTTCCACAGGCTCTAGTCAGCATTTTTAAGAAAAATAGTCAAGTTCATGACCATGCTACACGAAATGCCTCTGCGTTTCACTTACCCCAAGTAAGGACAAAGTTAACTTTTAATACTTTGGTTTTTACTGGACCTAAATTTTGGAACTCTCTAGGCTCTAGCGTTAAGCAATCTGTTAGTCTCTCTTCATTTAAGTGTAAACTTAAGGTTTATCTTCTCGATAAATACTGTGACTCATAGAGTAGTTCATTTTTGTAGTTATTATGGTGCCAAGATATATTATGTATTACTATAAATGTAAATTTTCTTCTTGATATTAATATGTGTCTAACTGAATATTTTCAGATTGTCAACCTCTTATTCCCTCCCCCTGTTGTCTTGTGCCCGTTGTGTGCTGTGCCTATTGTCGATGTCCTGTAGTCTTCTATTATTTCTCATATTTTCTATTTTCTCCCGTCTTGTCTAGTCTCGTCTCTCGTTTTGTTGTTGTTGTTGTGTGTGTGTACACTTCTTGTTTTGTTATACCCCCTTTTCCCTATTGTATTCTTAGGTAGTCACAAATATCTATTCATCATGTTTTATCCGGCTCAGAGGGGACCCTAATAATTACAAGCTCTGCTTTTACCAGGGTCTCCTCGCCTTTCTTTTAGTTAACTTTGTTTTTATCATTGCCATAATTTGTTATTTT